AGTCTATGGGTCTCTGTGTCAGTCTATGGGTCTCCGTGTCAGTCTATGGATCTCCGTGTCAGTCTATGGGTCTCCGTGTCAGTCTGTGGGTCTTCGTGTCAGTCTGTGGGTCTCCGTGTCAGTCTGTGGGTCTCTGTGTCAGTCTGTGGGTCTCTGTGCCAGTCTATGGGTCTCCGTGTCAGTCTGTGGGTCTCCGTGTCAGTCTGTGGGTCTCCGTGTCAGTCTGTGGGTCTCTGTGTCAGTCTGTGGGTCTCTGTGCCAGTCTATGGGTCTCTGTGTCAGTCTATGGGTCTCCGTGTCAGTCTGTGGGTCTCCGTGTCAGTCGATGGGTCTCCGTGTCAGTCTGTGGGTCTCCGTGTCAGTCTATGGATCTCCGTGTCAGTCTATGGGTCTCCGTGTCAGTCTGTGGGTCTCCGTGTCAGTCTATGGGTCTCCGTGTCAGTCTGTGGGTCTCTGTGCCAGTCTATGGGTCTCCGTGTCAGTCTGTGGGTCTCCGTGTCAGTCTGTGGGTCTCCGTGTCAGTCTATGGATCTCCGTGTCAGTCTATGGGTCTCCGTGTCAGTCTGTGGGTCTCCGTGTCAGTCTATGGGTCTCCGTGTCAGTCTGTGGGTCTCTGTGCCAGTCTATGGGTCTCCGTGTCAGTCTGTGGGTCTCCGTGTCAGTCTGTGGGTCTCCGTGTCAGTCTGTGGGTCTCTGTGCCAGTCTATGGGTCTCTGTGTCAGTCTATGGGTCTCCGTGTCAGTCTGTGGGTCTCCGTGTCAGTCTGTGGGTCTCCGTGTCAGTCTGTGGGTCCACGTGTCAGTCTATGGGTCTCTGTGTCAGTCTGTGGGTCTCTGTGTCAGTCTATGGGTCTCCGTGTCAGTCTGTGGGTCTCCGTGTCAGTCTGTGGGTCCTCGTGTCAGTCTATGGGTCTCCGTGTCAGTCTGTGGGTCTCCGTGTCAGTCTGTGGGTCCTCGTGTCAGTCTATGGGTCCCTGTGCCAGTCTGTCGCTCTCCGTGTCAGTCTATCGCTCTCCGTGTCAGTCTATCGCTCTATCTGCCAGTCTATCGCTCTATTTGCCAGTCTATGGGTCATTGTGCCAGTCTATGGATCTGCTCCAGCGTCTATTGACAACTTTCTCCGATCCTTTGTTGTAAATACAAAAGTTAAGAGCCTCACTTAGAAAGTGCCAATGTTTACCAATCCCCCAGCCCTACCTCTGCCTTAAGTGCTTCCTGTCAAGTAAATAACACGATTACCCTAAAACCCACACCGTTCCATTTAGAAGCTGAATCGCACGACTGGATGTCCCGCGTGAAACGATGCCCGCAAAGGCAATTCGAAACAAATATCCGACAAGAGGCCGAGATCCACACGGGGAACCGGCATCGCGAGCTGCTCTGGGTGGCCTCTGCTCTGCGCTGCAGCTGGGGGAGAGGAGCCGCAGTAGCGCGCTGCACGCCGCTGGGATGGGGCGCGCGGGGAGCCACTCCGCAGCGCTTCAGCTGAGCGCTGCGCCACACAGCGCCGTCGGCACGAGACCCAGCCCCAGGCTTTTAGTCTCCAGCGTGTTTGTGTGACCCTGGCCGACGTTTATTCATTTACTGGCCCACCAAGGGCCAAACACATCCTGCATTGAAATGTTAATGTCGCTCTTTGGATGTGTGAAAGTGGATTATTTTGGCGAATTATTTGGATCTTTGCACGTGCATGACATTGTGACACCCATATTAGCGAGTATAACTGCATTTGATCTTAAAACGTTTCTTAGGTTTTACTAATTTAAACAGAACTCCGATCCAAAATAACGTGTTTGCAATTTTATTGGATATTTTACCTCCATATTTATATTACATCACCCGCCATGACCAATCCACAGCGGGATGAAGGCCTCTCCAAGTCATGGCCATCTCACGGTTCTGCGGTGTCACGATCCACCGCAAGGCTGGGAATTCAAGGTCTTGTCTCAGCCCTTCATCGCTTCAGGGATCGTAAAATAACCACTTTATAGAAAATCAACAATATATGGCCTATGATTTAATTATCCTCTGCCATAGGAATGTGGAATACGCGGCTCAGGGCATCTTCTAAAATTATCACTGCGCACTGCTTGAGCACAGAGACACTTTATATACTCGGATATTCAACGTTACCAGCATCTTCATAGGAGCGTACGTTCCACGTGCCGCCTAACGAGCAGAGAATGCTAATTATTGGCAGTGGTGAACTTCGTGGGATTCTCCACCACGCTCCCCGAGTGTACGGTGTGGGCACGCTTTCTCAACTCTCCCGGCTTGTCCACCCGGAACTACAACCGGGTTCACCCCAGGACGTCGGTTGGTGGGTCGCACATGTGGAGGGGTGAAGTGTGGGTACCCCCCCCCCTCCCCGTCATGCCTGGTCACCATGGGGGAGTCGGCCAAAATACCCCACAAAGCTCTTTCGAGTGGAAGTCCTTCTGCCAGCACTGGAGTGTGCAAGAAATTGCCGGGCTGCATCTTTACTTAGTTACTGAACTACATGGAGAAATGCAAAATGCTCTCTATTCTCATCAGACAGGAACTTTTAAAGTCTTTTCTCCTGCAAATGTAGAACTTTAAGTGAAAATGTATGCATTGATGCTGAAAAATCATAGCACTTACTCCACGAGGCAATTCATTTTATTTGAAATGTTTCATTATATTAACCCTGGAATTATTAATTTGTTGGAATCTGTTGCCACTGGCGATTTGAGGCCTACACGAAAAAAAACCCCGTCTGAGGCTTACAGTGCCGTGAAATATTTATTATTGTGGGTGCTCATCTTCTGACGCTGTTTTATCCGGATGCATGCGTCTCGAGTTTGTTGTGGGTGATGCGATTGTTCATTTAAATACGAACCTGTACCGCGTGTTCTTGCGATTCACGCTGTCATTCAAGGCTCGTGTTAAAAAAAAGACATGACGGCAGATTTTTTAACCCTCAAAACAATCGCTCGTCAGACTTCGCTCGTCCACCGCTGATGCGGAGCGGCCGATCCACGCCATCGTGTTTCCAAGGCTCAATGTTTGCTATTTATGGCCTCTGCCCACGTCCTTGATTAATTGCAATGCATCCAGAACTCGGCTGCCAGAATCCTATCGGGAGTGAACGTATCAGTCCGGTCTTAGCATCTCTTCACTGGCTTCCTATAGAGTTCAGAGTGGAGTTTAAGATTCACCTTCTCACCTGTATGGTTCTCGCAGGTGGACGGAAAAACCAAGTTCTCCTCGCAGATGTCCTCGGCCCCGTGTGCGTGGCCATCACGGCAGGCTTCGTACGCCGACAGCCGGTGGTGGTGGTGGCCCCGTGCATCCCGCGGACGCGGTGGCAGCTCCGCACGCCGCGTGCCTCCTGCTGTCCTCCCACCCTCCCCGGCTGTGGAGCGCCCCAGGTGCCCAGCGTCGTTCGTGATCCGGAGACCACGGCCGTGTTTGGAACCCGCCTCAAGACGCACCCGCACGTGTTAAACTGCACTCATTCTCCCTCGCATTTGCTTCTCCACAGTAGCTCAGACACTCCTCGGTGTTTCCTTCCTTTGGCCAACGATTTTTATTTTATTCGTGATGCACAACGCCGAGAGTCCCTTGTGTAAAGGCGCTTTATACAAATTATTTATTATCCATTATCTGTGGGTCTTCTCATCAAATTTTGCCCGTTTTCTCGATAGTAAGTCCGAATAGACGTAACTTTACACGAACATTTAATTTATACTGGAGTATTAGTTATTGCGAACCCATGTTATCGACATGTGGACACAGACAGCTAATGCATGAATGCTTTCAACCTTGGTTGGAAAGCTTTAAAACCCAAAATCTATTTACGACAACTGCACACATCGAGGTCTCCATTGCAGTACAATCCAGCTGAGACTGGCTGGGGCAGTGCACGATTCACAATCGATGGCCTTCGACCTCAAGCCCTGGGGAGGATCCCAGCCAATCATCTCTCCTGGGTCACTAAAATGAGTATAATAAAATTTGTATAATGAGTATCATTTTTTATATAATTTTCATGGGAAAGTAACAATTCCACCACTGGCTTTTTGGGCAATCAACAAAGATGAACATAGCCCATTGAGCAGAGTGATACTCTTTTGATTTATTAAATATTTCAAAGGAAATCACAGACCTCAATGGGATCTCGCCTGTGTCAATGAATGAAATTTAATAAATCAATATATTGCATTCCCTCAATGATATGTGCACGAGTGCGGCTGGCAGCTGTGCCAGGTAAAGCTCTGCCTGTCAACAAAGAGCTCCCCAACAGAGCTCGGGTTTGACACTTTTTCCAAGGACCAAGCGCGGACATATAAAGCATTACACCAGACCTCAACGAAAATCCCTGCAAAATGTCAATGCTCACGAGTGTCCCAGTCAAGCCCGGGACAGGTGGCAAGAGCACCACGCTGCCCTTCCTGCTCTGTCAATGCACGGTGTTCAACATCATGGCGCTGGTGGCCCCGGTGGGACGGTGAACTCAGTCCCCCGCTCAAGATGAACGAACTCCACCGTCGCCTTTACCGTCCCTGGTCTAAAGTAGAACACAATAAAAAAGTATGCGCGGCTACCCGAAGTCAATCAATCAATCATTATTTAAACATGAACGCCTCACCGAGTCTCAATACTTTCTTCAAGAGGGTCCAGCGAAGTTTTGCGGTTGGGGGTGACATTGCCACGTGTTCTCGGAGTAAAATTTTAGGTAAATTATAAAATGTAGGAAAAATTCCAACTTCACGGAGTATTCAACGTCCGCTGCGAAGCAGACGGCGCGTATTTTGTACGCTCGACGGCCGCAGTATTAACCGGGGTGGCCGTGGAGCGCGAACCACGAACCTCTGCAACGAGCCGCAAACGCCGCCACCGCCACTGGGCCGCATCGCCGCACCAACGGCGGCAAAAGTGATTGCTCCATGTCTCACAGGGGGGAGTTGTATAATATGTAATACGTGTGTTGAGATGGTAGGGAGACATATAGAGGCTTTGAAAAAAAATGTTGTGTTCGCAATCATTTATCCCTATTACGTAAGTGGGGGACCTTTAAATGGGTTATTTGCTGTTAAGGATATTTTTTTCATAACATATATCCATATTTTCCTTTGTACCCTGCACAATATAACCAGACACGTGGGATTGAAAAGCAAAGTGCATCCACGTGCTGAAATGGGGGCCGTGCAGTGAACCTGCTGCAGATTTTTCACTCTCGTACAGCAGGCAAGGGACTGTTCACAGAGCCACTGTTGTCTTCTCACAAAGTGCTACTCGTTTTATTCACCCATGAGGAGTCATGGGTTAAATTATCCCGAACATAGATTTGTGATTGTGACTTCAGTGCTCTGTTTAATAAAACGTTACTAAATGCATACCATGACTTTCACTACTCTAAAATCGTTCATTAATAAACACGTACATTTTCCCGTAATTTTTACAGACGTAAAACCCAAACGAGGATAACAATACCCATCCAATGATACTCCAAAATCAGGACCAGCAAGGCTGTGCTGACTGCACATGCGCATCCGGGCTTACGTCTTGAATTCATGGCGGCGAACGATAACGATCCCACCCACATTTCGTGAACGTCTACGATGGCTCCACAACCCCTGCGGGGTCTGCGTGGGATGCACGGGGGAGGGGGGTCGACGGTTTGACCCCAGCAAAAACCAAGAGAATCGAACGCCGAAGCTCCGCGTCCGCAATCGCCACTCGTACCACGATGGGAGGAGCTAGTGCGCGATGGGAGGAGCTAGTGCGCGATGGGAGGAGCTAGTGCGCGATGGGCGTCGCCATTCAAAATTTTGGTCGCGGTTTAAAATTTGGCAAAAGCGGATACATATAACCAGCAAAAATGAATGTGCAAAAATATATATTCTATTATGAACAGGGGCTTTGACGTTCCGATCGTAGACCTACACGTCCCTAACCAAGACGCGTCTCGTGTACGCGTTTGTTAACAGGGAGAGCTGTGCAGCCATTCTTTGAGCTTCACCTCGGGCTGCCGCCTGTTCCACCACACACCAAACCAGGACATCTCTCTCCATGAGCCTAGGGCTGTCACAACTGTGCGGCAAACTGGACTAACAACGTTCACCACGATAACAATTTCGGCGAGTTAACGTGCCGCACGGCATTCGCTCGCTCTCGTGCATGGAGAGACTTGGGAGGCGATACAAATCGGTTCCTGCCACCCGGATACAGATACCAACTCCAGGTTTTGTCCTGCCCAAACCCCCACACAGGTGGCAACCCGAGGTTGAACCTCCTCACGGGACAATTACGAATCTGGGCAGGATCGCTCGAGTTTCCCGACCGCCGAGGAGTCTGGGGCTGCACGGCCGCCTTTGTCGCGCGGCCCAGCCCCAAAGCGGCGGGGGTGGTAGTAGTGGCGAGCGGGGCGGATGTTCCGGGCGCTCCATTCACAGCGTGGGTCTCCACGTCTCCGCGGCTCTGTCGCCCGTCCCCTGCCGCCCCTCCGCCCTCCTGGCGGCCGCGGCGGCGTCGTCGTCGTCTCCGCCCACGGTGGGCAGGCGAGGACTCAGCGCCGAGCGAGTCAGCCCCCAGAACTTGGCAGGCAACATGTCCTTGCGCGTCGCCGTGAACTTCCAGCCCATGTGGCTACCGCAGTCGCGGCACTGAGCGATCGTCCAGGCATACCTGCCGAGAGGACCATCATCACCAGCAGCAGCAGCAGCATCAGCAGTAGCAGCTGCGTCATTATTTCTACCAGCAGCAGTATGACCCGTGATCCTTATTAAAACCATGACTCACAATCCTTAGGAACAGCAACATATATTAGCATAAAAACGCTTGGAATTACATCGAGATGCAGAATGAGGAACACGAGCAACAGAGACATTCGCAGGTTACATCGTGAAGGAAGGTGTGGGGGGGGTGGACAATGCACGTGGTTACAAGGGAAGGGGGCCCATGGTCAAGAGTGCTGACCGAGTTTGCAGCCAAGCGATGGAACGTGTCAGGGTACGTCTACCGGGGAGATGGCACGATGAGATTCACTCCTATGCCCATGGTAGGTGGATTGTTACATTGCACAACTGTGAGAAGTGGTGACGGCTTGAGGCCTTCAGCTGGTATGATAAACTGTGCAAACTGAAATGTTTATATTCTCGGGAGGCTGTTTAAGCTACATTAAGTGAAAACTTAATTTAATAATATAGGTTTTTTGTGTCCATTAAATTAGTGCACTGAAGAAACCAGTTTAGCTACGTGTGGTTTAGACCTGAATTTGAACCCAGGTTTTCAGTGGTGCTGGCTCAGCGTTATACATACATAGGGTACATCTCCATCAGGAGTCAGCAACCAAAATAACAAGATAATTATTTTTCAATTTCGGTAAAAAAACCTCAATATTTCAGGAGCCAAATGCAATGTGAATACGAGACGGTGGCGGTCCTTAATAAATAAGCGTCAAGAAGCAGCGGTCCTTAGAGGGCCACCGCATGCGGCCCAGGACCCACAGGTTGCCGACCCCTGCTCTAGATGCATCATCCGCTATGAACGAACGGTAGAAACGAGTTTTAGAAAGGACAATACAACTACACGCACACGATCGTGGTCGTAGGGAGATGTTTATCACACCATCACTCTAAACCAGCACGTGTCCACAATGACAATTTGGGAAATTCGCCGGTGGTCCCCAACATCTTCGGGAGTGACAATGCAGAATCCTTCTGCTAGGTGCTGTCAAAGATGAGTTGAGCTTTAAGCACAACATATTTTAAAATGAATTACGTCACCAACATTGCAAGTGTGCAGCTCAAACTGTTGCACAATTATAATTCTGTAATATCGGGAGACACCCACTACACTCTACATTTTGAACCAGAATAATCCCAAAATTAGCAGCTGCATTCAACAAAACATACCTCGCTTTTAAATTCGCCAAATCCTCCACAACGTGTAATAAACGGCAGGGCTTTCAATGCGTACTTAACCGAAAGCGGGTGAATGTCATGGATGATTGGTCATGCAAATAATTAAAATCCTCCATCCCAAAGCACACCTAATGTTTTGGCCATTATTCCAAAGGACCCCTGAGATTGCTGTTCAGTGGTGGTAACACAATTTTCAGAAATTGTGCAATGCAAACCAATTTTTATTACAAATTGCTTTCCCTTAAAGAGTGCAGAGCTGCATAAAACATTCCTGGGTTCTCACGTGCGTCGCATTTGTGACTTCTCGACTCTTCCGAGTTTTGTACGACCGATCTCTACCGCAGCTCCCTCCGGGAGAGACGCCAGGCACTGTGACGTGCGCTCACCGCCGTCACGCGGGGCGTGGAGGCGCTCCACCCGCGTGGTAACCCCGCAACTGCCTCTGGTCTGTGACATCACCGACCAAGGCTCATCTTCTACATCTAAACGAGTCGTAATGCCCTTGTGTAGAGTTATTATTATGATGAAGAACGTGAATTCGGGCTGTGCCGGCACCTCATGGATCTCCCTTGCTAACTATAGCTGGGTAACTGGCTACACGGGATTATCCGTGTAACAAATAAACACTGAAGTGAATGAATTTAATTTGCCATTCCAAAAACACATTTTTTTAATCCCAAAAACATCCCTTATTATCTTGTATATCATCCCTTTTTTGAGCTTTACAGGCTGTTCGCACAAGTACTGCTCGTGCCTAGATGCACTTATACATATGTGAAAATGGACCAGTAAATTTAGACTGCATGAACAAAGCAGCAAAACGCAACGGGGAGTCAGGCAAGAAGTATTGCGTTCACCAAGACTATTCAAAGGTTAGAAAATATTTTTTTAAAGCTGCATTGGAAAAATAATAATATACACAAACAGCATGAGCCAATTCAAATTTGATATTGACAGAAAATGAGAGAAAGCACTCAAGAGGAGGCCCAGTGTAGAGCAGGAGCAACAAGATGCATTCACGTGTCGGTTGATATGGCTTTGCGGCATTGCAGAACCGTGAGGGATGCTGACCGTATATGGGGAGGGCTTCATTCAGCAGTGGATAGACAATGGTTGATGATGTTAGAGAGGGTTGGTCAATCTAACAGATGTCATTCTGTGCTGTGAGATTTCTAAATCGGCTAGTGGATGGAAGTACAGCAAAATGGTCACCGACTGACCTGTTAATATTTTTTAACATTATTTCTCAAATCCACGCTTTGTCTCCGAGTGCTTGGGTTGTATCCATGTACAAGCCACTAACGAGAAACAGGAATGTGTTTAACATCCTAATGCGTGACCTCCCATGAAAACAGTCTGGAGACTTGGTGAAGATTTTCTGGAAAAACAAAGCGTGCGTTATAAAGGCGAGGGGGGTTGGGGGTTGAGTAAGTACATCGTCCCACCAAGATCGATAAAATAAGTATCAGTCCGTGGGGAAGTAAACAGTGATTGGCCTAAGGATAGTCACCCCCGCCATAGGAATGTGGAATTTACTCCAGTGCCTCAGGGCTGTACGCAGGAGATGAACACCACCGCAATGTTAATTTGAGCAGGAAATCACTTTTGACCTTTTTTTGAGTCAAACTAAAAATACCCAGCCTGATTTTGCTTTTGTTTGTCCGGAAAGTCGAACGCACATGAGGGCGTCATACCTCACTGTGCAATTAGCCTGAGATGCTCTGCTGATCAGTAGGTACAGCCGTTACATTTCTCCCACCCGCACACGTTGTTTTAGAAATGTAATGGGTGCATGGCGGTGCAGCGGGCGGTGGCCTCACGGTCAGCATGCTCACAGTGACGTTCTCTCAACTAAACTATTTTTTATTCTACCAGGTAAGGCCCACTGAGCTATGTAGTTATTTTTCAGAAGCGACCTGGCTATCACAAATGAGAGCCTAATTAAGTGGATTATCGTGTGGAAATGTATAGCAGCCAAATACTCTCTTAGTTACATGCAGGAGACGGTTCCCGTCCCTCTATCGCGGCAGTCCTCAACCGGCGTCTCCCGAGTCGCATGCGGCTCTTTAAGGGGCATGATGTAGAAAATACCGTCACGGTAGCAAAGAATAATGAATGTCTCCCGTGCTGTACCTGAGAACTCGTATATTTACGCTTGTATATACACTTGGCTCTTTGCAGAAGTCACGGCTAATTTTTGGGTCTGTTATAGCTTGGCCAACCCTGCTCTACTGCGACAAACTACCAATCCGTGTCCTCGTGTGAAAACTGTTGCATCGTAAACAAAAAGTTACACGAAAAGCTTCAAAAGGTAAAAGTGAAAAAGGTAAAGGTGCAGGTCTGCAACTTCTTACTCACGGCACTGCCGGCAGAATGGCCCTCTACAGGGTAAACTTGGCCTCCTCTTCCACGCTGGCCAGACGTCTGGGAATAGGTGGGAGTTACCCATACTCTCTACCCCATCACGCGCGACCTGCCGATCGACTTACTGCAGTAAACCCATTTAAACTTCTGGGTGGACAGAGGCGGGGCGGGATTTAGGATACCGGCGCCGTTGTTTCGACCGTCGCCATGTGATTGAACCGGCGAACGTCTAGATCGCAAGTCCAGAGGGTTTTTTGTTACTCGCCACCACGGCAGGGTCTGCGGTGTTTAGGATTCAGTGGGAATTGCTGCTTTGTGTTTTCTATGCGAAAGAAACCAAAATGTGGAATTGACCAAGGAGGAAAAGCTCACAGACACGCGGATACACACACACACACACACAGGAATGCCCACACATGTGGCTATTTAAGTAAAATTAAGAGCATCTCTTGATGCAATTGAGCATCAATGTTTTAATATTAAACCGCTATGGTAAATGGCTTTAGCTAAGGATTGCTTTTGCTGGCTTCATTAAATTATGTCATAGCCAAAGCACATTTTACATTTAATTTGCTTAGGGATTATATATTTATTATTGCACTTATTAAAATAATCGTGTTCCTAAATTATGAACATCTTTTAACTTAAAAGCATTTGCATGAATAACATCTTCATTTATGACAATTATAGTATTGCTCACGTTTATGTGTTCAGTCACTGACATTTTAAATTAATAATTATTTAATCACCAAACGTAATTATAGTTTCATATAATTTTGTACGAATTACTTTTGCAGCATTGCACCATTCACACGGCGAATAGTCCGCAGTGCGACGGCGGTCGCCACAGTCATACCGTGGGGGAGGGGGGGGGGTCATAAAACACGCTGCCCCGCCAATTCGCGGGCAATATCACAGACATCCACCAAGCCTCCAGAGGCCACTGAATGGCTCAACAACCTGCTCATCGTACCCAGAAGCAGTCAAAATCTCAACAGCGGACACAAACCTACTTCCTGTACTGCCTTCTACAGGCCCTTCCTTGCCCCGCATGTGGGAATGCTGTGCTATACTCATCACTGTGCGATCCACCAACTCTGTCTCGATGTTTGTATTCCCACCACACCCAGGGGGCGTTTTCATGCACAAAGAGTCCCAACCGAGTGAGACTGTGGCGGAGGGCTCGGCTCACCATTGGAAGGTTGCAAGTTTAAATCCCGGTCAGAGCTCACTCGGCACATCATCCCACACATGACAGCCAAACCAATGTTATTTTCATTACGGGAGCTTTAATTTTAGGCAAATTAAGTGACCAATTTGAAGTGATGGCTTTTTTTTTTAGTGGGTGACCGGGCTGATACCATGAACTCATCGCGCTTGAGACCCCAGTTAAATCACACGCAGCATTTGCTGCCGGGATGTCAAACCGGAATTCTCAGGGCAGTGTGAGCTCGAAGCTCGGTGAAACAATGTTCTAACTGAACATCACCTCTACCCTATTTTACATCTTAAAGTGACTTTAAAAAATTTGTCCAGAACTGTTCATGTTCACGTAGTTTTGTTAATCTTCACATATAGCGACGTTCAATCTCTGCAATTAACCAAATGTACTTACCAGGGGTTGCTCAAGGTAAAGTGCGTTACAAAAGGATGGAGAAATGTTCACGTGCCCTGAATTAAAACACGTCGAAGCCGTGAAGAATTACCATGAAGTAATAGAGGTATTATCTCAACGGCAACGTACATAGCGGATGGGACAGATCATGCACATGCCGATTAGATATGATCAAGAAGGTTAAAAAGACTGCCACCATACGTTACTGACAGATAGAACATATTTCAATGGCATGAATAAAGCTGCTTGCTGAGAATGTTTTAATTAAATCTCTAGGTGATCCACCAATCCCGTTTCCAAATGACCGGAGTACGCAGTTTATCTCCACCAAGCCGCCATCAATCACAGGATGCGGCCCCGCTCGGTAAGAACGCCCCGTGTGATGCGCACGACAGCCTACTCTGCAATCACGACAGATTAACTTGGACGTGCAATTTTTGCCAAATGTCACTCTCCCTGATTAAGCATAAAGCCGGACCCCCTGTGGCTACCCAGTGTCATTTTTCTCGGGGCTCCGCCGAGCACGTTCCCTGCAATATCGCACCACCACGCGGGATGAGGCACTTGGCGTAATTTTGCGCACAATAGGCACCTGATTTTATTCACCAGATTCCGTGGCCCGCAAACGGTTCGGCATCCAGCGTCCCAGTGCGGTAATCGGCCGCTAAATGTGCGAGAGAGTACGAGCCCTTCTTCCCAGATCTGCCTTCACAGGGTTCCATTTGTGATTGTGTGGTCGGTCACGAAGGTAATGCTAGCGAGCGGTCGGGGCCAACTTCGTGCATTCTCTGCTTCCCTTTCACCGCTGTAATTTCCTGTTCCTTGACTACGCAAATAAGAAAGGGTTTTTTTCATAAAAGTCACCGTTTTTATTCTCAGGCGATTGGAAATGTACTTGAGTTGGATTTCATATTCAAAATCTGAAATAAACTGGACACACTTGCAAACCAGATGTTCCATTCTCAGGGATTTTCTAGGTGAAATATTTTTTTTATCAAAATTGACGGACCGAGTCGACCCTCAACCAGGATTTGAACTCACAACCGTTGACTGCGAGCCACTCGCTCTGCTGCCGAGCAACACGGCTGGCATGCCATTGCTGCTGCTGCTGCATAAGGGGGTGAACGGGCAACACCTTTTCCAACCCGGTCTCGCCGAAATCACCCAGACATCGATCTCACACTCAGAATGTGCTCTCCACCGCCCATGCCTACTATCAGGAGCAGTGGGCCACGTGACTCACACCAGGCCTCTTACCTCCTGACCCCATCGCAATTCACCCCACGGAGACATGGATATAATGGAGGCTTCACGTGCCAGATACATGTGTAGTGTCTTCAAAAATGACTCACACCGACACGTTGGAACAAGTCACCTGCTTACACTCTTTTTCACCTGTTCTCACGCCTATAACTATCTGTAAAGTCACATACACTTGACTTCTCCCCGCTCTTATCTATTCTGCACCTCACTTATCCTGAACTCAGCAACTCTGCACTCAACAGCTCCGCACTCAACAGCTCCGCACTCAGCGAGTCTGCACACAGCAGCTTCGCACTCAGCGACTCTGCATCTCCACAGGCGGTTTGTCGGTTGCGAACCTCATGTTGCAATGCACACATCTGTTCGACCTCACTTGCACCCGCCTAACAGCGCGCACCGCGTATATCTCTCCTCTACACATATAATGGAGGAAACGTAGCCTGTGGACAGAGGCGCTAAAGTGGTGATGATGCGGTGCTGCAGCCCAGATGGGTGAGGTTCGTTTCCTCACTGTGACCCACAACACCAACGGTAACCGGCATCTGGACCCGGGTTTGGCCTCGATATCTCCAGTGCCGTGCTAGCCAGGAGATGCGCTGACTCGGATCACTGTGCATAGATGGTCACGTTGTTTACAAACAAACAACCGGAGGATCGCTGTCTTTCTACTCGACCGATTAGGACATCGATTTGGCGGTGATTGCAGTTGCGATTAATCAGCAATACTCGGTGGAGGGGTGAATGGGTGAACGAGCGACGTACCCGGGGAACCAGCTGTACTCGGTGGAGGGGTGAGTATGTGTGTGTGTGAGTGCGCGAGCGACGTACCCAGGGAATCAGCAGTACTTGGTGGAGGGGTGAGTATGTGTGCGTGAGTGAGTGCGTGAGCGACGTACCCAGGGAACAAGCAGTACTTGGTGGAGGGGTGAGTATGTGTGTGAGTGCGTGACATACCCAGGGAATCAGCAGTACTTGGTAGAGGGGTGAGTATGTGTGTGTGAGTGCGTGAGCGACGTACCCAGGGAACAAGCAGTACTCGGTGGAGGGGTGAGTATGTGTGTGAGTGCGCGACATACCCAGGGAATCAGCAGTACTTGGTGGAAGGGTGAGTATGTGTGTGTGTGAGTGCATGAGCGACGTACCCAGGGAATCAGCAGTACTTGGTGGAGGGGTGAGTATGTGTGTATGTGTGTGAGTGCGTGAGCGACGTACCCAGGGAATCAGCTGTACTTGGTGGAGGGGTGAGTATGTGTGTGTGAGTGAGTGCGTGAGCGACGTACCCAGGGAACAAGCAGTACTTGGTGGAGGGGTGAGTATGTGTGTGTGTGTGTGAGTGCGCGACATACCCAGGGAATCAGCAGTACTTGGTGGAAGGGTGAGTATGTGTGTGTGTGTGAGTGCATGAGCGACGTACCCAGGGAATCAGCAGTACTTGGTGGAGGGGTGAGTATGTGTGTGTGTGTGTGAGTGCGTGAGCGACGTACCCGGGGAAAAAGCAGTACTCGGTGGAGGGGTGAGTATGTGTGTGTGTGTGTGAGTGCGCGACATACCCAGGGAATCAGCAGTACTTGGTGGAAGGGTGAGTATGTGTGTGTGTGTGAGTGCATGAGCGACGTACCCAGGGAATCAGCAGTACTTGGTGGAGGGGTGAGTATGTGTGTATGTGTGTGAGTGCGTGAGCGACGTACCCAGGGAATCAGCTGTACTAGGTGGAGGGGTGAGTATGTGTGTGTGTGAGTGCGTGAGCGACGTACCCAGGGAATCAGCAGTACTTGGTGGAGGGGTGAGTATGTGTGTGTGTGAGTGCGTGAGCGACGTACCCAGGGAATCAGCAGTACTTGGTGGAGGGGTGAGTATGTGTGTGTGTGAGTGCGTGAGCGACGTACCCAGGGAATCAGCAGTACTTGGTGGAGGGGTGAGTATGTGTGTGTGTGTGTGAGTGCGCGAGCGACGTACCCAGGGAATCAGCTGTACTTGGTGGAGGGGTGAGTATGTGTGTGTGAGTGTGTGAGTGCGAAAGGCGATGTACCCAGGGAATCGGCAGTACTTGGTGGAGGGGTGAGTATGTGTGTGTGTGAGTGCGTGAGCGACGTACCCAGGGAACCAGCTGTACTCGGTGGAGGGGCGGCCGATGAGGTTGAGGCTGGACGCCTTGTGCACGGTGAGCGTCTCGTGCACGTAGCCGTGCGGGTTCACGTAGGCCGCCATCGGGCCGTACTGCGAGAGGCTGCAACACACAAAGCAGCAGCAGCAGCAGCGGTGGCATCAGCCGCGGTGGTAGCAGCAGCGACACGCTCTCAGTTTAACGACCACGACGTCGTCGTCGTCGTCATCCACGCAGGAAAGCCTCGCCGGCTCTCGCGACTTTTTCAGGAAGGTCGTCCTCTGGGCGTGTAGGCCTCGAGGAGTACTCAGTGTGGTCACTGAGGATGGAAACTCGCTCGGGAGACCGACGACTAAAGTGAGAAGGCAAAGCGCTTGTCGCACCGCATCCTCGCCACACCGTAGCAGTCTCAGCAGGGACTCCCAACGCAGACTCAGCAACACCCCTGGGACAGTGGCACTTTATTTTATCCACAATAAAGGTGTTGGGTGGTGGTGGGTTAATGACACATATTTACACGATCTAACCCAAAAAACCTTATGGATAATATTGGTCGCGAAAGCCTACATGTTAAACGAAATTATATTGTTTCAACACAAATGGACCACTGCAAGTTTTTCTAAGTTAGTTGTACATGGATACGCCAGTGAAGGTGCCCCTACGCTCTGTTACACATTTTGTAGTGCACATCTCTGTTGTTGGCTTTGAGGCCGTGGTGTAAATTGCACTGGAAACTAGAAAAGTGCCGAACCAACTTCAAAGTGGTGGTTTATAGTGCAGTCGATGGTGACAGGGCACCGAGATGGTGGACTCGCTCCGCTTGAGAACCCCGTTTATAGTGCAGTCGATGGTGACAGGGCACCGAGATGGTGGACTCGCTCCACTTGAGAACCCCGTTTATAGTGCAGTCGATGGTGACAGGGCACCGAGATGGTGGACTCGCTCCGCTTGAGAACCCCGTTTATAGTGCAGTCAATGGTGACAGGGCACCGAGATGGTGGACTCGCTCCGCTTGAGAACCCCCTTTATAGTGCAGTCAATGGTGACAGGGCACCGAGATGGTGGACTCACTCCGCTTGAGAACCCCATTTATAGTGCAGTCGACGGTGACAGGGCACCGAGATGGTGGACTCGCTCCACTTGAGAACCCCGTTTATAGTGCAGTCAATGGTGACAGGGCACCGAGATGGTGGACTCGCTCCGCTTGAGAACCCCGTTTATAGTGCAATGGTGACAGGGCACCGAGATGGTGGACTCGCTCCACTTGAGAACCCCCTTTATAGTGTAGTCGATGGTGCCAGGGCACCGAGATGGTGGACTCGCTCCGTTTGAGAACCCCGTTTATAGTGCAGTCGATGGTGACAGGGCACCGAGATGGTGGACTCGCTCCACTTGAGAACCCCCTTTATAGTGCAGTCGATGGTGACAGGGCACCGAGATGGTGGACTCGCTACACTTGAGAACCCCGTTTATAGTGCAGTCAATGGTGACAGGGCACCGAGATGGTGGACTCGCTCCGCTTGAGAACCCCCTTTATAGTGCAGTCAATGGTGACAGGGCACCGAGATGGTGGACTCGCTCCGCTTGAGAACCCCGTTTATAGTGCAATGGTGACAGGGCGCCGAGATGGTGGACTCGCTCCGCTTGAGAACCCCGTTTATAGTGCAGTCAATGGTGACAGGGCACCGAGATGGTGGACTCGCTCCACTTGAGAACCCCGTTTATAGTGCAGTCAATGGTGACAGGGCACCGAGATGGTGGACTCACTCCGCTTGAGAACCCCCTTTAATGATGGACAGCCGCTTGGATCCACGCCAATCCCACACTCTCACCTCCCGTCCACCCCAATGTTCCCCTTTATTTACAATTTGTTCACGGCATTCAAATTGCAATTTGTCGTGTGCTTCTGAAAAGGACCTGTGCATCATTCACACGTGGTAGCGGCCAGATGGTGTTGGGCGGCCGTGCAACACCCACGTCGGAGCACCGAGGCGGCACTGCTGAGATTCTGGCTTTGGCAGCCACCAGCGATTAAAATATGGGGTTTCAATTGTAGCGAGTTTAATGGACTCAGCTCAGTTACCAATGACGACACAAAAAAACAAACTTTTAAATTATACTCTTCACTTAACAGAGCAAAGCCCAAAGAATAATACCATTTTTTTTATACGGCACCATTCATATAAATTGCATCTCAACATGAGGCAGAATTTGGAATACGGCGGTTTTTGCACAGAAGGGACAGGAGAGGCCTAGCGGAGGCCCAGGACTGGATCAAACCGGTTCGATAGCTCGTGCTGTGAATGGAAGCCGGGTTCCTTAAGCCGTAGCGCATATACACGCATGCTTATCTACTTGTAGGCACACACATGCACCGAGTACTCTTCAACAACCACGGTAATAAGAGCCACGCTCGACGAATTAATGCGTCACGCACAGGAGCCTGTGCGGTGCACCTTCTAATAGGCACGTCCAACAATCGCAGGTAACGATGGTAATGAGATTGGTGGTTCAGGCGCAAGGAGACAATGAATCATATTCCGTGCAAACTGTGCTTTTTAAAAGTTAAGATTGCTGCGAGTCCTTACCTATGGGCATTGATTGAAAACTGAATGATTGTTTGTACTTAAATATATTTGATCTTTGACAAATTAGACCACAGCATAGATTTATTTATTTATTTAGGACGTAAAATTATTAATGCACGGCAATTTTAAAGACATGTCTCAGGCTTTCATCTCTACAAGCGCATTCCATGATACTCCGACTGATGCTTCTGTTGTTGTGGAGTAACTCATGCAGCCAGCTATGGCTCTAGGATTTGGTGTTACATGTTATTATGTAGTTTATTGTAAAAATTTGGTCACAGTCCCTGTGATCACTGTTACGTTGCAATTATGGCTTTATTTTTTGGTGATTTCGAAAACGTTTTTTGGTTTCAGGAATATTTTGCTGTTTTATTTCATAGATTTTCTGATTGCAGTCACATAGTCACTTTAAGATCTTTTTCTTGTTCGTGTTTTTGTTATTTTGTTTGTTGTGGTTGCACCCGATCCAAAAGCCGAATGGCTCACAGGGCTATACCAAAATAAACTGAAACTGACTGCAAATGGCTTTCAAAGCCTCGCGCATTCATTTTCGTTTTTAATTTCTTGGCCAGATCCGGCGGAGGAAACCCCCCCCATTCCCCTCCCCCGCCCCCTAAATTATTCATTCACACGAGCTCCACTCTCTCTTCATGCGCTCTTAAATCCCTGCATGCACGGTACCCGTGCATGCCTGTCGCCCATTCAGGGTGGATATTGGTTACTGCAAGTTGCACGGCAAGTGCCACTGTTTCTTTTCAGAAACAATGCGAAGCGACCAATATCATGGTTCGGCATTACAGCCGGGCTGCGGTGACGGCTACGCACGTGGCTGCCTGTAATGCAGCACTGTGGAGAAGGCTGCGACGGTTGGTGGATCGCACACAAATGTTGTGAAACTCCCTTCCCGTGACCGGGGAGGTGCCACATCCTGGCACGCCAGCAGGCGTCAGAGTCTAGCACGGGGGCCGAGCGTGACGTCAGCGGCACGGCTCGGGTCACACTGTTGAAAAACCACCTGGCGCCGTTCCTGAGGCACGCCAAGCAAAGAGTACGTAAAGAGCAGATAACGCTCAAACCTTCACGCGCGGCGGGGAACGCATCCGCCGTGCTGGCACCCATCGGCACCTCACAGTGCAAGAGAGCCCCCGAATGATCCACCAACTCCATCTCCAAAGTGCTGGATTACAGGAATGTGCCACCGCGCCCAGACACCCGTCAGTTTTCTGTGGGCACTCCGGTTTCCTCTCACAAGCCAAGAAATAAACCCCACTAACACTTACATCGAATCTAATCTTCACTCAAGATGCTCTATAACCCCACTGGCTTCCCGTTTAATACCTGATGCTCGTCTTTAAATGTCTCCAGGGCCTCGCCCCACTCCACCTCACCTTTTCATTCCTAAGCTTCTCTCAGTCCCTCCTTTCTGTTTTCGATTCGTCTCCCTCCTTGCAGCCCTCTACTGGAATAAACTCCCCCTGTGCATTGAACAGCACTGCCCATAGACTCACCACTTCCCATAGACTCAACACTGCCCATAGACTCACCACTGCCCATAGACTCAACACTGACCATAGATTCAACACTGACCATAGACTCAACACTGCCCATAGACTCACCACTGCCCATAGACTCACCACTGCCCATAGACTCACCACTGCCCATAGACTCACCACTGCCCATAGACTCAACACTGCCCATAGACTCACCACTGCCCATAGACTCAACACTCCCCATAGACTCAACACTGACCATAGACTCAACACTGACCATAGACTCAACACTGACCATAGACTCACCACTGCCCATAGACTCACCACTGCCCATAGACTCGCCACTTCCCATAGACTCGCCACTTCCCATAGACTCGCCACTGCCCATAGACTCATCACTGCACCATATACTCAACATTGCATAATATACTCAACAATGCCCATAGACTTAGCACTGCCCCTGTACATGAAGCAGTCCCCCTCCTTAACATGCTTCCATTCCTCTCATAAAGCCCCAACCTCCTCTCTATTCCCCATACTCTTCATCTTCCCTCCCCTCGTCCCTCCACTCCTTCCCGTCCCTCCCCTACCCTTTCGTGATCCCTCAAGTTCCCTCTATCATGGTCACTCGTTCCTCAACCCTTGTAGCACGCCTCTGCCATCTGAATGATTCTATTCGGTCACTGTTTTCTAAACTACGGCAAGCGAGTTGAATGAAGGCGCTCAAATATAAATGAGATGAGAGTGCAAGGATTGAGAAATGCGTGACCGTGAATGTAATTGGTCAAACATCTTAATGCAGGACCCCTGTAAAGAGGAGCCTTGAGACTCAGCGAGGCATTCCTGGAGATTTTTTTATAACCTGAGGCGACCAATTAACTGAACACAATTAATTCTGATGACCACGCCTCATCGCTCTCAATGTGCCCGTATAAAGGCACCGCAGCGTTCGAATGTTCCGCAGTTGGGGCACACTGTCACGATTCAGCAACACAAGAAGCAAACGAGATGAGGAGGGTGTGCCGCCAAGTGTGCCGCTCTGTGTGCCGCCCTGTGTGCCGCCCTCTGTGCCGCCCTCTGTGCCGCCCTCTGTGCCGCCCTCTGTGCCGCCCAGTGTCCCGCCCAGTGTCGCGCCCAGTGTCGCGCCCAGTGTGCCGCCCAGTGTGCCGCCCTCTGTGCCGCCCAGTGTGCCGCCCTGTGTGCCGCCCAGTGTGCCGCCCAGTGTGCCGCCCTGTGTGCCGCCCAGTGTGCCGCCCAGTGTGCCGCCCAGTGTGCCGCCCAGTGTGCCGCCCAGTGTGCCGCCCTGTGTGCCGCCCTGTGTGCCGCTCTGTGCGCGACGACGATGTCTACCTGAATATTTCGCCCCGCATGGTGATTTCCATGTCACAGTTTCTGCAGCACAGCGACGTGCACTGGAACACACGAAGATAAGCGCTCGTTACAAAACTATCGCAAACGTCAAACAGGACCAACGGCCTTGACAAAGTACAGACACTGTTGCATTCACATTTTCACTTCATAGTATATATCTCTATGTGTGTGGATATTTTGACATCGCGCATGAAGGCCCCGAGCGATGAAGCGACCAAATGCCACCGCCGCCGCGGCCCGGCGTGCCCACCTTCTCCAAGATGTCGAGCTCGCAGCGCAGCCTCTGCACGGCACTGCCCACGGTGAGGAGGCTCAGGCGCACGTCGTTGTCTATGGGTAGACACGAGGCCACCCAGTAGGAGAAATCTGTGCGGGGGCACACGGCGTGTCACGCGATCGACGCGTTCACGTGGGCAACGCTCCCAAAATGGCGCCACCACTTGCACGGAAATGTCCCACCGCTCCCGGATGAACGGTTGTGGCCGCGAAACGAAAAGGTGGAAAGGTGAGAGAGAGCGTGACGATACCTATGGCGTTGTCAGGCAGCGCTTTCTCTCTCAGCTTTCCATACCACTCGCGCAGATGCCGCTTTATCTTCTCCATCAGAGTATCCTGCCGACAGGAGCCGAGGGGGCACAAGGTACGGGGCGGGAAAAGCAACCAGGGCTGCACGAGTGTGCGCGCACTCACGCCAAGCGGTGCCGCCGAATCGCGCTGCGCAGAGTTAGGCTCAGTGCGTCGTGTCAAAAGTGAAAAAGTCAAATAGGAATTTGAGCCAGACTAAAATACGTCAAATCGGACTGCCAAGTCAGTGTACCAGATAAAACTTCCAATTCTAGCCACAGGCTCGTAGGGGTTTGCAATTTAATTTCATGTGTTATTGTCAAATGTTGTGCTTTGAGCAACGATGCAAACACGCTCTACTTCTGTGAACAATAGAATCGGAGGGCATTTAACACCCACTTTACAGACGAGGACTCAACACTGTACTTTGGCCGATGCCAGAAGTAGTTTCCTTCAGCCGATGGCAGCCGGAGGGCAGCGTTGACTGGGAGCAAAGGGAGAGGTTGGACACTCACGGCGTCGTACAGAGAGTAGACCAAGAGAGAGGCTGGACACTCACGGCGTCGTACAGAGAGTAGACCAAGAGAGAGGTTGGACACTCACGGCGTCGTACAGAGAGTAGACCAAGAGAGAGGCTGGACACTCACGGCGTCGTACAGAGAGTAGACCAAGAGAGAGGTTGGACACTCACGGCGTCGTACAGAGAGTAGACCAAGAGAGAGGCTGGACACTCACGGCGTCGTACAGAGAGTAGACCAAGAGAGAGGTTGGACACTCACGGCGTCGTACAGAGAGTAGACCAAGAGAGAGGCTGGACACTCACGGCGTCGTACAGAGAGTAGACCAAGAGAGAGGTTGGACACTCACGGCGTCGTACAGAGAGTAGACCAAGAGAGAGGCTGGACACTCACGGCGTCGTACAGAGAGTAGACCAAGAGAGAGGTTGGACACTCACGGCGTCGTACAGAGAGTAGACCAAGAGAGAGGCTGGACACTCACGGCGTCGTACAGAGAGTAGACCCAGGGCGGCCACCACGTGAGGCTGGCGCAGTGAAACTTCCTCTGGAAAACAAGTTGGAAAAATCACGCATACGCATGGATTATGCAATGCTGTCCAACACGCGTTTGTCCTTGGAAGTATTTAATTAGTGGTAGGCATGTGTGTGTGTACGCGTGTGGTGTGTAAACATCGCCAATGGAAAGACAAAGGCGGACGGGCGTGGTGCTGGTCACTCACCTACTCATGTACCGTGCCGGCTTTCAAAGGTGCTCGCTAACAGCACTTGCTCCAACAGTCTGTTAAGGCTATACGGGAGATCTTTGTCTTTATATGTATGGCGGAACGGTGACGTAGTGGTTAGCACAATGCGCTATGAATCCAAAAGTCCGAGTTCAATTCCAACTGACGGTCAACCTCAGTGAGGAATATTCAAACCGGTCCGAGGCCTCCCCGAGGTCCACTCAGCCTTAAATGAGCACCTGGTGCCGCGTGTAAACCTGATTCCGCATGTAAACCTGGTGCCGCGTGTAAGCCTGGTGCCGCGTGTAAGCCTGGTGCCGCGTGTAAGCCTGGTGCCGCGTGTAAGCCTGGTGCCGCGTGTAAGCCTGGTGCCGTGTGTAAACCTGGTGTCGTGTGTAAACCTGGTGCCGTGTGTAAACCTGGTGCCGCGTGTAAACCTGGTGCTGTGTGTAAACATCAACACTGGGGAGACAGTGGCAGCCCCAGGCATTGCGCCGGCCACATCGCCCCCTCGTGCGCCATGGCGGCCTTAGTGAGTGCTACTCGCTAACAGCACTCGCTCCGATGGCGGCTTGCGCAGGCTACACGGGGGACCTTTGTCTTTGTGCGCTGGTCCACCTTGTGGTAGCGCCGCCAGTAGTGGGGCGAGGCGGAGGGTCCGGCAGGCGGCGAGGGAGGCAGCTGGCGGCAGAGCGACGCACACCGGGCGCCCTCCAGTGGCGAGAGCATCGTCTTCTCAGCCAGGATCTGTACCTTGGCCACCTTGTTGCTGTACACGGGAGGGGAGGAGGGGGAGAGGGGGTAAGAGCCATAAGACAGAAAGTGAATGTATTATTTCTGTGTATACATTTGATGGCCATCTGTCATACATTTGTTAACAGATTGGGCATAATTGACTTGGAATATTCCAACTGTTTAGAACCCCCCTTTGGTTAGACGCTCCGTTGGTTGAACCCATGACATCACTTCCGGTCTGACCGTATAAAAGGGAAGCCAGGAGAAGAGGCAGGCAGGAGCGAGTGGACAGTCTTCGACCGTGTGATAACGTGATAAAGTAAGTCGACAGGCGAGATATAACTTTGGAAATAATTCGTTTTGTTCAAATAAGAAATAAAGAAACCGTTTTTGATTTAAGACACGTCAAAGCACGGGTCAGACTTATTGCTCCCACAGGTTAAGGCGTAGCTTATTTTTTGGTACAAGAAAGCTGCACCTACAAGGGGGTCATAGCTGAATGAACTCCAAGGCATTTTCAAGCCTCCGTCAGGGTCCATCGTGCTTAGGGGGTTCCAAAACACAGGGGTTTCTCAACCTTATCTGTGGATGCCCGGGGGAAATGCAATGAACATGAGGTGGGTTCCGTGAAATACTGGTGACTCTAGATGAACAGGAAATGTCCAGAGTGAATCACAACCAGGATGTCGTCATCATGGACAAAGCCGTTGATCTTCTTTGGTTCTTTCGGTAAAGTCACGTAGAATGAGAATAAAATAATAAATTGATAAAATAAAATAACGCAATAAAATTATCACGACGTTTCGGCCACAACACAAGCGGCCTTCATCAGGTGAAGGGACGAGACTGTCTGGAGCGAACACAGCCAAGCTCAGATCGCGACCTTTAAGCTGTGTGAGAAGAAACAAAGCGCCTTGACAAAAAAATTAGCATAGAATTTAGCATTGAATAGCTGAGTGATTAGCTTGTGACTGGTCACAGAAATGGCTATGTTAAAGTCAAAGCATACACATCCACAGAGGCACCCCTTGACAAAGGAATTAGCATAGAATTTAGCATTGAAATAGCTGAGTGATTAGCTTGTGACTGGTCACAGAAATGGCTATGTTAAAGTCAAAGCATACACATCCACAGAGGCACCCCTTGACAAAGGAATTAGCATAGAATTTAGCATTGAAATAGCTGAGTGATTAGCTTGTGACTGGTCACAGAAATGGCTATGTTAAAGTCAAAGCATACACATCCACAGAGGCACCCCTTGACAAAGGAATTAGCATAGAATTTAGCATTGAAATAGCTGAGTGATTAGCTTGTGACTGGTCACAGAAATGGCTATGTTAAAGTCAAAGCATACACATCCACAGAGGCACCTAGTACAAATCAAACAGGAGAATTTAGCATTGAAATAACTGAGGGATTAGCTTGTCATACATTCTCCTGTTTGATTTGTACTAGGTGCCTCTGTAGATGTGTAGGCTTTGACTAACACAACTATTTCTATGACCAGTCACAAGCTAATCCCTCAGTTATTTCAATGCTAAATTATCCTGTTTGATTTGTACTAGGTGCCTCTGTGGATGTGTATGCTTTGACTTTAACATAGACATTTCTGTGACCAGTCACAAGCTAATCACTCAGCTATTTCAATGCTAAATTCTCCTGTTTGATTTGTACTAGGTGCCTCTGTAGATGTGTAGGCTTTGACTAACACAACTATTTCTATGACCAGTCACAAGCTAATCCCTCAGTTATTTCAATGCTAAATTCTCCTGTTTGATTTGTACTAGGTGCCTCTGTGGATGTGTATGCTTTGACTTTAACATAGCCATTTCTGTGACCAGTCGCAAGCTAATCACTCAGCTATTTCAATGCTAAATTATCCTGTTTGATTTGTACTAGGTGCCTCTGTAGATGTGTAGGCTTTGACTTTAACATAACTATTTCTATGACCAGTCACAAGCTAATCCCTCAGTTATTTCAATGCTAAATTCTCCTGTTTGATTTGTACTAGGTGCCTCTGTGGATGTGTATGCTTTGACTTTAACATAGCCATTTCTGTGACCAGTCACAAGCTAATCCCTCAGTTATTTCAATGCTAAATTCTCCTGTTTGATTTGTACTAGGTGGCTCTGTGGATGTGTAGGCTTTGACTTTAACATAACCATTTCTATGACCAGTCACAAGCTAATCCCTCAGTTATTGCAATGCTAAATTCTCCTGTTTGATTTGTACTAGGTGCCTCTGTAGATGTGTAGGCTTTGACTTTAACATAACTATTTCTATGACCAGTCACAAGTTAATCCCTCAGTTATTTCAATGCTAAATTCTCCTGTTTGATTTGTACTAGGTGCCTCTGTGGATGTGTATGCTTTGACGTTAACATAGCCATTTCTGCGACCAGTCACAAGCTAATCACTCAGCTATATCAATGCTAAATTCTATGATAATTCCTTTGTCAAGGCGCTCTGTTTCTTCTCACACAGCTTAAAGGTCGCGGTCTGATCTTGTCTGTGTTCGCTCCAGCGCTGTCCTCCAGACAGTCTCGTCCCTTCACCTGATGAAGGCCGCTTGTGTTGTGGCCGAAACGTCGTGAGAATTTTATTGTGTTATTTTATTTTATCAATTTATTATTTTATTCTCATTCCACGTGACTTTACCGAAAGAATCAAAGAAGATGAATCCTTGCAGTCACGAAAGCTTTAAATCTAAATTTAAAGCCGTTGATGCCACCGCTGTCTCTGTCCACCCAGTGGTATGAAAGGGGAAGGCGCAGTCATGCGGTTGGGTAAAGTGGGGGTACTTCTACCTCTTCTATGATGTCTGACCAGAGGAGATATCTGGAATAGTAGGCCAAAAAATACCGACAAGTCAGGCTCTCAGGAGCTCCCTCTAGTGGAGGCCCGTCTGCCAGCAGGGGTGTGAGCAGGGCTGCACTTCTACCTTGTTGTGCATCGAATCCGTGAACCACGCTGAAACCATCAAACTCTAGGCATGCGCCAACAGGTTCAAGACCCAGGGAGCGACAATGGGGCTCGGACCTTGGAGCTCGGAGGTTACTCGGTTTGTAACCCAGGTTCTGCCGTTCATAGAGTAGTGCAGTTTGCTGCGTGATGGTGTCATTGACACACGTACCGATTGTGACAATCACACGCACACTTAACCAGCTAGCCTCCGATTACGCAGCTGCTGGGTTCTAGTTCCCTTCATCCTGTCACGATGATATTGTCGGGTGTCATTGCCCAATGCTGCTCTAGGGAACTGACATGATGAATTACAGAGTAGGTAAAACTATATATAGAATGTATATTTTCTTTACTATCACCAAAGCCAAAGGAAGAAGATGTTGACATTTCAACCGACTGGGTTTAATGAGGAAACATAGAGGCATGAATTGCAGAGATATTCACGGGAAATGAAGAGGAATTGCTCTGAGAAGGGAGTCAAACCGATAGATTTTTCGCTTTGGTTCAGGTAAACTTAAAACCGATTGAAACAGTTATGGTGATAGCTGGATGAAAGTGACTGAGTGCTGGATGATAGTGAGTGTGGTGGATGAATTAATGAATGCCGGCTGATAAGGAGTGACGGATGGATGGGTGCTGACTGATAAGGAGTGACGGATGGATGGGTGCTGACTGATAAGGAGTGACCACTTGATGAATGCTGACTGATAAGGAGTGATCGCTGGATGATCGAATGAGCGCTGTGCCGGCGTACCCGTCCACCTGTGTGCGGACCTCGATGACTCGGAAGCGCTGGCGCCCCACGGCCTTCAGCTTGACGGACTCGACGCCGTGCTCCGACTCGATGCTGCACTGCACGATCTCCGCCGTCGTGCCCAGCTCCGACGCCACAGGCTGCCCCGACGTGGGCTCCAGGCTGCGCAAACACGGACGCACGCACGCTCAGCCGTACACATCGGTGGTGATCGTGACACGCCGCCGTAGGATATTCGCTCACGGCGGCAAATTCCCCTCCAAGCTCTGCTGTCCTGCACGTGCGACGGTGTAATTGGCCGATTAATGAGCGCTTACGCGTGGGAGGAAACCGGAACATCCGGAAAAAACGTTTGCGAGGGGGCAACAGTCTCTCCCACACAGACGGAACAGGTGGCGTCATCGTTTTCCGTGCCACCTTCTCCCGGCGAGCCGAGGGTACGGCACCTCGGTGGCCATTTGCGCGACCCACGGGCGCTCGCTGTCTCCGCGGCGCTGGATTGCAGGCCACGTGCGTAGCCACCGCCGTACGCGTAAGGGGTCGCCCCCCCCTCCTGTGATGTGGTGAACGATCACGATTCCGGGTTGCGGTTTCACTTAGGAATCCATTATTTTTTGTTCTAATTTGTACCGTTTCATTTTTTACTTGTCAAGTACATTCTGTTCTGCTTCTTTGCACTCCTTTGTGCCATTTGCATGTAATATGCACATTCTTTCCCTCTCTCTCTACAGCTCTACGTCCTCTCTCAAAGACGTCAGCTCTCTGCGTGATATTTACCCAACAACCTTGCTTTTAGTTACTCCTCCCAATTGCATCCAATTCTTAAAATTTCCGATGCAACTTAATTCGCTGTCTTCCCCGGCTTCTTGTACCTATAACTTTCCCAGTCAAACTTGCCATTCAGTCTCTTGTTTTCTCATTACATGTCCAAGAAATCTAACTTGCCTTTTTTGTATTTTTTTCATTCATTTTCTTTTTGAACCTGCTATCCATAATGCATTTCCGTCACTCAACTTGTTTGTCCATGAAATTTTTAACATCCTGAATAAAATAGCGCATTTTTGTTATTGTCCGGATTCCACATCCATACAGGGGAACAGACCTGCACATGTAACACTTCAGTATTCTAATTCTAGTTGTCATTAATAATTGGTTACTTTTCAATACATTATTGACAACATTGTAGATAATACGTTATTACATGCATGGTGGTGTGCTTGTATCTCGAGTGTGAGAATAAACTGTAATTGGTCACATGGGAGAGTGTTGTTCACGAGTGCCCAGTGAAACTGGTACGGAAGCAACGGTGTGGCCATAACCACACCCTTTGTCCCACCAGAGAAGATGTGGTGGTCATGCCACTGGGTACTCATTTTAGGCTGAAATTATCCAGAAAAATCTCAAAACAGTCGTTAGCATCATTGGGGAGAATATAAGTAACGAAATAGATCAGAAGCCAATAAGGCCTCTTTTATACAGAGTGGCCCTAAAGTCAGGACACACAGGGTTATTTAATTTATTTTAAACACGGGTATGCTGTGGGTAATTGGTACAAAAGGCCTACAGACTGTAGTCCAAAACTCAGCGACAACCTAAGGGAAACCCTGAAAATTCTAAGTATAGCAGCATAAACACCCACTCTGGGATGGAAGGCTGCACCATCAAGCCCCTTATTCAAAGTTAAGTTGTAAATTCCAGCTTTGATCTCTCATCGACTTTCCCTATTCTACTAGACAAGGCAATGAAAGCCCCATGCATTAAATTAGCTTTTATCTTTCAATGTTTGCTTTAATGGTAAAAAATATCAGGTGATGTTTATTAATTTGGTTGGGTAGGTGGATCATTTTGCATTGCAGGTGATGTAATGGCCATAAGCTATGATATATTTATTAATTTGGTTGGGTAGGTGGATCATTTTGCATTGCAGGTGATATAATGGCCATAAGCTATGATATATGAAGACATAAATTATTTTTTCGTAATTTTGATAGGTTTTATTTTTGTTATAAATCCCAAGCGAACTATCGGCATCAGTGTCTTGGGTCAACGAATTCCAATTCGCAAACTCTCACGGCAAGCAGGGTGCATCACATTTTGTCAAGAGGACAGCTTACGGCAGACGATGTCACAGAATCACGTCGGAAATCGCTTCAATTAGGGTTCTTATCCACACCACGTGATTAATAATAGAGTACATATGCTACATGCGCTGTTCTGACAGCGCAAGGCTATGACGAAGGAGGGCATTACGGTTCACACAGTCCACAGCAGTTTCATAGTGGGAGGCGATGTCACTGTCTGTCATCCCAACGGAGTCATCTGCCGGAATTTTTTTCAAATGTGGCAAATCTTGACCATGACGTGGGCACACAATGGCCTCCGCTTCTCAAAGCGAGTAGCGGGATCTGCAGCGTCGCCCGCGGCTTGCCACGCTCGAACCACGAGCCCCGCAAAGAACGACGACCGCTGGCCGATGTCACCCCAACGAGCGACGACCGCTGGGCCACGTCACCGCCAGCCCGAGCGATGCAAGTTCGCACGGCACGTCCCCCGAGCAGCGCTCGTCCAAAGGAAATCAAATCGCACGTTTGGTTCACAGGTCACATTTGCCAAAGGGTAAATGGAGATCAAAGTCATTGGTGACTGTGGTAGGACCATCAACTTTCCATACTTGAGAACATGATTTAATCCAAGATGAGTGGATTGACCCCAGGATGAGTGGAGGGATTCCAGCCGAGGGATTCCAGCTGAGGGATTCCAGTCGAGGATCTCAGCAGCGTTGGTTTGAAGTGTTGATGAACAGGCTGTTCATCATGAAAAGGCTGTTCATCATCGCTATCTGCCATATTCTATTCGCTGCTAGATTAATGTATTCTCACATCGCAGCTGGTCCCGTGATACCACGATCCATTTCGCTCTGCGATCTTCTGAGATAATTTATATAAGTGTGACAAGAGGCTAATGTTCCTGTAATTCTTTAAACATGTCTCCCTTTTTGAACAGAAGCATCATCTTTTAATGCAAGCATTTGGTAAATTAGGCTGATCATTTTGATCCAACAGCTGGTTGCTTTGATTATAATGTCCAGAGTTGTTCCATCTGGTCTGGGAATCAAAGTAAGTAAAGATGTCTAGAAAGAGGCTATTAAGTGTAAGTGATAGCAGAAATATATTCTAAAGCAATTATCTTGGATATTAGTAATGTACAGTATCTTTATATCACAACTTATCTCGAGTATTCTAAATTATTCATCATAAAACGATAGATTTCCCTTAAACACGTGCTTAAAAGAGGTTTTCTGCATTCTGAAAGTGTTATATTATTACGTCTTGGGGCCACATTTTTCTCCCGTCGGAATGCATCTCCAATGATCTAATGGAAGTCAATGGGCAAATAGGGTTCCATATTCGGAATATTGCTTCATGGACAAGTTTTCAGGAACGTCTCGGTTCCGTATACCGATGAATGCCTGTGGAGTCATACAACGCCCACGACCCTACACAGTGTGGATAGCCCCTTAGCCAGCAGTGGATTTACACGCACATCGTCTTAATATGTTCATTAGAAGGGCTGAGACCCATATTGAGAACTGTGTTTAATCGTTTAATCACCAACTGAGATTTCGAATAAACAACTGCGATACTCACTTTTATTACTAAAGCTACGCAGTATTTGTTCTCTCGCTTGGCAATGCAAACTCCCTCAGGCGTACGGCCAAATCGGTTGAAGCGGAAGCACAATGGCTGTGCAATCGCTGCTTCACCACCGAGCGAAACGTATAATTACCCAGGCCTCGGAGAGGCGTACCCAGGTATCTTTACGATTCATAGTTTGTTGCTAATGCCCGAGACTCGGCGAGCCACACGGAGGAAGGCACCGTGCATAATCCGCCCGTTGTTAATACGATTCTCCAATATGAAATTTAATTATCTTAACAATGAAAATTGTTATCCTCTTAAATCTGTATAAGCCGAGGTTTAGCACCAAATTTCCATTCATGCCAGTACACTGAGCTAGCCCGATGAATAATATGCAGCTCCGGTCGCTATTCATGAGCGAGGCGTGCACTCTGCAACCCTCCGCTGACTCATTCATCTTCCCGTCGCGAAGCAGGTGGGGGATCGCTGCTTTTCGTATTGCCTCCTCGTAAGCGCCGTTATCATCACGGGTAGTGACATTTACAATGTCCTGACCCCACGAATCAAACTGTGGAAGAAAAAATAAACCCACGTTTAACACTGAGCTCAACTTGACCTCGCTAACAATAAACGGACCACCCTTCCCTACCATCATGCGCTGTTGGCATGGTTTGTTGAATGCGTGCGTTCCATTTCAATGTACACAACAGAAACACGAACTATCCTGCTGGAAAAAAGCAACAACTAATAACGACCACTGCAATTTCCACAGAGAACAATGTATTTAGGGCTCGTTTTTTAACGGTTTTCAACAAAGGTTGAACGTTTGAATGCATTAGTTCCATCCGTCCGTCTAGAACGAGGGGTCACCGCAGCTCTTGTAAACATGACACGGCCTGAGCAGAAGCGCGCTCGCCGCTTTGTCACAGAGGTTCGCGGTTTGAAGGCAGCGGCCGCCCCAGTTACTCCTGCGGTGTGTCGTAACCACAATCACGCAAGGAGCCGTCAAATTCACGATGAACATTAAAGATTCCTCCACGCCATTCGCAAGAAGAGGCCATTGTGTGCTGGCATCAGGGTCCAGATTTGTCATGTTCGAAAGTTACACCGCAAATTACTCAATTGGGAATATACATAGTAATCATCGCCCCCTACTGGCAGATTAATGCCCATTTGCAGGCCAGGAGCTGAGACGCCTTGTGCCCACAGGGGCACCTGCCACTGGGGGTGTCCTTCAAATGTGTTGAGTTAAGATGTTGTGTAGTGTGCTCCGAGACACCCCGGAGTATTGGGTGATAGCAGAACTGAATCATTACCATTATTATTATCATCATCATTTAAGATGACACAATATGAACTACATTTCACTTAAAAGTTCAATTTCTATTCAGGGTTGAGCAATACTCGGTGAAAACAAATCCAGCGCTATTCTATCCTTGCACAATGGACACAAGACCAGGAGGCCAGGTGGTTAAGGCGACGGATTGCGAATCCATTGTGCCTTCGTCGCGATAATTTCCCACACCTCCGATTAGCCCGGGTGGCTACGTACGGTGCGAAAAAGTTCAGTGTATATCCATACATACAAACCTGTAACTATGAAACATCAATTCCAGCCTTCAAGGAGGACTCTACAGCACAGTCATGGCGCCCCCTTGTGATATCGCTGGTGAATGATTTCCTCCAGCGTAATACATCGCTGCTTATTGTGATATCGCTGGTGAATGACTTCAAGCGTGCTACTACATCGCTGCTAATTGTGATATCGCTGGTGAATGATTTCCTCCAGCGTAATACATCGCTGCTTATTGTGATATCGCTGGTGAATGACTTCAAGCGTGCTACTACATCGCTGCTAATTGTGATATCGCTGGTAAATGACTTCCTCCAGCGTGCTACTACATCGCTGCTTATTGTGATATCGCTGGTGAATGACTTCAAGCGTGCTACTACATCGCTGCTTATTGTGATATTGCTGGTAAATGACTTCAAGCGTGCTACATCGCTGCTTATTGTGATATCGCTGGTAAATGACTTCCTCCAGCGTGCTACTACATCGCTGCTTATTGTGATATTGCTGGTGAATGACTTCAAGCGTGCTACATCGCTGCTTATTGTGATATCGCTGGTAAATGACTTCCTCCAGCGTGCTACTACATCGCTGCTTATTGTGATATTGCTGGTGAATGATTTCCTCAAGTGTGCTACTACATCGCTGCTTATCAATACGTCGATTAAAGTACAGTAGAATTGTTCTCACAATCCGCCCGTTGAAAGAGATGCGACATTCACCACAGTGTCATGCGAGGTAGAAAGGTCACACATGCATGGAATATACAACGCATTGATGCAACTCTTTTTTTATTCAAATAGTTTACCTGGATAATCCCTTCAGATGGAATATCTGGTTTTGAAGGATGCCCGGGGTATTTTAACGAATGAACTGGCAAGTTTTCCAGAACCAACGCATGCTACGTTGACCTAGCAAGACATCGTAATCTGGTTTTGGGTGAAGCAGGCCCAGCCATAATGATGAGATAACTGCGCGTGACATCTCTTGGTACACCGAGGATGGACATAGCGTTCCACGTCATCGGTGCATTTCAATGCAAGCAGCACGACTCAGCTTCTGCAATGGAAAAACAAACTGGGTGCCTCCTGTCCAGCACCGTGCTGGCCAATGCACTAAAGGTATAAGACACCCGGAGAGCCCCACATATTTAATCTGCGCTTCGCAGATGACCGCAATTTGCATTCAGGCAGCTCCCTCAAGTGGCCATGTAGACGTTTTACTGCCAAACAAATTCCATTCAAACAGCATTATCCCTTTGAATGGTCCACATTGCATATTAATATATGCAACACTGACATATTTGCATATCAAACGTGAGTGAATCAGAACACTAACATTTTATCCTCTGTGCAGGTGAATGCATCATTTTTGTAGCGGCATAAAAAGTATAAAAGAAAATAAAAATAGGAACAAAGGGAGTCCTGATTTCCCTCGTATTAAAAAATACGTGACTTTTTGATCATATCATAAACTACACAGACGTAGAGCAGTGGCACAGCAGTTAAATTAATTCCGGCCACCGTAATTCGATTCCCTGCCATGGCTAACATCAGCAGCGAAATCAGAACCAATCCTGGGTACCTGCAAGTGACTACATCGTTTTCCTACAGCTGTTCTCCGGCTAGGGGGAAATGTATCCGTCTTGTGAGATACGGCCGACTGGCACAGCGTGCACAAAGACAAAGATCTCCCGTATAGCCTTAACAAACCGTCGGGGCAAGTGCTGTTAATGAGCACCTATGAAGGCCGGCACGGCACACGTGGGGGTGGGTGCCCAACACCACGCTTAGCTAACTGTGTCCCGAGCGGCGATATTCATACACCGCACTAGGTACTTGAGGTTGAGTCACGCGAACACATACACACGCGCACACACCTGTAGGCCAGCACCCCGAAGGTGCGGTCGTTGAGCACCAGGTTGCGGATGAGTGACACCTCCTGGGGGCGGAACAGGTGCAGCGGCAGCGTTTGTCCCGGGATGAGCATGGTCAGGCCGCCCGACAGCAGCGGCACCGACTGGCAGCTCTCCTCGTCGTGCACCGTGCGTCCGCTGTACTCCTGCAGGTCCGTGCCCAGGTACTGCAAACATAGCAGTCCCCGGTATAGCCACGCAGACGCTTGGTGCAAGCACCGTTAGCGAACACCAATGCGGGGCCGGCATGGTGCCACACCGAGGGGGTGGTGTGGCCGAGCATCACTCCCCGTCACCTTAGTCTCCTCGTCGTGCCGATGTTTACACACCGTGCCAGCTACTCTTCTAAGGCTGAGTCAACCTAGACGAGGCCCAAGACCGGTTCAGATTATTCATTGCCGATGTTGGCTGTGAGCAGAAATCTAACTCTGGTCGTCGGGTGCGTAGTGCAATGCAGTAACCACTCCCCTGGCACGCGCACAGAAGCATGCGCAGCGTAACACTCACGTTAAAAAGAGGTAAAGGCACAGGCCTGAAATGGCTTGCCCAGGCCACTACTGGTGGAAGACTATTTCATGTCGAGGCCACCTAGTGGCTATTCCATGCTGGCCGCACATCTTAAACTAGTCCTGAATACCTCCAAAACCAAGGTGCTATGCTTCTCACCAGGACTCAAGCAGGAAGTTATTTTTCCCCAATTACATTCTTTAAATAATTATCAAATAGAGCAAGTCAAGATCTATAAGTATCTTGGGGTCATCCTGGATTAAAAACTGAATTTTGAAGATCACATTGATTATATTGGTAAAAAGACAAAAATAAAAATTGGTTTTCTGTATCGACACAAACACTGCTTCCCCCCAATGTTCCATTTGGAACTGACAAAGGTACCATACTGTCTCTACTTGACTACTGTGACATCGTGTATAAATCAGCCCCAAGTACTGTACTGAAGAAGCTTGATTCCATCTATCACTCGGCCTTAAGATTTACATTGAACTGCCCATATAGGACTCACCACTGTGATCTCTACATTGGGTCAAACTTAACATCTCTTAATGTTCGACGGCTTGTGCACCAGATCTTATTTATTCACGATGTACTTACAAAAAAATCCGCAGACTACCTGCTGGATCTCCTCTCTGTTTCGAAGAACAAATTTGACCTCAGGTCTTCGCTCATTTATCAGCTTCACATTCCCTATTGCCGTACAAAAACTGGAGGAAGGGCCTTTACTATTGATGCCCCCAGAGTCTGGAATGCTATTGCCAATAAACTGCAACTTGAATCGCTACCAATGAGATCTTCTCTCAAAACTGCTCTAGAGGAGTTGTACACCCCTAGCTGCCACTGCTATTCAGTGGCCTAAAATAAAATAAAATGTTTTGCTCCGGATGACGCTGCAAAGTATTATCTGTATTTTGATTTAGCGTGCTGATCTTAAAGGTGAATTGAAAAATTTGATACTCCGACTGATGCTTCTGTTGTTGTGGAGTAACTCATGCAGCCAGCTATGGCTCTAGGATTTGGTGTTACATGTTATTTATGTAGTTTATTGTAAAAATTCGGTCACAGTCCCTGTGATCACTGTTACGTTGCAATTATGGCTTTATTTTTTGGTGATTTCGAAAAGTTTTTTGGTTTGGACATGTTTGTTTTGTTGTAGTAAGGAGTTAGACTGATGGACTTAATCTAAGTTGTATTGTGGTTGTTGTTGTTGTTTGACTTGCATCCACTGGGATTTTTTGCACACAGCTTTGATGTACGGCGCTTTTTTCAGGAATATTTTGCTGTTTTTTCATGGATTTTCTGTTTGCACAGTCACATAGTCACTTTAAGATGTTTTCTTGTTCGTGTTTTTGTTTTTTTGTTTGTTGTGGTTGCACCCGATTCAAGAGCCGAATGGCTCACAGGGCTATACCAAAATAAATAAACTGAAAAAAACTGAAACTGTCTTGGAGGAGGTGGGGAGCACAATCACTTTATTTTGTTGGGGGGATTCATTCAAAGCCTAATAATTACACAATACACATAAACAAGTTAGTTGGTGACGCTGCTGAATTGGCAGTGGTGCACGAGCACAAGGAGCAAAGACTCGGTAGGTTCGTCAATATCACTGTGGGCTTAAAAGGAGGAAAAGACGACATATTGGGCAATGGCCCTGAGCACATAAAAACAAATTAAGATGGGCCATTGTCCCAAACTTCGCCTATGGTATATTTGCCTTTAACGGCCACAGCATCATTGACGTTTTGAGTAAAAAAAAAGACTGCATTACTGTAAATGATTTGTGTCGGCTGTCTCGGCCTCTGCAGATCTTCACTTCTTGCCTTAATGTTACGCAGAAATTGTGGTGGAACAGGACCAATTTCATGTCATTGGCATCGGCTATACGATGGTGAATCTGCTGGCGGCTATTAGTCAATTCCATCTAGTTGGTTTCCATGTGGACACTGCCAAAGAGCTCCGATAAACATTTAAACCACAAAGGTATCAATACTAAAAACAAAACTTTTTTTTTTTACCAGGTAAGGCCCACTGAGTTAAATAGCTCTCTTTCAGAAGCAACCTGGCCACAAATGTATAGCAGCCAAATACTCTAAAACGCACGTTTATGAAGAGGGCAAAACCAGAAGTCCTGGAGAAAAATCCAAGCAGCCACGGGAAGAGAGAACATGCAAACTCGAAATATACAGCAGTCAGGGTCAGAATCGAACCGACGACCTCCTGTATACCACGCGAGGTAGTTAACATCTCGCCACCGTGCTGCCCCTAAGAAACTAACAGCGCGTCTCTCTGTGCAAAACAACATTTACTTACATTTTGATTTAAAGCTTTCGTGACTGCAGTAATTCATATTCTTAGTTCTTTCGGTAAAGTCACGTTGAAGGGAAACAATAAAATAATAAAATATATATAAAACAATAAAAATTATCACGACGTTTCGACCATAACACAAACGGTCGTGAGAATTTTTATTGTTTTATATATATTTTATTATTTTATTGTTTCCCTTCAACGTGACTTTACAGAAAGAACTAAGAATATAACATTTACTTACTGTCCATTGCCCATGGGCGTTGCAAAGCAGCAATACTTCACGAGAGTACAGGAGCTATTTAAGCAGGCAAACTGGCTGGTTTTGGCTTTGTGAGTCTTAGTTAATGTGACAGCACATGATCAGTTTGTACACAAAGAGATAAATCTGGAATCTGGCCATGAGCACAAGATTATAATTTATTCCATACATACAACAGCATTACACTTGCAAGAAATCACTGGGTTCCAAACTCAGTCGTGTATAGTGTTGATAGGCTGCCTCGAATGGGCCTAGTATCTTTTTACATCCAACTCCATCCAGTAATACACAACGGAATCCCAAGATCCCAAATGAAAACACTTCTGTGGCTATAGCTCTCCCACGTGTTTTCGGATTGTACCACGAGTTGTTCGGCATTCCGTCCGACGTTTCGCTCCACGTGCCAGTTAGCTTTAGCTCATGGGCACGACCGTGAGAACCCCCCTGGGTGGATTCCCTGCGGCTGTGATGGAAGGAGCAGGGCACGCGTACCGAGTGCAGCGCGGGCAGGGTGGAGTCGAAGTTGATGATGGAGGGGCTTTCCCCGTCATCGCTCTCGTCTCCCGGGTCCACCTCCAACTCGCTCTCCTCCTCCTCCACCTCCCCCTCCACATCCTCCAGTTCTGCACAGAGAGCCACAAAACAAAGGTACCCCGTACAGCGTAAACAGACTGTTGGGGCAAGTTCTGTTAGCGAGCATGAAGACTGGAACGGCACACGAGGGGGTGGGTGGCCAACACCACGCCCGGCCGCCTTTGTCTCCCCAGTCGCAATGGTTAAACAACGTACCGGGAACTAATTTGAGGCTGAGTCGACCTAGGGGAGGCCCAGGACCGGTTCAGATAATCGTCGCTGGTGTTGGCCGTGAAAGGGAATCGAACTCGGATGGTCGGGTTCGCATACCTGTCAACCCCTTATCAAGTGCCTTACAATATTACAGACCAATTCAGACCTCATTGCTCACCCTGTGCCCTTATAAACATCAACGTTCACCCCACAACGTCCCATCACAAGAGACAAACACAAATAGACAAAATTGTTTGCCCGTATCCAAACAGCTGTACGCCGTATGGACCTGAAAACTACATTTCAATGTACAAGAATGCGGGTAAACCGTATGGGTTGAGATGCACACCGCGTTGGTGTACGGTGCTTTTTCTGGAATATTTTGCTGTTTTTTCCTGGATTTCTGTTTGCACAGTCGCATGAAGATGTTTTTCTTGTTCATGTTTGTTGTTTGTTGCGGTTGCACCCGATTCAAGAGCCGAATGGCTCACAGGGCTATACCAACATAAATGAAACTGAATGAATGTACGGGTTGGGCAGCGCAGCGCTAACCGCGACCCTACCACTCTGCGTCACCCTCACCGGCTGTCACGTGGCGCCGGACGCAGCAGGGATTCGAGATTTGAAGCTTTCGTGACTGCAAGGATCCATACTGTTTGGTTCTATTCGGTAAAGTCACGTAAAAGTATAAAACAACAAAAAAATAAAAAAATAAAAAATTCACGACGTTTCGGCCACAACACAAGTGGCGTTCATCAGGTGAAGGGACCAGACTGTCTCGAGGACAGCGCTGGAGTGAACACAGCCAAGCTCAGACCGCGACCTTTAAGCTTGTGTGAGAGGAATTAAGGTGCCTTGATAAAGGAATTAGCATAAAAAATAGCATTTAATTGGCGGACTTAGCATGATGAACGGTATAGAGGGGGTGAACATGTGCAGACCGGCGAGGTGGGGGAGTTTACATATTGATGGTGTGAAAAGGGAATTTAAGCAGCTGCGAAAGTTTGGGATACCACTACTTGAAAAAAGTATATACTGTACTATTGAAAAGTAGTTTAATGTTTGGTTCGATTTAGAACACCTTTCCAATGGTTGCTTAATTTGAAACCATCTTCTCGGTTGAAATTGTGTCTGTGTTTGTAAATCTGAATTGCCTCGTGAACAAATCTCTGATAAAAAACCCGTGGGTTTGCAAAGAACCTTGGTATCGGAGAAAATTATATCGTGATCATCCACAGCGTTGTAACAGTGATCAGCTACGGCAGAAGAATTCGTTCTGCCGTGTTTCAAATCTGATTTGTGCTCGCGAATTCGGTCAGAGACATGTCGTTTCGTCTCCCCGATATAGCAGTCACCACAGGTGCAGATCAATCTGTAAACTCCGGGGTACTGTAAGTCAGGAATGACATCCTTCACGGAAGGGATCAGGTCACGGATTTTGTGTACTGTATTGAACCGGACCAGGATCTTGTGTTTGTTTAGAATTTTGGAGATGTTTTTAGTAACGCCTGCTATATATGGCAGTGTGATGGTTTTGATTGGAGTATCAAGTGGTTGTTTCTGTATGGAGGGAGAAAGAGCTTGGCGGATGGTACGGTCAGAGTATCCATTCCTTTTTAGGGCCAGATGCACATGTTTTAATTCACTGGTCAGGTGGTGTTGGTCCGAAATGCAATGAGCCCTCTGGTATAACGTTTTGATGAGATAATTATTTTGCGTCGGGTGGTGGTGGGAATCAGGTTTCAAGTAGGAATCTGTGTGGGTGGGTTTCCTGTAGACAGGATGTCCCAATGAGCCATCAGGTCTCCTCTCAAACGGCAGCTTGCCATCTTTCTCCACTTCCATGGTGAATTTGATGGTGGGGTGTCTGGAATTGATGTGGTCTAGGAAAAGGTTCAAAGCCGGGAGGCCATGTGGACAAATGACCAAAGTGTCGTCTACATATCTCTTCCACATGGAAGGTCTGAGGGTGGAAGGGATTATCGGCGATGCCAATTGCTAGACGAGCCGTGAAGGCAGCCCCAACACGTGACGACCGTGATGATGATCTCCTCCTCTGTGCCCGTATTAAACCATCATCGACATCATCGGGGTGCTGATGTGGCCTAGCGGTTGCACGTTTGCCGCACGTTACAGAGGTTCGCGATTAAATTCCAGCAGCCGCGCTGATACATAATACTGCGGGTGTAATGAACCTCGGATCTATGTGCGTCGTCTGCTTCGCATGGGGATGGTAAAGATCCCGAGGCGTCGAGATCAACAATTGACACACTACACTAAACACAAATCCGAGTTGACCAAATTAAGAGAAATATAATGTTTGTAGATGTTGTGGAGACGTTACTGGCTGGGTTAAATCTCTAGAGTCTCTAAAACCAAGAAGCTGGCCTCCGGCTCAGACACAAACTGCTGCGAATGAATGAGTGACAAAAATTTGACTTCGACTGAAATAAAATTACTCTACTGCCTGTAGCTTTACGCGGTTAACACAAAACTATTGGGTTAACCAAAAATCCAATCCCATCGTAGTGAAGGCATTTAACCACACTCAGTGGAGATAAATACCAGACTTGTTTAGCATGTGCTCAGCGGCCAGCTCAACTTGTGAACGGATCATCACAGTTCCTCCTCTTTATCTTGATATGCGTGCATCTGTTTGCGTAGAGGGCATTGCTCATTTCCACATTCCGATCTTGAGCCGGTAGTGGCTGAAGATACACGGCAGGACCTAGTCCATCCTTAATGTACACAACAATCACCGATTAACATCACCACATCTGGTGGTGAGCACAGACGAGAGTAACTAAAGGCCAAGACGCAAGGGGGCGACTGCTTCCAGGAGCGTCCTTCACGAGCCTCCTCCTCCTCCACAGACGCCGATCTTGACACCGCTGGTAACAATCATTGGCAAGTCCACTCCAGCCCCGTTCACATCAGCTCCATCTCTTCTCTAGGCCGTGATCACGCCAGTGAATCATCCCCCTCTATCCGGACAGAAGCCGCTTGGGCAAGCGGTCTGCTTACACTCGCTTCCTTCTCACGCAGGGCGAGCGGTCTGCTCACACTCGCTCCCTTCTTACACAGGGCAAGCAGTCTGCTCACACTCGCTCCCTTCTCACACAGGGCAAGCGGTCTGTTCACACTCGCTCCCTTCTCACACAGGGCAAGCGGTCTGTTCACACTCGCTCCCTTCTCACACAGGGCAAGCGGTGTCTGGGCAAGCAGTCTGCTCACACTCGCTCCCTTCTTACACAGGGCAAGCAGTCTGCTCACACTCGCTCCCTTCTCACACAGGGCAAGCGGTCTGCTCACACTCGCTCCCTTCTCACACAGGGCAAGCGGTCTGCTCACACTCGCTCCCTTCTCACACAGGGCAAGCGGTCTGCTCACACTCGCTCCCTTCTCACACAGGGCAAGCGGTCTGCTCACACTCGCTCCCTTCTCACACAGGGCAAGCGGTCTGCTCACACTCGCTCCCTTCTCACACAGGGCAAGCGGTCTGCTCACACTCGCTCCCTTGCTCCCTCACCCACACAGGCGCGGGGGCGTAGCCCCAGGCCGAGCCCTGCCGCGTACCCGGCATCTGCTGCAGGTAGCGACGTAGCCCCTCGCGATCGTCGTCCTCGTCGTCGGCCATGTCTCGCGCTGCCCGCGAGTGCGTGCTTTGTTAATTGGCGAGTTAATTGAGACGATCACGCGAGCGACTGCAGCCACTGCCGCTGTCAGCCACTACGCACTTAAATATCCGCCCGCGTGTTTACGGCTCTGCAGCAGACGCGGAAAGGGCGGGGCCAAGCCGGGAAGTGGGCGGGGTTATCCATGAACAGGCGGGGCCAAGACGGGAAGTGGGCGGGGTAACTTTCGGAGACGGGCGGGGTCAGTATGGAAAGTGGGCGGTGCTGCCCGAGATTGGGCGGGGCAAAGATGACGAATTGGGCGCGAGCGAAGCGCAGTAGGCGGGGCTACGCGAGTGATGGGCGGGGCTAGAATCTGAGAGGGGCGGGGTAACACGAGGAAGGGTTCCCGATTCAAGGTCACGGTTCGGGTTAACGAGTCGACCTCACGAGTCGACCCCACGTTGCCCGAAACGTCGAACTAAATTATGTTTCCTTTCACTATGTGCTCCACCCACCCCGTGCGGTGACGGGAGTGGGGGGGGGGCGTGCGAGAGCGAGGAGGAGGCGGCGCGAAGCCGCGGCGACCCGGACCTGGTCCCCGGTAGCGAACCCGGACGCACATCGCCGCCCGGGCCGCGTGACCCCTGGCGATCTCAGCGCATGCCGCCCGCGTGTTGGGGGAGGGGAGCGGTGGTGCAGCGGTTAGCGCGTTACGCTGCGAACCCGGAGAACCGAGTTCGATTCCCGCTCACGACCACCAACACCGGTGACGATTATCTGCACCGGTGCAGGGCGTCCCCTAGGTCGACTCGGCCTCAAATGAGTAACTGGTGCGGTGTGTAAACATCGCCGCTGGGGAGACAAAGGCGGTCGGGGGTGGTGCTTGCCACCCACCCCCTCGTGTGCTGTTCAGGCCATCATAGGTGCTGCTCGCTAACAGCACTTGCCCCAACAGTCTGTTACGGCTATACAGGGGATCTTTGTGTGCTGTGTGCAACATCAGCAGCAACAGCGACAGCAGCAACAGCGACAGCGTGAATGGACACGAGGGAGTTCCTCGTCTGTCTGGCGGTGAGTGTCTCACGCACAGCACACACGCACAGCACACACGCCTGCTGTGTCAATCATACACACACACACACGTGTGTTGTGTCAATCACACACACACGTGTGTTGTGTCAATCTCACACACACGTGTTGTGTCAATCACACACACACGTGTGTTGTGTCAATCATGCACACACACGTGCGTTGTGTCAATCACACACACGTGTGTTGTCTAAATGGAGAAACACGTGCGTGCTGCGTTGTCTCAATCAAACACGTGTTTTATGTTAACATGGTTTACCTATGAACAAAACATGGAGAGTGCGAGCCATCTCGGAAGCTAAGCAGAGTTAAGCCTGGACAATGCTTGGGATGGGCAACCACCCATGGCATAATGGCACAGGTTATTGTCGTTGTATGCAGCGTGTGGGGCTGCTTGCTGGGTGGTGTGCAGCTCAGCGAGTGAAATGCAGCGACATCCTCTCCAAGCCGCACTGACCGACGTGGTGAAGTATGGTCAAATAACCCCTCACTGCCCGTACCGCGTGTAAGACAACCACAGCTGACGTTGCACAAAGTGGCAACCAAAGGAGGGAACGTGCCCGAGAGGACGCCCATGGAGGAGACGGAGCGATGGAATCAGCTAGTTTGCAGCAGGGGCTAGGTGGATTGGTAGCGGTGGATTGGTTGACTATGGCTGGCAATGGTGAACAGCACTTGGCACAGCCCATAACGGAGATGTGTGTGTCTGTGTGTGTGACAGATCAGCCGGTTGCATGTGGTAGGACAAAGTGTGGGTACGTTCACCTCTTCGAGCGTGGAAAAGGGTGGTAAAGGCGGGAAGGTGAACCAATGGCGGGTCACGAGGACTGCAGGTCGCTGGTGTCGCCGCCGGGAGTCGATTGATTGGCTGGTGGCGGGCCCTTCTGCTAGCAGTGGCAAGAGCAAGTCATTGCAGGGCCGCACCTTTACCCCGTGCGTGTGTGCGTGCGTTTGACAGGCCGGGGGGCTCGCGGGTGCGAGCGTGGACCTGACGCTCTTCCCGCTGGACACGCTCAAGACGCGCCTACAGAGCGCCCAGGGCTTCGCGCGAGCCGGCGGCTTCCGTGGCGTCTACGCGGGCGTCCCCTCGGCGGCCGTCGGATCCTTCCCCAACGGTGCCGCCCACTCGCCCGTCACGGCCTCTCGGCCTCCGTCCCCAACCGCCACGACCCACAGGGCACGGGGCCGGGGCAGCGGCTCTCATTCCGCTTTCCCGCTGGCACGTCCCGAGCCGAGCCGGCACGTGGCCCTCGCGGTGCGGATGGTTTTCCACAGGCGAGCCACGCTAAGCCAGAACCAAACCAAGCTACGCTGGCCTCGTACAAAATCTGAATCTGGCTCAGGGCCGAGCGGAGCCAATTAATAATTTTGTTCATACATTGCGTCGGTCAATGTGCTTACGGACTCGTTCATTGCGGTATGGCTCCTGTTCTGCGGTGGATAAACAACCGGGTGCCTCCTGAGCCGCGCCAGTTTGGCTCGGTGAGGCCATGGCGTGGCTCGGTTGTGCAGTGGAAAAGTGGCCTCCAGCCAGACTACAATCCCACAGTGCATGGGCCAGTGCAGTGCTTCTCAAACTCAAGAGCCGTGATCTCCAGAAGGTCCCGCTGTCCCTAACGGAAGCCGTGTGTTTATTCGTCAGCCGGTCGAATTTCACAAATATGTGCGATCTGCCAAAATGAAACAGCAGGACTGACCACCTCGGTTGCATCGTCCATGCAACATGAGTTAAACAAAATTGTAATGATTGCCTAAACGTAATGTATTTATGCAGGTTTTTTTTACTCCATAACTGTTGCGTTTAACATGAGTCTCTCAAGTTATTGTGGATTTTGCGGGAGGGTCACACGGCATCTCCGGACGGGAGGGAGCTAACGGGATGCGCGTGGCCGCGTGTTGTTGCAGCCGCCGCGTTCTTCGTGACCTACGAGACTGTGAAGGGCGCTCTGGGCAGCTCTCCCCTGTCGCACATGGCAGCTGCCTCCATCGGAGAAGCTGTGAGGAGCATTTCACAACTCCGCATGTCGCACACCCAGAACGCGCCCGATAATCAGATCTCACAAGCTCTGCAGGGTTGAACCCCTGCAGCTACCATGCATGGCAGGTCGTCACTGGGGTGCGAGGACACGTGGTGGTAAGGGTGAGGGTTTGGTGCACGCACCCACAGTGCAGCCTGCGCGTCACCAGCTGGAGTGTCTCATCCACGTCTGTGTGTCCCTTGTGGGGAGCGGCGGCGCAGCGGTTAGCGCATTGTGGTACGAACCTGGCGATTCGAGCTCGATTCCCGCTCGTGGGCAATACCAGTGAGGATTATCTGAACCGGTCCTTGGCCTTCCCTAGGGTCGACTCGGTATCAAATGAGTACCTGGTGCGCTGTGTAAACATCACCACTGGGGAGACAAAGGCGGCCGGGCATGGTGTTGGCCACCCACCCCTTCATGTGCTAGACCGGCCTTCATAGGTGCTCCTCGCTAACAGCACTTGTACCCAGCAGTCTGCTAAAGGCTACACAGGGGATCGTTGTCTTTTGCGTGAGCAGGTGGCGTGTCTGATCCGCGTGCCCGTGGAGGTGGTGAAGCAGCGGGCGCAGGCGACGCGAGTGGCCACCCGCCAGGTGCTGGCTGCCACGCTGCAGCGCGAGGTAACGGGGGCGCGGTACTGACATCCCTCGCTCGGCAAACCTCTCCTGCGTCACTCGCTTAGTGTTTACGAGCGCGAGAGGAAATGAGGTCACACTGAGAAAATCCATACACTTGGAGGAATATCACAGATATGCACACGGATAGGTCAGCGATCTGCTTAACTGTCAACTACTGGCTGTTTCGTATCCCTGTAGATGGGTATCTTGCACACAAGTTATCCTTGTGCGGTCCACCAACCCTGCTGAGATTGCGGGCTCTAGGTTTGTTCATTGTGTCCACTGGCGTTGTGGGTTCTGGGCGGTGGTGGCTATTCACGTGGCCTGTAACCCTGCACTGTGGAGGCAGCGGGGGTTGATGAATCACACAAATGTTGTAAAACTCCCTTACCGTGGGTGTCGAAGTGCCGTACCAGGAGAAGGCAGTACAGCAAGTGTGGACAAATCTCCATCTGTTTCATTTGTATGGGATAGAGTGTTGCCCCCTTGCACGCTTGGCTTTTCTCCGGGTGCTCCGGTTTCCTACCAATTTTATAAACGGTTATTAATTGGCTGAAAACATCTTAACGTGTTGCAGAGTTGTGTAGCGCTGAGATGCAGTTTGCACGAGCGACGCTGCTATATAAAAACCACTGGGGATCATGATGATTAAGGTGGGTGGGCATGCTGGTCCCACCATCCCTTCATGTACCATTCCGGCCTTAACAGGTGCCGCTAATAGCACGTAGCCAGACATACTGTTGAGCCTTGATAGAGGATCTTTGTGTGTGTGTGTTTCCAGGGTATCTGGGGTCTATATCGGGGATTCAAAAGCACCATCGCCAGAGAGGTATGGCCACACTCCCCCTGCCTCGAGTTTGAAGAAAGGACACCCGCTCTTAATTTAACTTTCATGTCCATTACGCTTTGACATATGGTTCAGAAACATGGTCGTTAACACTAAAAGAAACGGAACAAAAACTGATAAATGTGCATAGGAGCGTGGAGAGATACAAGCTTGGAATTATATTGAGACAGAAGGAGAAAACAATGGATGAGAGAACATACACAAGTTAAAAACACCATAAACATTTAAAGAAAAGTAAGCAGACTTGGGCAAGACAGGTTGCTAGAAGGATGTGCAATGTTCACGGACGGTAGTGATTGGAGTAGCAGTTAAAGAATGCATCGCATCCAAATATACGTCCACCTAAGAGATGGAATGATGAAATAAGCTCAGCTTTGGAAGGCCTGAATCCAGCAGTCAATTGATCATGGCTGATGATGGTTCGGGGGAGAGTCCCGACGGGTCTTGAGAATATTTACGTGGTGGGTATTGCCTGGAATGGCCCAGGCCCAAGGCAAGCCTGTGTGTCTCTTGAGTTGTGTTCATCACGCAGCGGACTCCGTGAACACCGCGCTGAGGGGCTGCGGTGAATCGCGATGATCAACAAAGCGGAAGAATAGAACAATAGATATATTTTCAAATTAAAGAATTGTGTTACCTGCACTTACTGAGAAGTCCAGCAGTAATAAAGTATTAAAGCTTTCGTGACTGCATAAAAAATATCGAAACGTCGTGATTGTTTTTTGTTTTAATATAATTTTTCTTGTATTTCTACATACGTGACTTTACCGAAAAAAACAATGAGTAAGTCCAGCAGTGTGCATTACTGATGCTTTCAGAGAGCGCAACGTGTGTGTGTGTACACGTTGTGTGTGTGTGTGTTTCTGTCCCGTTTTAGATCCCATTCTCCTTTGTCCAGTTCCCACTGTGGGAGTTATTGAAGGTGAGCAGCGATGAATGTGCTATTCAGCCGAAACAACAGCAATTTGTGTACCACTGAATGAATGTATATTATTTTGTTGATCATGGGGGTTATTTAATGTAATTCATGCTGGTAAGGGGGTTGGTGAAGGTGGGGACACTGGATGTGGGAGCATAGAAGCACAGTAGAGCAATGGATTTTTCCGTGCTGCTGTCTGTCCTATGCAAGCACTCTGCACGTTCAAACCTGCTTATCTTCCGAGATCTGAGGAGACTGGGCGTATTCCAGCTGATTTGGTCACAGTCTTCTTCACAAGCTGCCAAAGCCACGCTTGGTAGCCTCGAGCACGTAGTAACGTGCCATCGCAGGCCCCGCAAGCTTGAAACCTGCGCTCCGTTAAAGTGTGGCCCGATGCAGGCTTGAGCCCACTGGAAACAGGACACACCAGCCCCACGTTCACCGCTGAGTGAGCGAGTGAGTGATTGACACCAGTTTACCATTCCCTTCTAATGCACTTGAGCTCCGATTAGCACGGTTGGCTACGTACGGTGCGAAATAAGTTCTACATACATACGTGCTGCACCATGGTTGGTTTACATTGTTCATGTCCCCGGTGACCCTGTGCCCGCCAGGATAGATGGGCGATCCACCAGGGCCATGAGGTGGACTCGTGGCAAGCCGCCACGTGTGGAGCTGTGGCAGGTGCGTAGGTCTGGTCTACACGTTCTCTTCCTGTACTTCCGCGTAAACGCTTCTTTTGATAAGTTGCTGAAAAGATAAACTAATGTGATTTGGCTCATTTCACATTCTATTATTTTTCTTTCATTCAAAAATAAAGTCAATCGAATTTCTGATAATAATGATCTGTACAAATATCACTAAATAATAATTTGCATAATTTTAGAGAATACAAGTAACAAAATAATCCAACAATATGCCTACATATCTGTCCTTCCACAAAAAATATAAACGTATTTGTTTACACATCACAGCCTTCTGGGAGTGAATCATTTCAGCAGCATTGATTCAACACAAGCAAACCAGACCAGTTTTGACATTCAGTGTCTCATCAGCAGTCAGGCTTTCTTGCAACAATGCTGTGGTGGTCTGCCAAATGTTTATGGACAAGGACCTTCTCTGTTCAATCTGGGTCACATATCAGGCGTTTTCAAGTCATTTATGCGATTTTATTTCACTGTAATTTTATCTGTTGAGTTAATATCTGAATTCAAAATATTCTCCTCTGCAAAGTGCAGCTTCAATAACGTTATATGAGCGATACCTACAAACAGTTTGGAAACGCTGCATGCAGGTTTGGCATGAAGTGCACCCTCTTGCACTGCATCCAGCGGCCTAAAAATAATGACAGCGATAACCTGAATCATTGCAGGTGAATCCAGTTGTGTGGAAATTCGTGCACTTAGAGGCTGCACAGCCTGTGGCCTCTCAGGCCCTTGGAGGGAGGTTTTACGGTAGCCTCTGAAATCAAGCTGATTATTCCCCAAAAATATATTCGGTCAAACGCTTAGTTAATGATAATTCCAACTTGCAACGTGCCGCCGAACAGTTTTCGCTCACTCTCATAGAGAGAACGACTCAGATGCACGAGGAGGAGGAGGAATCACAGACGAGCGGAAAGGCAGCTACGCAGTGAACCGATGCTAACATTTGCCCAAGCTGTGGGAAACTGGAGCACCCGGAGAAAGCACACGCGTGCGAGGTGGAAACACACCGTGTCCTTTCCAGACAGAACGGGTGGCGTTCACGTGCTGGCTGCACTGCCGTCACTTGGCGAGCCAGTGTATGGCGCCTGCTTGACGCCCACAGGAAGGGAGCTTTGCAGCATCTGTGCGATCCACCAACCCTTGCCTCCACTGAATCACGGGCCACGAGCATATCCACCACTGCCCGGATATTTTGGTGGGTCTGTGTGTGTGTGTGTAATGGTGATTGTGTCAAAACCACTGCCTGTTTGTTCCCTGTGTGTTACTACCACAGGGGGCTTGGCCGCAGCAGTCACGACGCCATTGGACGTCGCGAAGACAAGGATCATGCTGGCCAAGGTTTGAGATCGACCCTCGACCCACACATGCTCACGGCCGCGTGCGTGCCACAAATGCGAAGATAAAAAAATATATAAAAATATATTTCTTGCATGCATCATGAGCGCAGGAATCGGGGTTAATGGACGCATTGTTGCTGAGGGTATTAACAGTGTATAGTCACGGGCACAGCCAAAGAGCCTGGGGAACCACGAGGTGTTATACCCTGTATGTTGTAGAGGGATCGATGTCACTAAATTAATCCTACCCCCTCCCATCATCAAAGATGATGGGCAACATCATGAATATAAGCCACCTGAAAGTGTAACATTACCAAGCACAATTACAGAAAGAAGACACCAGATCCTCGTCAGGGTAGCAGGACCAACGACAGATGGTCCTGCAGCAGGTCAGTGGCTGTCTAGGGCCAGGTAGGTGATACGGTCATTCAGTCCATGACGATGCAGGCTAATAACGAATTCTGTAAATATCTGTTGAAAGCCTGCCATAGGTGAATGTTGGGAGTTGTAGACGTTGCTGAACAGCTACATTTCATTTCTAATTTGCATTGATGTTTTGCATTTCTGTATCAGGCCGGAACAAACACGGCGGAAGGAAACATCACAGCAGTGCTCCTGGGCATCTGGAGGATACAGGGATTGTCTGGGTATGGGATCTTCTGCCTCTGTTGTAAACATTATTTTTGGGGCGAAATGGCCGAGTGGCTCGGAGGGCTCATAATGGCTGTGCTCAAAGCGCTGCAGAAGGGGATACGATCCTGGATTCAAATCAAGGCAGCCTTACCAAGGCTCTCAGTGGAATTAGTTGTCTACTTAAACTTGGTTACCAGTGACTACACGGAAAGTCATTGCGTAAATTTGGCTCTTCATTCAGTCTAACCGTGCTCCAAGCTCTAATGTGTAAAAACGTGATATAATGGATATTTGGTATATGGTGAACCAATTGACGCAGCATGGAAAAACTCCCTCGCGTGCTGGGTGTGAGAGGTTTTGCCAAGTTTCGGAAAGACGCTATGATCACCTTGTACCTTGATTTAAAACACAAATTAAGTGTTATTGATTTCAAATGATGGCACTTAATATTATAAAATAGAAATCGTCTCTTGTGGCACATTCATCATTTAAAATATTCACATTTGGGTACAGTTTATTTGAACAGGATCTGGATGTTGGACCCAATGTTGGTTTTCCACCATTCCCCACTCGTGCCGGTGGCATAACGTAGTTGGCATTTCCTACTGGAGCGAGCAATAAAATTGCAGCCTCCTGCCTCTCCCATGAGCCCTCCCTCCCATGGGGCCCGGAGCAGTCGCACCGCCCGCACACTTGTTGAGCTCTGCCACCACGTTGCAGCGCGCGTGAAACGCTGTCCTTGCCCATGTAGGCTCTTCGCTGGGCTGCTCCCCCGCGTGGCCTGGATCAGCCTGGGCGGCTTCATCTTCCTCGGGGCTTACGACAAGGCTCGCCATCTCCTGTTGCTCGCCTCGTCATAGCCGGAGCCCGTGGCCGCGGCCAGAAGCCATTGTGATGGCTGGCTACGCCGGTGCCGCATGAACAACGAGCACCAGCTGACTTAAAGCTTTCGTGACTGCAGGAATTCATATTCTTGGGTCTTTCGGTAAACTCACGTTGATAGGTTGTTATTTTCTTTGAACCTATCTACGTGACTTTACCGAAAGACCCAAGAATATGGGCACCAGCTGGTGAATAACGGGCACCAGCTGGTGCACGTCCTCGCGGAGCTTGTGACTAAGGAGGGCCCTCTACTGCCACCTTTATGTAAATGCAGACTGGGGGTAATGTAACGATCCACCTTGCACCAGCACCCGAGCAGCTGTTACTTTTCAGGATTGTGAGAGATAGCGATGGCGTGGGGAGGCCTTCATCCAGCAGTGGATTGATAATGGCGTATAATGACGATGGTGGCGGCAGTGGGGATGGGCGTGGATGCCACGGCCATGGAGCTACCTGACCAGGAGAGTAGCGGCGAGGAGTCGCTCGCTGTCTCCCGAGGCCCTCTGCGTTGAGCGGCAGTGGCGGTCTCCCCTACCCTGATGATTCCCCGTGGCGGGGCTCCCATAGCTGCCGTGTGCCCCCCATACCCCCGTGGGTTATGGGAAGCGTCACACGGGCGGTGTGCCTTACCTTAATTCATAGAGCGCCTTGCGTAGGCGCTATCTCATAGCTGGAGCGTTAAAACCGAGTTTCTTTATCGCTGTTGTGACGTCTGCCGCTGTCCCTCTCCGTCACCGCGTGGTCGACGCTTATTTATCGCCAGGCAAGAGAGAGACCAGGAGTCTATTTCTTCAAGGGGCTACCTGCATTTACTTTGGTACGGCAAAAGAGGTCATTTCAAATATGTTAACAAAATGTAGAAAACAAAAAGAAATCTGTTTATACAACTCAGAAATGTTATTTAACAATAAAACGGAAACAATTTGTGCACTCGGTGTTTTACTTTATACAATAAATGCATTCATACTTAACATCTTGGAAGTTGTAACAGATGCGGAATGTATAAAACGTTGGCTTTCGCGACCAATATCCATAATACATGTTCTTTTGGGGGGTTAGATCGTGTAAATATAAATGTGTCGTCAAACCCGCCACCACAGCGGGTGGCTACGCTGGTGCGGATTCGTGAGGCGTGCTGAGGTGGCCCTCCCGTGGCCGAGTGGGGCCCAAAGTGTGTCCACCCCATCGCGAGCCCAAAGTGTGGTCCACCCCATCGCGAGCCCAAAGTGTGTCCACCCCATCGCGAGCCCAAAGTGTGTCCACCCCATCGCGAGCCCAAAGTGTGGTCCACCCCATCGCGAGCCCAAAGTGTGGTCCACCCCATCGCGAGCCTTCTGAACGGCAGCTCGCAAAAGACGCTCACGGTCTTCGACCTCTGTGAGACCATTTGCAGGAAGGGAAGACCGGGGCCACAGAGCCTGACCGCTGATGAGGCACTGAATGGAGACACACCTGTACAGTGCTTCTGATATGCGGGCGCTCATCAGCTGTAATATTTAAGAGCCCTCTGCTTATCCGATGTAGGGTTTTAGGCTCGAAAACGCATCAGATGTAGTGTCAGTTTAACACGTAGGCTTTCGCGACCAATATTCATAATGAAGGTTTTTGGGTTAGATCGCGTTATTTATAAATGTGTCGTAACCCTCCACCACCCGACACGGCCAATCAGCAAAAAAGTGTCACGTTGACAAAAGACAAATAATTCACTACTTTAGCCCACCGGTGTGTTGAGTGAATCCACAACATTTACAGTTTGAGTACGACGTTTCGCTGGTAACTACATCCAGCATCATCGGGCAATTCGCCAGAATGGTAAAGCCCTCTCCACTTGCTCCCGGTTTTATATAGAGCAGCAGGGTGACGTCATCATTTAACTCATATCAGGTGCAGTGATTAGAGGCGGAGGGGGATATTGTAGTTATATAATCGATTAGTAATCAGTCAATGGTTATGATTAGTAATGAGTTGTAGATTAGTAATTAGTTGTAATGTGTGCTATTGTGATTATATGCTATGTTAGTAATCCATTAATTAGTATGTGTTTCCCCTATAAGGAACTGTAATGTGCATTCATATTCTTAGCTCCCTCGGCAAAGCCACGCTGAAGGGAAACAACAAATATAGATATTCTATTATTTTATTGCTTCCCCCCCAACGCGATTCCACCGAAAGAGCCAAGAACATGAATTACTGCAGTCAGTAATTATATATACTTATCCGCTGTATGGTTTTTGGCTCAAATACGCATCGGGTGTAGGGTTTAAAGTCCCTCATGCCTATCCGCTGTATGGTTTTTGGCTCGAAAACGCATCGGATGTAAAGTTTAAATTTCCTATACCTATCCGATGTAGAGTTTTAGGTTCGAATACGCATCAAGTGTAGGGTTTAAAATCCCCTATACCTATCCGCTGTAGAGTTTTATGTTGAAATACGCATCGGATGTAGGGTTTAAAATTCCTCATACCTATCCGCTGTAGGGTTTTGAAGGGCCGTACATCCTGGCCTCTGGTCGCGGCCGAGTCCCCGGACACAGGAAGTGAGTGCCGAGTTGAGAGGCCGCGTGGGAGACGGAGCGGGAATGAATGAATGAGCGAGCGAGCGTGGAGGTGAAGGGCCGAGTGAGCGGCTCGCCGCGGCAGCTTCCCCCCGCGCTGTAGCTGAGCGGCTGCTGCTGCTGTTGTTGTTGCTGTTGTGTAACATGGCGACTTGGGCTAGGCCCTCGTTGCTGTGGGTGAACAACCGAGCGAGCGCTGGAGGCGACTAAGATCGCGTCCATGCCCGACTCCGCTATGTGCGAGAGAGAAAGAGCGAGAGAGCTCTCGTGTCCACAGCGGAGACTGCACGTGGCTGTGTCACCGTGTGAGTGGTCTATGGCTAGTCGTGTGTGAGTGGTTGGTGGCTGTGGTTGTCGCTGGTTTGCATGTTTACGCATTACGCGCGCACTCGCACTGCATGGAGGTAGCGCACACACGCACAGTACATAGACTCAGGGGCGTTGTCCACACATCATGTAATGGTTTGAGATGTGCATTCCGACACACGAGGCATACAGACGGACGCGAGGCCTGTTCGAATCTGAAGGCGTCGGTCGACCGTCGTCCGTCAGCTGTGAACGCAGAGAGAGAGAGAGACGGGAGGAGTTGACAGGCCTCGCTCGGGGGACGGCTCTCACGGCCAGGGAGAGGGGAACGTCGCTTCTGTGAGAGACGTGGGGACAGGGGTGGGAAGAAGAGGCGGCACGTTGTTGGGGTGGCGATCGAGGCAGGGAAAAGAGTGGTGGCTGTACATCACCTGTGCATCATCTCCTGTAGGCATTGCACATCACCTGTGCATCACCTCCTGTAGGCATTGTACATCACCTGTGCATCACCTCCTGTGCATCACCTCCTCCTGTAGGCATTGCACATCACCTGTGCATCACCTCCTCCTGTAGGCATTGCACATCACCTGTGCATCACCTCCTGTAGGCATTGTACATCACCTGTGCATCACCTCCTGTAGGCATTGTACATCACCTGTGCATCACCTCCTGTAGGCATTGTACATCACCTGTGCATCACCTCCTGTAGGCATTGTACATCACCTGTGCATCACCTCCTGTGCATCACCTGTAGCCATTGTACATCACCTCTGCATCACCTCCAGTGCATCACCTCCTCCTGTAGGCATTGCACATCACCTGTGTATCACCTCCTGTAGGCATTGCACATCACCTGTGCATCATCTCCTCCTGTAGGCATTGTACATCACCTGTGCATCACCTCCTCCTGTAGGCATTGCACATCACCTGTGCATCACCTTCTCTTGTAGGCATTGCACATCACCTGTGCATCACCTCCTGTAGGCATTGCACATCACTTGTGCATCACCTCCTCCTGTAGGCATTGTACATCACCTCCTTCTGTAGGCATTGCACATCACCTGTGCATCACCTCCTGTGCATCACCTCCTCCTGTAGGCATTGCACATCACCTGTGCATCATCACCTCCTGTAGGCATTGCACATCACCTGTGCATCACCTCCTGTGCATCACATCCTGTAGGCATTGCACATCACCTGTGCATCACCACCTCCTGAAAGCATTACGCCTGTGCAGGGTGTTACAATAAATATAACATTCAATGGAACCTGCATTCACTGATCGTTATACATCTCGTGAGGGCCGCACTACAAAGGGAGTACGATCCACAAAGAGTTGCCGCTATGAGTAATCCCCCTTGTGGTCTAAGCATATACACACGGGCACACGCACACGTTACATTCCAATGACAGACCAGAGACTACAGCCACGAGGTCCAGTCTGAGAAGTCTCTTTGAAGTCCGGGCACGCTGGCAAGATACAGGGAAACCTTGCCTAACGCGGTTTTATGCATTGCACATCACCTGGGCACTAGGCGGTGTACCTAACGAGTCTGTTTTCTGGAACACGGGGATGATGTTACTGCTTTAGGTGATTTGACGCGGCTATGAATCTCATCTTCGTGTCGAAAAGTACGGCAGTGAGAGTGCTGTATCCTTTGGAAGGTGAAAATGAATCGACTGTGAGAACGATTTATTTACCATGTGTGTTTTTTGCGTGTTTTTTTTCCATTATAATGCAATACTCGACACGATCAACGGCACAGCACAAATGTTCACATTGCCGCATGCATATAGCAGTCCACACATTGAACAGAGAGGGCGGGGGTGACCATTTCAAACGCAGGTACACAACCCTATATTTGCCATAAGCTCTATTATTTGTCGAGCGTGGGTTTGCCCTGTCCTACACACCAGGCATTAGCTAATGCCGCCCCATGAGCCAGGAGAGAAGGCGATTGGCTCGCTGGAGATCATGGGAGCTTCTCCGTGGGCAAAGAGGATGGAAGGAGGCATGTGACTACTGGGTCGGTTATCAAAGGAGTCGTCCACTCAGCTGTGGATTTCCGATGATGAGCGCAGTGCAACGGTGCTGTGTGCGTGGCGCAGGAATGAACTGTGGGGAAGATGAGTCCCCCGGGGTGACGCTGGAGACGATCGGCACAGTCACCATGTGTCAGGACGAGGAGGGGAATCTGGTGCTCAGCTGCAATGGTATGGGGCGCGTGGATGAATGATTTGATGAATTAATTTATGTGTAGGCTTTCACGACCAATATTTTGATTAATCGTTAGTTTACCTATAACCCTCTACCACCCGACAGAGCCAATTAAATTAAGTTGTCAAGTGGGCCGTGCGTGCCGCGTGTCGTGTGTGTGCGTGCCATGTGGGTGCGTGCCATGTGTATCGTGTGTGTGTGCGTGCATTGCCGTGCAGACGAGCTGCAGGTCAGGGAGGGCTCGGAGCCATCCACCAAACGAATCTGCCTCGTGGCAGAGCCCAACCCAGCGATCGGAACCTCGCCCGCCGCTACAGGTGGGGGGCGCGCGGTTGGGGGGCGTGATGTGAAGTACGGTATTGTAATTTTGAAGTCTTATATTTATGAAGTTTACAAGATGAGAGCAATTGTATTGTTTTGTTTACACCTTCGCTGAAGCCAATGTTATTAGCCACATGTTTGGAAAATTAGCCACATGTTTGGAAACTAGCCAGATGTTTGGAAAAACAAAACCTCCGAATTAGAATTGGCCCAGTACATAAAATACAGAAATTAATATCTGGTACAAAAGATGTATTACCGAAGCTTTCAACAGAACAATGGGATTGTATATTGAGCAATGTTTATGTACGTTCTTTACCATATAAATAACCCAAACGGCAATGGATACCCACAGTCATTTAGATGCATTTATTAATTCCCTCCCCCACTTCGCGCAAGAAGAGCACACAAGTGACATCATCACATCTACCCCTCTATTTAAGGAACGAAACAGGAGGATTTCTCCATAAATCTGGCTGTCGCCTGATGAAGCTAGTTGTAGTTACTGGCGAAACGTGGTACTCAGATTGTAAATGTTGTGGCTTTGCTTTACAAACACACCGGTTTGCTGTACTAGTGTAGTGTCTTGAAATTACTCACACTGACACGGAGTAACAGGTCACCTGCTTACACTTTATTAACCCTACTCTCGCACCTGTTGTAGGCACTCCTATGACTGCCTTCCACTGCCACCACACACTCTGCTTCTCCTACTACCCGTTCTCATCTACTCCGTACCTCACCGACTCTCTCCTATCTCGCCGCTGCCCCATACCCACTCGCCCGTCTGTCCCGAGCGGGGGGTTCAGCCAACACCCGCCCGGCAACGGCGTGAGGGGCGAGGTCCCGTTGACGGCTCGAGCGGCAGCGGCGAGATGTCTTCTCTCTTGGTCCCCGAACAACTCGACTCTGCTCACGCGCACTCCCGCTTCTATACCCCTCCTCATTCCGAGTCCTCACGTGCTCCCCACTTCAGCTGTCGCCTCCATGGCGCCTCTCGCACTCATTGCTCCCTAATCATCGCCCCCATCTCCCGTCTTGCCCCAGCGTGCACACCTGCTCGTCCTCGACCGCACCTGCTCAACTGCGCGCACTGCGTCCATCTCTACTCTGCACTAGTAATGAATTGGCATATTTTTAGGTGACAAACCTTACTAATTGGCTGTGTTGGGTGGTGGCGGGTTTAAAGACACATTTATATATTTATGCGATCTAACCCCAAAAAACCTCTATTATGGATGATATTGGTCGCGAAAGCCTACGGGTTATACCAATTATTTAGTTATGCATTTGTAGAGTTCTTGCTCTTAACATGCTACAGGCGAGGTGTCTAGGTGGCACATGTGGGACTGAATGTGGCGCTAAAATCAGAGAAACGAGCCAGCAACCCCGGGATGAAGCGACTGATCACGGGCCGCAGGGTTCACACACGAGGTCGTCTCGGTGTCTGTCTCTCTTGCATGGGCACCACAGGAGACACGGGCAACTTTGTGGTGGCGGCGCCCCCCAGGTCCGACGTGGGAGCGAGCAGCGCGGCCCACTCGCCCACAGGGAACGCGAGCGTGGGCAGCCTCTCTGACATCGACGGCCTAAGGATTGAGGTACGACCCCTCGCACTCGCCCCTCCGCACTCGCCCCTCCGCACTCGCCCCTCCGCACTTGCCCCGTCTCGTTAAAGGGAGACGCAAACCAGCAACGGTTGCGTCCCCGCAGTCGAGTTTTTCATAGACCTTTGGTTGTTTTGATAATTTGATTCAGAATTTATTATCGATTCTAAAAGTCATAGAATCAGTACATGAATCCAGTTCAGTCTCATTGATAATTTCACCAAATGGTTTATGCGCTGGTTAAGACTGCGCCACGCCTTTCAATGTGATTTATCATTGGCTGCCATCACAAGAATAGTTCACTCGTAAATAATGAGGTCAGTCTTGCAAACGAGACTCTATCCTGGTCTCTTGAGCTCACACCTGGTTAAACAACATAAAGCAACAGCTGCAGGGCTCATCAGTCACAGCACACGCACGCACACACGTACACAGACACGCACACACACGCACACGTGCTCGGTTCACGTCCTAAGCGTTGTCTCCTCTCCTGTGCTGACTTTGCAGCCAACCGGGGCTGACCCTGTGAGCCAGACCTGGTTCACAACCAAGGAGGACAAGGACTCGCTCTACATCAAAGGTGCAACACATACATATGGCACATGTATGGACACGTGTGCTTTCTATTTATATACACACACACATTACATGCTCAGTTTTATTTGTATATCAACATTACAAAACGCATTAAGCCTCGCATTTCAGTATTTGTGAGTGAGTAAATTATTGTCTTGTTGTATACAAGCTTAGCATTATGCCCATCACAGCACGAGAGAAGGCTGTAAAGCCTCTATCTAGATTTTTAGGAATACAATTAATGACCAGAGATCTCTTTCGTCCCCAGAAACTGAGGCAGTGTGATTTTTGTCACAAAACTCCGATTGTGCCGCGTTGTGGACTGCTAAATGTGTGTGAGGATTGACCGCGTTCCACGGGGTCAACCCGCCTCTGACCTGCGGTCCACTTGCTATCCACTGCTTGGCCATGCAGGTCACAAGTGGAAGCAGGGCATGTGGTCAAAAGAAGAGACCGATCTCCTAATCATTAACATTGAGAGCTACCTGAAGGTAACGCGACCACCCACAATGTTCGTCTGAGTGCAGCGGCGCCAGCGAGTCGGTGTCGAACGATTCCCCCTCCCAGATGTTCAATGAATTGTCGCGAATTAAGGGTCACGATTTGGTTTGAGAATCCTTTTTAACATTGCAGTGTGGCTAGAGGGATCGTGTGAATCCAATAAATCAACATGTACCTATGTTAAAGAGTGTATGAATTTACTTTAATTGTTGAATCGATGCGTTTGTTACAGCCCGATGTAACGCATGCAATGTAACACAATGGACACTTATGCCTCGAGTGATGTCGCTGGACTTTAGAACGTTGAGTAAATGTCACGTGAAGTTATTGTTACGGTTGAGCATGGGGGAGTGGAGCCATGGGCCCTGAAACAGTCGCCACTCACCACGCGATCCACGGTGTACAAATTGCCGGTAACGTATGGGACGTGACAATCGCTTGGAGTGGTGAATGCACCGTTAGTCTCTGGATGCTGAAAGCAAAGGATGCCTTTATGTATTCAGAAAAAATGTCACCGAGTTTCCAAAATCGTGTCGTGTGACTGGAGGGTTTGGCCGGTTCCTTTAGTGAATGTTACTGGCCGAGGAAGCAAACCAGCGTGCGTGGTGAAGTCACGCGCACCTGGGGACGACGCCCCATACAGACGGGGTCTCAGGGCAATCTGCTTCCACCCTGTCTCCTGGCCGCGTGTCGTCCCGACGGACTGGAAGTGCCGCCGCATTTCTCCGTCTCTGTGCGGTCCGCCAGCCTCGCAGCGGGAGCGCCGATGGCGGCGCCGCAACGCCGCCAAGCCGTCGCCGAGCCGCTGCCTCTGTGCCCCCTCCCGCCCGTGCAGGCCAACAGCATCGGCAACGCGGCGGAGGTCATATTCGAGATGCCCAAGGACGAGCGCAAGGACTTCTACCGCACGATTGCGCGAGGGCTCAACCGCCCGCTGTTCGCCGTGTACCGCCGCGTGCTGCGCATGTACGACAACCGCAACCACGTGGGAAAGTGAGTGGCTCGCCCGTCTGCCCGCAGTTGGGCAGCGGCGTGGCGCGGTGGGCACGGGCCCTCCAACTACTAGACATCTGTGAATAAGAACTTTATAGCTCATCGGATTCCTCCAGTATAAATAAATATTCGGATGATTCTGATTCAATGGGGGCTACTCCTCTCCAGTTTCCTTCCTCTCTTCGTAGTCCAGCGCATGGGCCACAGTCAATTTGCTGTGTCCGTTTGCTTGCTGAGCACTTTCAGAAGCGTCTTTTCAGATTGTAAGCCATTCAAAAATTGTGGTCAGTACCCCTGATGGTGGGCAATCTGAACAACTGCAACGTTTTAATACTGCTTGTTTATTGCCTCTAATGTTTAAGATTAATCTCAACTTCGTATGTGCGCTTACAGATACACAACAGAGGAAATTGAACAACTGAAAGAGTAAGTATATTTTAGTTTTTCATAAGTTTCTAAAATGCAGTATTATACGTAACCTTTTATATATTAGGTTTTCAGGAGGCTTGATTAAGTGTCAAAATCAATGGCTGAGTTATGTGTCAAAATCAGTGACTAAGTGTATATCTGGGGTTAGATCAGCAGTGATAAAATAAGGATTTTTTTATTTACCTGACAACAAACCCTTTAACCGAGAGCGTGGGTGAACAGAAAGCCCTTGCTTCGTTTCCTCACGAGAGCGTGTGTGAACAGAAAGCCCTTGCTTCGCTTCCTCACAAGAGCGTGGGTGAACAGAAAACCCTTGCTTCGTTTCCTCACGAGAGCGTGGGTGAACAGAAAGCCCTTGCTTCGCTTCCTCACGAGAGCATGGGTGAACAGAAAGCCCTTGCTTCGTTTCCTCACGAGAGCGTGGGTGAACAGAAAGCCCTTGCTTCGCTTCCTCACGAGAGCGTGGGTGAACAGAAAGCCCTTGCTTCGTTTCCTCACGAGAGCGTGGGTGAACAGAAAGCCCTTGCTTCGTTTCCTCACGAGAGCGTGGGTGAACATAAAGCCCTTGCTTCGTTTCCTCACGAGAGCGTGGGTGAACAGAAAGCCCTTGCTTCGTTTCATCAAGAGAGCGTGGGTGAACAGAAAGCCCTTGCTTCGTTTCATCAAGAGAGCGTGGGTGAACAGAAAGCCCTTGCTTCGTTTCCTCACGAGAGCCGCATCCCAGCTGGGAGGCAGCTCTAGGGTCTCGTTGCCTTCCGCTGAGAAGGCAACGAGACCCCCGGGTGCTCCTAAGACGACGTCTTGTGACCAACAGAAATGCCAGTCCAGAGGATCTGGAATTCTGCATCAGGGCCTAGCAGAGGCTCGGGCATGCGCCTGGCTGAGGGTTGGGGCTGGGTTCGGCTTAAGACTCGCGACCGCTTTAGGTTTCATCGAGTGCTGTTTTTATGACTGAGAATCAGCTAAACACCTACCCTAGAATGAAACCTAGCCCCAACACCTAACCCTAACTCCCAACCTAACCCAAACTCTCAACGTAACTCTTTACAGCTAACAAAATCTCTAACTCTAACCCTAACCTTAACCCAGGCTTCGGGCCAAGCATAGGAATGACTGGGCGGCCATTGGCTCAGCTCTGGGCCGGAGTGCGTCTTCCGTCAAAGATCGCTGCCGGCTCATGAAGGACACCTGCAACACAGGTGACCAACTCGCTGCGTCCAGGGGCACAGTGTACACGCAGCAGCTTACGGAGAGTGAACCCTTAATATTAGAGCGGGGAGGAGGAAATGCGACGACTTGTTGGGTAGTAGGGAGCTACGGCCACGAATATTTAAAATGCAAACCCGCGAACTTAAACAGCAAAATACACAAAAGCGCGATGATAAAGCCTGCGATTATTAAGGGTTGACTCTATGTATTGCAAAAGTAAGAATCAATTTTGATCAACAAATGTTAAATCGCCCTGTGGTGACCACGGCCTGGATTCAACCCGTAGAGGATTTGTACTTCCCAGGACTTGAGTAGACGCTCCGTTGGCACCGCCCATTGCCAAACGCTTCCATCCTATAGCTCCATGATGTGTGCTCGTGTCGTACCTTGGCGTGACGTGTGTCATTTGGCGTGACGTGTGACGCTTCGCTCCGAGTGCTGGTGGGAACTGAAGGGGGCTTGGTGGTCAATGCAGCGGTAAGAGCACTGCACCGCGAGTCCGGTGAGCCGAGTTCATTTTCCCAGCCACGGCGAGCATCAGTGGTGAGGGATATCGGAGAACTGGTCCTGGGCTCTCTGGCTTCACCAAGCCGCAATGACCGGCGTAGCGGCGTATGGTGAAACTACCTTCCGAATAGAGGCCTTCATCCAGCAGCGGATTGATAAAAGACCGCAATTAATGAAGAAACTCTCGGCACGCGGAGCGAAACGTCGGACGTCGTGCTGAACAGCGTGCGGTACGACTCGGCAAACGCGGGAGAGCCGTGCGGCACGAACGTACGCACGCGGCGTTCCCGTCGTCCACGTCTCGCCCCCGTGCGCGTGCGCCGCAGGGAAGTGGACGGTGGAGGAGGAGCAGCGTCTGGCGGACGTGGTGCACGAGCTGACGGGCACGACGCCCGGGGAGGCGGTGACGCAGGGCGTCTGCTGGGCCGACGTGGCGGAGCGCGTGGGCACTCGCTCCGAGAAGCAGTGCCGCTCCAAGTGGCTCAACTACCTCAACTGGAAGCAGAGTGGCGGGCGCGAGTGGACCAAGGACGACGACATCGAGCTCATCCTGCGGTACGCATGTGGGGGGGGATGGCGGAACGTGGGAGGGAAGCGGGAGGGAAACAAGTACAGAAAAGGAAATTATATATTCATCTAATTGCAATGAGATATCCATATAATTTCCTTTTAACTATTCCAAGAACGAGACTAGGATTAGGTGACAAAGCCTTTGCCGTTGCAGCACCAACGTTTTGGAACAACCTTGTTTCCTCCCTGAACATCGTAAATCTTCCTTCAAAAAATGTCCTGAAGCAGAATATTCGTGCTGGATACAGCAGTCACATGCAGCAGTCACAAATGTGATTTGTAACTTTACTCCTGACCCATGTATTAATAGTTTAACTGAGGGACTATGTTGTCTTGGTGTGGCCTGCGACTGTTCTTGCTATTGTTATTTGCTGGCTTGCCCAAGCTTGGGAATTGGTGTACTAATGAAATTTGAACTTATATACTTGATCTAATTTACGTATTTATTTGTAGTGATTTGCTTTCCTTTTTTATACTTTTCACTCTGATTGTTTGTATTGTTCGTTGTTGTAACTCGCCGACCCCGCTCCTCTACTGGACGTCTGAAAAAGAGCTTTATAAGCTCATCGGATTTCTCCTGCGGTCTAAATGACGAGTCTGGTTCCGTGCGGCGCGTGCCCACGTTGCGGCGTGCAGCATCGTGGAGCTGAAGCCGCGAGAGGAGAGCGAGATCAACTGGGAGAAGCTGTGCAACGGCTGGAACAGCGTGCGCTCGCCCCAGTGGCTGCGCAGCAAGTGGTGGACGGTCAAGCGGCAGGTGACGACTCACAAGGAGGTGCCCTTCCTCGGTGAGACGGGGCGCGTGGGCGCATTACGCGTTGTTGCGTGTCCGATTAGCTCCTGCACCTCCGATTAGCACGGTTGGTTACGTACGGTGCGAAACAATTTCAACATTTGTACAGATATACAAAGACCCCCCCGTATAGCCTTTAACAGACTGTTGGGGGAAGCGCTATTAGCGAGCACCTACATATATACAAAGATAAAGATCCCCTGTATAGCTTTAACATACTGTAGAGGCAAGTGCTGTTAGTGAGCACCTCCTACATACATACACACATGCACATACATACATATATACGTTGCGTTTGTACAGTTCAACATACATAGCCGGTTCTCTCGCGCTACAGAAAATGAAATGCTTTAAGTCATATTGTAAAGTAATTAAACATTAACGGTGTGTGTGTATATATATATGAAATGGGTGAATAAATAAACAGTGCTGAGCTTTTACGAAAATATCGCAAGCAGCAGAGGGGGAAATCACAAGCAGCAGCATAGTCAGCCTTGGACTAAAATAAAATAATCAAAACTTCTAATAAAGCATCTATAACATAAAAATAAAGGAATAACCAGATCACGTCAAAAATATATATTAAAGAACAATTTAGTTTTAGAACTTTACGCCCACGATTTGCTGCCACAGTCCAGATTTGGAAATATTGAAAAAAATGACTCAATTTGGATTCCACATTTTACTGTGAAAACTTGGCAGGAACCTCCTGAAGACAGTCATGAGACTCGGTGAGGATTTCCTGGATAAAAAAAAGCGTAATAAATAGTTGTAGAAACAACAATACATTAATCCCTCCCTCCCTCAGACCTCCTCGACTACCTGAGCCAGACGCACATTCCCGTGCTACGGCAGGTGGTGCAGCGCGTCCACCCCACGGGCGGCCCGGGGGCCCCCGCGGCCCTCACGGGGGCCCCCGGGGTCCCCGCGCCGCTGGCCACTGCCCCCATCTGCCTGCGCCTGCCCCGCGGAGAGGGCAGCGCCATGCTGCCCCAGACCACCATCGCCACGCTGCAGATCCCCGTGCAGATCACGCAGACGGGTACGTGGGGCTCCCCGGGGCTCGCCTCCACTTCCAAAGACAAACACTTGTTGGAGCATGTTATACATGTACGCCGTGCATGTGCATGATTTTGCTTTACGTGTTTCGTCACGAACAAACATTCAAACTCATCTTTGCAGCCTTAAACACACATGCAGCCCGGGTCAGTTGTGGTACTATGACTATGGGTAACTTTCACAATGCCCCCGTCACTCTCAATTCACCGTCTTGCTTTGGTCCAGGTGATTCTGGCGATGGAGAAACTGTTACAATTAACGCAGCCGCTCTGCAGACGTTTGAAATCTTACCGGTGAGTGCTCAGCTGCTTTAGTCTTGGTTGATCAGTCATGGAACTCGGTATAGACTGGCATGTGTGTGTATGGACTTGTGTGTGGGGAGTGGTAGTGTAGCAGTTAGCGCGCTGCGCTACAAACCTGACGACCCGAGTTCAATTCCCGCTCACGGCCAACACCGGTGACGATTATCTGAACCGGTCCTGGGCCTCCCCTAGGTCGACTCGGCCTCAAATGAGTACCTGGTGAGGTGTGTAAACCTCGCCGCTAGGGAGACAAAGGCGGCAGGGTGTGGTGCTGGCCACCCATCCCCTCGTGTGCCGTGTTGGTCTTAATAAGTGCTTGCTAACAGCACTTGTCCCAACAGTCTGTTCAAGCTATACGGGGGGTCTTTTTTATGGACCTCCATCTCTGCATTATTTACATGGTCAAGGCCGACTATACCATCAATCGGCCAGGGCTCTGGATTATTCTTCGTGCTGTTGAAGTTCCTGACCCCCTGCTCACAATCAGAACGGACCTTCATGATGGTGGGCAGGCTCGGGTAAATCTGCGTGGCTGGGAGTCGGAGCTATTTTCTGTTCATCTTGGGGTGCGAAAGGGATGTCCTTTGGCCCCAACACTATTTAATATCTTTAACCATGTAGTTCGAGAAGCTTTGCTTTAATGTACCTGTGGTATTTCCATCTGGTACAAGGGATGGCTCCATATTGGTCAACCATGTTATGTATGGAGATGATCTGGTAATTGCTGCTCACTCTGAGAAGGAGTTGTAGACTCTAGTATCAAACCTAGAGCATGCTACTCAGGGTTGGGCCTTACTATTAGCCGCACAAAAACAAAGCACCTGCCTGGGTATTTTATGCAGCATAGATGAGGATAGACTGCCGAATGTGGTGACCAAGGGGAAGATCTAAGACCAGATGGTAGGAAACCATTAGGGTGGAGCTTGGAGGTGGCACGCATTGGCGAGGCGCAGTGCCATCGACGCCCTTCACCACGGTGACGGCTCGATCTTGCACGGCGTGGGTCCCTGCAGTCCGCGGGGCCCGACCGGCGAACCGTTATCGATCTCCTCCGCCTCGCGTGTTGCAGTCGTTCCACCTGCAGGCGACGGGCGCCCTGTGCACGTTCCTGCTGCAGGCGGGCTCCGCCCCGGGCCTTCCCGTCACGCTGAGCGGCGGGGGCCCGGCGGTGACGCTCGTCCCCACCGGCGGCCCCCCTGCCCCCGTGGTGTCGCCGTCGCCATCTTCCACTGCCGCCGGCATCCCCGAGGGGCAGGTCGTGATGCACGCCGTGCAGCTGCGGGACGGCGATCGCCAGCTCCAGGTTCGTCGGCCGCAACCGTAAACGTGATTGCGTTAAAAAAAAATAGTTTTGTCCTCCGTTTATCTCAGCGGTGCAGCTTGCATGCTTAAGGCCTTCATCCAGGCTCACGGCTTCTGTCTCCTACTCTGCCTATAACGACGCCATCTACAGTGAGGGAAAAAAGTATTTGATCCCCTGCTGATTTTGTACGTTTGCCCACTGACAAAGAAATGATCAGTCTATAATTTTAATGGTAGGTTTATTTGAACAGTGAGAAACCTTAATGACTTGGAGAAGATCTGCAAAGAGAAGTGGAACAAAATCCCTCCTGAGATGTGTGCAAACCTGGTGGCCAACTACAAGAAACGTCTGACCTCTTTGATTGCCAACAAGGGTTTTGCCACCAAATACTAAGTCATGTTTTGCAGATGGGTCAAATACTTATATCCCTCATTAAAATGCAAATCAATTTATAACATTTTTGACATGCGTTTTTCTGGATTTTTTTTGTTATTCTGTCTCTCACTGTTCAAATAAACCTACCATTAAAATTATAGACTGATCATTTCTTTGTCGGTGGGCAAACGTACAAAATCAGCAGGGGATCAAATACTTTTTTCCCTCACTGTATCTGGTTGTTTTGTTCAGCAGAAAAAATAAAATTGCGAGTGCATTTGATATTCGCGCCGTTGTTAGAGCGCGAGGCTCTCATGCAAGAAGGTGCCAGTGTTGCAAAGACACAGCCTCCAGTGGTTTCACAGCAGATGGCGATGATCGCTGCGCTTCTCCCAATGGAGTACCTTGCAGGTGCATATTCATACTTTCGTATTTGGACCGTGACATGGCCGAGTACATTTGGAATAGCGTCATGAGATGCCATGGAAATACAACTCACTCGGGACTGAACAGGAGAAGGGCACCGCTCTGCGCCTGTGTGAGCAGGGAGGCAGTTCAACTCTAGGACTTTCGCAGAAGGAAAATGTTGAGATTGACGATGCTGCCGCTCTTGCTGCTTACCTTTCCTATATGTTGCATTCCTAACGCGTTTTGTAGTGTTGTAACTTTTTAACCTGCTCCTACTACCAATCTGTGAAAAATATAAAAAGATCCATAATAGAAGATAAAAAGAGCCTTATAGCTCATCGAATTCCTCCAGTATCAATAAATATTCTGATTCTGCTATTTACCCACCTCCTGTTACTGCTGCTGCTGCAGTTGCAGGATGGTCGCAGCTCCGCTGTCGAGATGCCGCACGGCTCTCGCGTCATCATCCACGCGATGTCACCCGACAGCGTCCATGCCGACGTCCGCACCATCTACCCAACGGCTCCCGGCGACACAGACCTCGTGTCGCACCCCCTCGCGTCGCCTCCCACCGGCATCATCGCCGCCGTCACCGATGAAGTCGATGTCATCTCCCCGAGGCACCTGTCGTCCCCTGACAACCGCGAGCTCCCGCTCTTGGTGGAGGAAGCCCTCGACACGGGCAGCGACGACGGAGAGAAGGAGGCGGTGGAGACGGCGATGGAGGCGGTGGGGGCGGGGCGCGTGGCCGGCCTGCACGACGACGAGGATGAACGCGCGACGCTCATCGCAGACGCTGCTGAGTTCGTCAGTCAGGTGCGTCGAGTCCCGGGCACCATCGGCGGAAGCAGTGGCAGCGAGCCCCAGCGCCCAGGGCAGGGACCGTGTGGTGATCCCGTAGTGCAGCGCTTTCTGCTACGTGTGGCCATTCAGTCCCATGCTCTGCCAGAAAGGTGATCAAAGTTAGAGAAGAGACCTCTGGTTTCGATAGACTTTTAGAATCAACGGTGAACAGTCGGACATGCGGCGCCAAAGAACAACACACCGGTTTCACCCAAATCTGTCCAACCGGGCGCGTGGCTCTCTGCATTCAACACGGCAAGCGGCGTCTCTCCAGTCGGTTTGCGGAGTCTCATGAAAACCCAGCAAAGCACCTGACGATTGTCAACGTCATCGCGGAACCCGAGGCACAGGAGATGAGAGCTTTCTTTAACAACACTTGGTCCAGCAGCCTGTACAGGAGCCGATGCATACATATTGACCGTGTGTGCATGTGTGTGCCTGTCACCCTAAGGAGCTGAGCTGCCCAGATGGGGACCCGGTGCACGACGGCTCCATGGAGACGGCCATGATGGCAGTGATAGCGGGAGGGTCGCCACCCTTCCCTCCTGCCGGGGACGACCTCGACGATGTCTCCGTGCTGCCACTCACCACGCTGCACGGTGACCACCACGTGGCACCCACACCACCACGTGGTACCCACACCACCACGTGGCACCCACACCACCACGTGGCACCCACACCACCACGTGGCACCCACACGACCACGTGGCACCCACACCACCACGTGGCACCCACACCACCACGTGGCACCCACACCACCACTGCATCCACACCAACCACCACCGCACCCACTAACCATCGCTCGGTTCACTCTCTAATGACTGCATAACAAGAAAAAAGACAGTTAACTTTGGTTTTTAATTCTGTTTCACTTAATCCAAACCCGAGAAAAAACAATTACGGTCAGATTTCCTGATGGCAAACAACTCTTTATAGGGGGCATGAGAGTGCACAATCAAAGACGTATTTACAGTGAAATTTGCACGTGATGATATGTGTTTCATCTTATGTCATCCACCAATGCTGCCTCCTGGTAATCTGCGTGTGCAATCGGCCATTTACCATCACGCCCAGATGAAATAGACTTTGACTTTCATTGTTCTATATAAAAGTTTTAATTGATTGAATAAACAGTTTTTTCTTGCTGTGGTTGTCCCACCTGATGACGATTGCTTATGTTGCGATAGAAACGTCGTGATCTATTATTTTCTACCTACGTGACTTTACCGAAAGAACCAAACGGTATGAAGTAAACATTTCCGAATGTTAACGCAGCCGTTCTCTTCTCTGCAGACCCCATCCTGCAAACTCAGTCCGACGCCTCAAACATCACGGGCTCAGCCCTCAACAGCCCCGAGCACGGCAGCGAGAGGGAGGCGGAGGAGGAGTGACTCGCAAGGAGCACGGCTCCGCGTTGAGCCCAGCAGGCGCACGAAGGCCCCTTCTATGAGGAGGGCTTTAGCCCAGACCACGCACTTCAAGGTCCTTTGGAAAACAAGCCATGTTCGAGTGTCGCTTTGACCCTCGGCACCCTGCTGACGAGCCCCCGGGGCTGCTGTTGAAAACTGCCGTGGAATCAGATCCAGCGGTGCCCTTGCTTGTGTCGAGTCTCGCGGTGAAACGGAGGCATGGGCTTAAAGGACAGCGTGAATGCTGCCGACAGACGGTGTTTATATCCGGTAATTTATTGCATTGGCCTCGGTGCCAGTGACAGGTCGATGGCTACACTTGTGTTTTATGCACAGTTGTTATTTTGTCGCGGGTTTTCGCCGCGCACACCACAACGTCTTCCCCATGTCGGCGCAGGGACGCGTGTTGACCAAAATAAATGACCGCTCAACTCCGACCCGATTTTCGCACGAGCGTGCGCCGTCGTGGACAGATCTACTACGCACGAACACCCTGTATGGAACAAGTCAAGGAAGCAGAGCATGCATTGATGGTTGTGCACATTATTGCCAGAAATTTATATTTACAGCTGGGTAAAAAAGTGTCACGTTGCTAACACGATCGCATACCTCTGAACCCACACGGTTTACCCCGTATTCTTGTACAGGGAAATTGAGTTTGCAGGTCCATACGGCATACAGCCGTTTCAATACGGGCAATTCGTGTTTCTCCCCTGTGATGGGACTTTGTAGGATGAACGTTGAGATGTATAAGGGGCACGGGGTGACCACTAAGGTCTGACTTGGTCTGTAGTAGTGAGGTCGGGCACTGACGACGAAGGGTTGACAGGTTTGTCCTATCGCGTGCGGTGATAGTGTCCGTGGTTTGATATTGCTCTCGTCACCGTCAGACATTCCCCATCCACAGTTATAAGGACGTTGACAAACAGGCCGGGCAGTCTGAAGGACGTGCGACTGCCCCACACTTTGCCTGCCCGTCGTTGACCGGCGTACCGGAAGCTGTCGGGGGAATTACGTGGAGAGGAGCCAATTCATAACCAACGCATGCACTCATCATTATGATAATGCTTATCATTGTGACCTCTTAAGCCTTGTTCCAAACATGACGGTGTTCACATTGAGTAAACACGCTGGCGTAACAGCGGTCTGAGAGGTCTGCACTTGAATGCCTCTGCAATTCGTGTTAGAGTATTCAATGTTCTATTCTTCAAGTCGGCACACAGAGTGTTCGCGAAGGGCAAATTATGTTTCGCGGCTGTACATTACTTGCAAAATTATGCAGGAATAAGACTCAATACATATCTTGTACAAAGTGTAAAGTTCTCGTGAATTGTTTTCAGTAAAACAAATTAAATAAAGGAATGAGAAAATGTCTTATTTTCAACAATAAATGCCAAATGTTTGTTTATTGCGCTACGTTCGCGAGACATTGTAACGAGCGTGGCGTGAGCTCCGGGGCCATGCTGGTACCGCAGGGGAATCGATTCCTACACATCGCCGAACTCCAATGCAGGAATCGTCGAGTCCATCAATACATCGATTTGTTCGGAAGCGAATCGATTTTGGCGAAAGTGGAGGGGGGGGATTTCAGGGGGAAGGGCAGCAGGGAGGGGGGCGCGGGGGTGGAGCAAACCCCGAACGCGTCTCGCTCCCATTGGTCCCGCGCGCCGCGCGTCACAGGCGCTCGCGGGCCAACGGGCGCGCGCCAGCTGTGGTGCGGCCACGTGCACCGGTGACGTCACGCGGCACCTATATAAGGAGAGGGTGGGGGGAGGGGCCCGGCCACGGTCGAGCGCGCGCCGCGGGTGACGTCACAGCCCGGCTATCGAGTGGAGGGCGGCTGCCGCTTCGCGTGCCGCGGAACTTGAGAGGCCTTCCCCGAGGGTCCTTGAGACGGTGGTTGTTGTGCAACCACGTAGAGACGGTGGTTGTTGTGCAACCACGTAGAGACGGTGGTTGTTGTGCAACCACTTAGGGACGGTGGTTGTTGTCCAACCACTTAGAGGCGGTGGTTGTTGTGCGCTCGCAAGCTTCTCGCCAAAGCGGTCGTCGGCGCGGCCATGGGTGGGATGCTGCTGGCGTTGGTGGTGGCGGCGGTGGTGGCGACGGCGATTCACCCCGCCGTGGCGCTCAAGGAGGGCGAGTGCGACGGTGAGTGAGCGGTGAGGGTGGGGTGAGTGAGCGGTGAGGGTGGGGTGAGTGAGCGGTGAGGGTGGGGTGAGTGAGCGGTGAGGGTGGGGTGAGTGAGCGGTGAGGGTGGGGTGAGTGAGCGGTGAGGGTGGGGTGAGTGAGCGGTGAGGGTGAGGTGAGTGAGCGGTGAGGGTGAGGTGAGTGAGCGGTGAGGTGAGTGAGCGGTGAGGTGAGTGAGCGGTGAGGTGAGGGAGCGGTGAGGTGAGTGAGCGGTGAGGGTGGGGTGAGTGAAGCGGTCAGGGTGGGGTGAGTGAGCGGTGTGGGTGAGTGAGGGGTGAGGTGGGTGAGTGAGGGGTGAGGTGGGTGAGGTGAGGGGTGAGGTGGGTGAGTGAGGGGTGAGGTGGGTGAGTGAGGGGTGAGGTGGGTGAGTGAGGGGTGAGTGAGTGGGGGGTGAGGTGGGTGAGTGTGAGGTGTAGAGGGGTGAGGTGAGTGAGAGTGGTCAGAGTGGGGTGAGTGAGCGGTCAGGGTGAAGGCGAGTGAGCGGTGAGGTGAGTGAGCGGTGAGGTTGAGGTGATTGAGCGGTGAGGGTGGGGTGAGTGAGCGGTGAGGTGAGTGAGCGGTCAGGGTGAGGGCGAGTGAGCGGTGTGGGTGAGTCAAGGGTGAGGTGAGTAAGCGGTGAGGGTGAGGTGAGTGAGGGGTGAGGTTGGGTGAGTGAGCGGTGTGGGTGAGTTAGGGGTGAGGTGAGTGAAGCGGTGAGTGTGGGGTGAGTGAGCGAGCGATGAGGGTGGGGTGAGTGAGCGGTGAGGGTCAGGTGGGTGAGTGAGCGGTGAGGGTGGGGTGATTGAAGCGGTAACGGTGGGGTGGGTGAGCGGTGAGGGTGGGGTGGGTGAGCGGTGAGGGTGAGGTGTAAGGTGAGTGAGCGAGCGGTGAGGGTGAGGTGGGTGAGCGAGCGGTGAGGGTGAGGTGGGTGAGCGAGCGGTGAGGGTGAGGTGGGTGAGTGAGCGGTGAGGGTGGGGTGGGTGAGCGAGCGGTGAGGGTGAGGTGGGTGAGCGAGCGGTGAGGGTGGGGTGGGTGAGCGAGCGGTGAGGGTGAGGTGGGTGAGCGAGCGGTGAGGGTGAGGTGGGTGAGCGAGCGGTGAGGGTGAGGTGGGTGAGTGAAGCGGTGAGGGTGGGGTGGGTGAGTGAAGCGGTTAGCGGTGAGGGTGAGCGTTGTGGCTGCGGTGATGACGCGGCCTTAACGGGAATTCCCGTCCCACAGCAGCGTCATTAACGATGTTGGTTTTTTGCCACCGTTCGTGGGCCTGTGGATGAATGAACGGACGGACTTGATCCCGATCATAATGTGTAATTTCCACCACCAGCTCGTGTGTTGTCGACGAATTGCGGAGAGGCCTTCGTCCACCAGTGGATTGATCATTGGCTGTTGACAGCTCCTTGTCCCCTAAGAGATGAGAATGGATAGGCTCTGCTGCTGCTGCGTGTACAGCACACCGCGTTGTACAACTCTTGACATCTCGAGCCCCTGGTGTGCGAATCCATTGCTGGATGAAGGCCTCCGCCCGCCGTGCAGGTCGTGGGGGTTATGAGACGATACTTGACGCAGAAGGGCCCGCAGCGTATACGTGGGCGCATACGAGTGCAGTAAAACAGTAGGGAATGGATTCGTGTGCATGGTGCCAGGTGGATTACCGCATAGAAGGATTTGGGGATTTCGACGGCATTCATCCAGCGGTAGATTGAGCTTGGCTGGTGGCGGTGAATGTTGCTGCACTGCCGTCCGCTTCCCACCACGGAGCCACCCTGACTCGTGCCATAGGAATGTGGAATTTCCCCCGTTCGCCTCGGGCTGCAGACGTGGTGGTTAAAGTCCGGGCCCACTGACGTAGTTCAGCACTCGTACATTGAATACCGTTCCCGTTTTTACCCCTCCCATGTAATAGTTTACGTGAATACGGCATAAGACGATTACACAGTTACGCGACATACGGAGTTGCAGTGCCACAATGTTGTATGTTGGACGAGGCCCTCCCGACGCTTGTGTTGGTTATTTGACCATACCTCACCGTACTGGTGGAGGCGGGCATCAAAGACGTGGGGACATCGAAGAGCAGTACAGCAATGGGTCGTGCCGAGCTTCCCTCTGCTGCCTGCAACGTGGCCCCGCAGCTTGGAGAACGCCCTACAGTGCACGCTGGGCGTCCAAACATACAACTATCCACAGTCTTAAAATGTATTTTAATTAACATTGATTCATGTTTGTGCAGATTTTATTTATGGTGGATGCTTGTGGTCTGTTAGCTTCATTGCTGTGCTACACTTTTTTGTAAATTTTGGTGACCCAGCAAACTCTTGGGAAATTGGCCCATCCTGTTCTCTTGACTTCTCCCCTAGTGAAGCGCATTGACTGAACTCGACCTTTGACCCTACTCGGAGATGTGATGCTCATCCCACGTGATTTGTCTCCACTCTGCCAACATTGCCTGTGGCCTGTTAAGCCCCCAGGTTCAAGATTTTCCCGTTTTTACCCTTCCCATGACCCACTCTTCCCCTCCGTACACTATTATGAAATGCGATTGCGTCGTATAAATACAACATGCAATTACACAAGAGCGTAGAGGGAGCCTTAAGAGCGAATGGTGCTAAGATCGTGCAGCGCCCGACGTCATTCGGCTCTCGATGCGCACACACACACATGACGTCACCGCTGGGGCCACGGTGCAGCGCGCGTCGACGACGAGGGGGAGGAGCCGAACGCGAGCGAGGGCTGTGATTGGTCGCCACTGTCCCCCAGCGGGACGCGAGCTCACGTTGCTCTCAGCTGTTGCGGTGTCAACCCGGTCTGCGCGATGAAGAAGGGCCGTTGCCCGAAACGTCGCCTATTATATATTTTGTTCCTTTTTTAAAGGGCACGGTGTTATTTGCCCAACGTGCCGAGTTGCTGTTTGTGCATAAAGTATTTGGTATCGCCAAATGCTCTGTTAACCCAAGGAGACTGGGTACGTCTTGGACTGTGTCTTAACACTCAATAATAACATTCCGTACACCGCCTTCGTCCGTGACCTGCTGGGTGAAGTCTTCCCCACGACGCGAGGCTGCGTGCCGAGGGGTCGTTTATTTTAGCTCGACCGTCAGTGGGCTGGGTTCGTGGTCACTTGACACGCGTGGGAAACCTCTGACGCGTCCGTCTGTGATAGAAACGCTGCAAAAACAAAATGACGTGAATCATGTCGCTTTCGCTCAGTGGGGTTAATGAGACTGACAGTCGCACAATGCGTTGCTGTGTAGACATGAATCGTGCGTTTTTCATGGTGTTGGTGGGTTGCACTGACTCGGCAATAGAACATGAATGTTAGTGCCGGTATTCTTAAATTGATTTGGCAATTTTAAAATGCACGTGGATTGTTTTTATATAACCATCAATTTGGAATTGAAATAGTGTTTGTGCAAATAGGTGCTTTATTTTCTTGGCTGTAGAAACTTTAAAAGTAAATATGTAAACTGGTACCATTCAGTGGCTGAAGGCAAGCCTGTAATCGGCAAGTGCTCTATTTGAGTTCAGATGGACAGGTTGGAGGCTAAATGCCTATCCTCTCATGCATCGAGTATTTTGACCGGGGGTACCCAGGTCATGGCTGAGCCCCTCGATGCACACCCAGGATCCTGGTGGCACCGGTCCGGTGCTCTTGTGCCAGGCCCCACCACCGTTGTTGGTCTGATGCAACGTGTTCTCACTTGTGTTTTGTCTCTCTGTGTTGTGTGTTTTTGACAGTGTGCATTACATTCCTCGAGAAGTTCTACAACTCCTTAAAGGAAAGGAATGCAGACTTCACTGTGGACAATGTGGAAAAGGAACTGATAAAAACCTGCAGTGATGCCAAGGGCAAGGAAAACCGCCTTGTGAGTGATTCTGCACAATGGGTTCTGTGCTGTGGGCGTTTTGTTGGGAAAGCCAACGGTTACAACTTAGATTTCTTTTAGCTACAATGTAGTAGTTGGAAAGAATCTTGGAATGTACCACTGTTGGGTTTGCCTGGGTGTGTGACAGGGTGTGGGTCCATGCCCAAGCTAAATATAATTTTAATTGGCCAGTGTGATACAAAATAAATTTTTGCTGGGACAAGCCTGATTGATTTCTCATTGCTCATGTTCAAGATCGTCCTGCTGCTAATGTACCAGAAAATATACAAGTTGTATCGTGAGTGTTCACTTTGTTTTAAAGAGCAATCGACATTGGGACACAGTGGTGCCCAGCTGTTGTAATGCATTGCCTTGAAGGTGGAGGTTGGTGGATCACAGTGAAATCCCCAAACCTGCTTGGCTGGTCGGAGTACCGGGCCTGCACGAGTGAGGTCCTAAGTTGTCCAAGTATAAGCATCCAGATGTAGCTACCCAGGATTACTGGGTTTGATTGCTTTAGCTTTTAATTAATTGACTACAAATATCAATTTCAAATTTGAATTTTAACTTAGATTCACCTAGCCAGCTGTGGGATAAAATTAAAGAATAACATGATTTGTACAGCCAACCACTCTGCAGGGTCTAAACGGGCATCATCTCGTATTGGGCAAGAGACCGATCAAGAGTAACAATGGAAGCTGTGGTATCAATGCATGCTCCATATCCATTCTCTTAGACTGGAGTTGGTGTTGATTAAAAGGGTTCTGTGTGGATGTTCCACCTTTCCAGGACTTGTATATTTTAATTACAATGTTAACTTTCATTTCAAGCCAAACAATATCTTAAAATAATTACTATTTTTAGCCGACTGTAGAGCTTGGTGTAGAGGCCTTCTTGAATAACTAAAACCTATTGTGTGCGTCGATTGAAGTGCTACTACCTGGGAGCCACGAGCGATGCGGCCACCAAGATCACCAACGAGGTGTCGAAACCGCTGAGTTTCCACGTGCCGGTCGCGAAGATCTGCGAGAAGCTGAAGAAGCAGGACAGCCAAATCTGCGAGCTCAAATACGGTACGCGTGCCACTCTTGCACCGCTGTAGGGCACCGCATGCATCCACCGTACCTCCGATGGCTTCATACGGTGCGAAAGAACATGCATACACCGTGCCACGGGCTGTAACCAGCTCCATAGTGTCATTAAACACTGTATTGAAGCACCTTGTTCTAATAGTCAAAGTATCTACATGGTGTAGCCCACAGGCCACATCTGGCACGTGAAAGGTGTCCGAGTGGTTTGCTGAGACGTATGGCTCGCATACGGATTAGTTAGATGAGAGCTAAACGAGATGTGTATGAGAGTTGTCGATGAGAGGTTAGGGAGCTGAAGGCAAGATAAACGAGAGATTGAGAGACCTGGAGGTGAGAAGACGGGGTTAGGGGTTGCATTTAGAGACGTGGTGCCATGCGCAGATGTGGTGACGCCGCCGAGTGTGGTGTCACCCCAACTGTGAAATAAAGATTTGTAGCTCATCCGATTCCTCCTATCTAAATAAAGACTGATTTAACGATAAAGATTCTGATTGTGAAGGTCTACTTGCTGTTGGTTTAAATGGATGTTTTGCATTGACGTCCATCGGTGGTAGTCTACACACCGCCCAATTAACCTAATTGTTTTAAGGACATTTAAACGGCGTGTGTGTGTGTCTTGTAACAGCCCCCTTCCCTTCTGTTGCTCGGACAAAGCCTGACAATGTTGCTGCTGTTGCCCTGTCCCCTACAGAGAAGCAGATTGACCTCGGCACCGTTGATCTCAAGAAGCTGAAGGTGAAAGATCTGAAGAGAATCCTTGACGACTGGGGAGAGGGGTGCAAGGGCTGCGCCGAGAAGTCTGATTTCATCCGCAAAATCAACGAGCTCATGCCCAAATACGCCCCCAACATCGCCAGGAACGACCTCTAGCAGCCCTCTACTCGAGACCTGGACTCGAACCTGGCCTCCTTGTGGGGGGAGGGCTGGGGGGAGGGGTGCTTCTTGCGACGCAAATAGAACCCTCCCCACCACACTTCGCTCTGTCATCGTGGCCGGCGCTCAACATTGACTTGCACATGTTATTGCGGTGTTGACTCTTGGGCACTTTTCTCTGTAAAGGAATGTGGACATCCTTGTGGAAATGAATTTCTACACCGCAAATCTGTTGCCGAGTTTGCCTGTGAAGTGAGAGGCTGTGTTTCGTTACACTGATCGGGGTCTTTATACCACAAGTAACGTTTTTTTTTCCACCCCAGATTAATCGCAAAAGGTAATTTTTACTTTTATTTGACATTTTCTTTTAAATCACGATGTATAGTGATGTTTTTCACAATACTGTAGGCCATGGTGATGTTAATAGGATTAGTTGGGCTGACCACTACCACTACCAAATGCTGATCCTGGGTTAAACTTTAGGTGCTGATAAAGTTTAAACTGTTCTCCTGTTGTTTGATCTCAGCCTGGGTTCCACAACTGTACAAAAGAAACTGGTATAAATGTTTTTTCTCTTCGGTATACTTGAGGTTTGAGAGAGGGGTCTATGTACATGTATGTTGTACATGTATGTTGTACATGTATGTTGTACATGTATGTTGTACATGTATGTTGTACATGTATGTTGTACATGTATGTTGTACATGTATGTTGTACATGTATGTTGTACATGTATGTTGTACATGTATGTTGTACATGTATGTTGTACATGTATGTTGTACATGTATGTTGTACATGTATGTTGTACATGTGTTGGAGGATGGAAAAACATGCAAATCGCTTCTGTGTTGAACTTGAAAAATGGAAATGTTGTGGCTTTGGTTACGGCAGAGCTTTTTCAAATGACATCGGAGCTCATTCTGGGTTCTTTCCCCACCCAGATGAGGCTCTTGTCCAGAGTTTCTGGAAAGGTTGTGGTTTGCTGGTAACAGTTGGCATCTATTTAAAGGTGTAGGGTGTTGGGTATAGGGAAGTATCAATTTGCCTCCGATTAGCACGGTTGGCGACGTAAGGTGCGAAATACGTTCAACATACATTGATTCGAGTCTAGTAATGTGTCAAATCTGCTTGTAAAATCAATTATTTCTGATTAATGTATTTGGTTTGTAAAAACCCTGCAGCCAACTGATATGTAGATTCTACAAGCACCAACATGGGACATTTTATTGGCCGATACCCGATCTTAAGTCCAATGTATGTGAGGTGAATTGTTACATTCTCACCTGGGGGTTGCACAAAATCCCTCCTTTTGATAATTTTTACCTTTGTTTTTATTTGGAGTGGAAATTTGCTGTTTGGGTGATGCTGACATTAAGCCGAGCAGTAAAATGTTTCTTTTGTATGGAAATAAATTATTTTCACTCACTGAACTGTGACATGTCCTCGGTATCGTCCATTAAAACACTTCGGAGAAAACTGGCATTGCCGAAGGCTGTGTGAACTCCTAATCTGCAAAGCAGCAAAGTGGTACATCATCCCAGAGTAGGTTAGTGATATACACTGATTTTTGTTGTGTTTCCAACACTGCAACATAAACGGCCAAACATCTCATGGTACCCACCTTAATCGATGGCCTCACTTCAGTGGCTGAAATAAAGTGCATGCTTTGAATGTCTTCGACAATGGTGAATGGCCAAACAAGATTCCAGTCTCTCCATCGCATCTCTTAGCTGGTAATAGGCCCTGACATAGGTCTTCGCCAGCAGTGTTGGCGCCTTCCACTTGTCTGGTTCATCAACTAAACATGTCTTCACATTAGCATTGATTTTGTAGTGAAACTGCAAAATTAATCAGGAGCCCGTTGAATTATCCGTCTGTAAGGGAGACGGTGCATATGAAGAAGACTGCCTTAACTCACTTTTAAGATATTTTAAACATTTTATCTACAGTCTGGGAAACTGGCTCATGTACGAGTGCTCGTGGTGCTCAACAGTCGCTGTTTGAGCAAGGCCATTGAATTGATGTGATTTGAAGGGCAGTGTTTTACGATATTGGAAACATGGCCAGTGTTGGTTTCGATGTTCATTCAAAACAGTGGCAGAGAGATGGTGTTCGTCCGGCATCGAGCGGATGCCTCGTGAGCGCGACGCAGCTGATTGGGATGGACTATAGTTGTGGACTAAAGTTGTGGACTATAGTTGTGTACCAGTCATTGAGTGGGTAAACTGTGCATTTCTCATTTGGGGACTGGTTGTACAGTGATTTAGTCTGTTCAATCACCACCAAGGGTAGTGGTGATTGGCATAGGGGTTAGTATACACACGATGTGTTACTGCTTCCACGACACTGCCACTGAAATTGTTCGATGTTTGTTAGCGTTATTGCAATGACAAGCTATCCAGAGTGCTTAACCGGTGCTGCTGCCAGAACTGACCACAGTGCCAGCAGGCCTGGCAATACATGAGGGCTTGCATTTGGTGTTTAATTGCATATAAAAGAGTCCACAAGAATGGATGTTAATTTTGGTTACTTCAGAGTAAAATTTGTAAAAAAAAGAGATGTAGTTTTAGTGTATAAAACGAGCAACGATAATTATGCTATCGCAATATTGTGCAAAGCGGGCGATCGTCTCTCTCGTCGGCAAACCTCGTAGAGTTGTGTGAAGTACCATTACATTAACACCTTGAGATATGTAAGCACCAAGGCTCATTTTCACCAGTAGAGGGCAGTCGATGCGCACTGGTGAAGTGGGAGGCACAAGGCATGCCATTATTATTTGGTTTTCTCTCTTGCCACAATTGTTTTCTGTCTTGTCTCATCCGGTGAGTTTTGTGCATTTAAATTTCCATTCCGTTCCGTCCTGTGGACGTTCAATATTCCCCATCCCATGAACATCTCACAAGCGCAGTAGAAACATACCCTTCCACATTTTATTCAGGAGAAAAGGTCCATATACCCCGTGGTTTGATGCCATTCTATTTTGAGTCGAGGACCGAGTGGAACACGAACCGGTCCACCTCACTTTTCTGTATTCTATTGAGGTCCAAGCAGTTCCGGACCAGCTCCCGACGCAAGAACGGCAGCCTCTCCCAAGCGAGAGCAGGACTCGAGACATTCCCCACGGCCATCCGCAGCGATGTCTCGCGGTGTTCCTTGGAGAGACCTCGAGTGGGCGTTGCAATCCCCTGGCTCCTCCAATGGGGTCTCGCCAGGCACGGCGCGTCATAAGACGCCGATCCCTCCGGGGCAATCCCGCACGTGCTTAATTTAGATGTCGCTTTCATGGTCCCTTGATAGTTACACTTTAAAGTGGATGAATGAACCACCTTTTTCGCACCAATCCAGCAGTAAGGCCACTGCCCTGGATCTGAACACTTCGGTCAAGAGGACGATCAGCTGACGAGCGTCAACCTCCTGCCCCATTGGCATGACTCCGCATCGAGAGTTTTACGATGCGCTTCTTCTGCGGCCGTCTGGGACGCTCTTCCTTCCGATATTAGGAAGCCAGTGGAGCTGTGCACTTTTAAATCATCTCGATTGAAAACTCATTTCTAGCAAAATGCTTTTTGTGTCCAGTTTGTCTTTTCCCGCACACCTCCAATGAGCGCGGTTGGCTACGTACGGGTGCGAAAGACGTTCAACGTAGGTACAGAGAACGTAGGTACATACACAGCGTAGGTACGCACACAACGTAGGCACATACATAGACAACGTAGGTACACACACAACGTACAAAGTGTTACCATCTGACACCACCACGAGGTGTTGGGTGGTTGTTTTGCCGGACGCAGCATCTCAATGCGCACGCACACACGAGGAAGACCCCTCCCCCGTCTACCCCTGCAGGCTGTGGACAGCCAGGGCGCACTGCGGGAACACTCTGCGCTGTGAAGACGGCGAACCGCGTTTACATTTTTGGCCATGGCATTGAGCAAAGTTTGAACCCGGTTCACTTTTCACTGCCAAAAAAAAAACCTCCGTAGGCCATGCTCTATAATGAATTCCCTCGTTAAGTCGATGAACACTCAGTCTGTGTCACGCATGGAAGCGTCGCGAGCAGCGATTCTTGGCTTCGTCCCAGCACCGCGATTAATTGTCTGCGTTGATGGACGAGCGGTGCTGGTGAACCCGGGTTTCTGATCTGGACGTCTGTGAAAACTACTGGGCATCTGCGAAAAAAGAGCTTTATAGCTCCAGTAACAAGTAAATATTCAGATTCTGTCAGTGGTTCAATAGAGAGGTCAGGTCCAGCAACATGGCAGTGGAGTTAATGGGTCAGGTAGAGACCCCCGCCTGCAGAGGAATGAGCTGGCGACAGGACAGGAGGTTGTGCAGCAAGTGGGATGCTGGCAGCAGGATATCCGTGCAGAGTTTGAGTTTCATTGCTGACAAATGTAAGGGTTGTATCCTTGCAGCAATTCTGGCTCCCTCCAACCTGGAAAAACACAACGCTTAAAAAACGATTGGTGAAACATCACAAGTGTCTAGACAAAGCGAGTTTTCCTTGGGTAAGTATATCCATATTTATATACTGGTACGTACATTATAGTATACAGTGTCCAACAGTGGAGTGACAAAGGGGTGATGATGATTACTATTATACAGGGTCTTTGAGGATGGCCCGAGTGGTCATGACATGCATTTTTATAAAATAACACAAGTTGAAACTACAAAACAAGCCCTTGGGTCTTTTATTTATTGATGTAAACACATTCTCAACGTGGGAGCCTCCAGCATCAGCTGTCAACTTGTCAGTGAACACCCCCGTGGCCCTGCTATACGCCATCGCCTTTACTGTAGAGTGTTTGACTAATATAAATGTCCAAATGATAAGCCACTTCGTTGAGCTATCATTTGTGGCCAGTCTCCTAAAAAAGAGCTATATAGCTCAGTGGGCCTAACCTGGTAAAATAAAATTAGTTTAGTTTATCTAGCCCTTGCCGCTCCTGTTTATCCTCCTCTATCTGGTCAAACAGAAGCTGCTTCGGTATGCGATGGCTGGGTATGCGGTGGCTGGGTATGCGGTGGCTGGGTATGCGGTGGCTGGGTATGCGGTGGCTGGGTATGCGGTGGCTGGGTATGCGGGCTACATGATCCAGCCAATGCAGCAGAGCCTACCGGAGGAGCTCACCAATGGGATTGTGTTCAGATCTTTCAAGGATCCGTGAGCTCCTCAACACAATCAAGTCTGGTTAAACCCAGGATGGATGTTCAGTAGGTCGGCCGGATTGTTTAAAACCGGCCTAAGTGTTCTAAGAAAGGAGTCTCCATTTTACAAGAATTTTGTTTGAGAACTACGTGAAAAAAATACGCCCCGTACAGCCTGGAACAGATTAGTTTGTTGTGGACATTGCTGCTAGAGAGCTCCGATTGAGAGGATGACACAGACATATCTTGCCAGACTAATCCTTCATGGACTGGCTCGCCTGTTGAGGTTTAAGTCAAAACAACTCACGTTTTTATGGAAATGCACCTTTATTAGGCGAGTCACAGATGGAAACACAAAATGGACAAAATTAGTCTGGTATCAAAATAACGTAATCTTTCTGTTGTTCTTTTTTTACATACAAAAAAAATATAAACACACGACGTACACTTAAATACTTTACAGACGAGACACGGCGATGCATTTTGTTCGTTCTGACATCAAATCGCACGGCTGTGGCGCTCGCCACTCCTCAACAAGCTCACGGGATTTTTAGTTTTGTCCCAAACGACTGCCGCTCCACCGCGCCACGCAACCTGCGGCCCTCTCGACCAGCAGCGGAACGAGCGCGGGGGGGCAGCCAGGCGGCGCCTTGCCCCCCCCCATCCCCCGGTGGAACAAAGCTACGAGTTTGGGTCCCCCTTGATTACCACCGTGAGATAGGTTTTCAACAGTGTACAATAACAAACTTATTTAAAACGCGGTTTTAATGTATTTTTTTAAAAGTGAAAATGGTTTATGTTGACGTCCCACGTTTTTATTTTAATTTAATTACAGCAGTAACGTTTGGCGACCGTTCGTGACAAATCAAATATTGGGGGGCCCCCACCTCACCGATTGCCGCACCCCCTGAGCAGCCAACGTCGTCACCAGTCACCACGCCACTGACAATGTCACCACACCACTGACAATGTCGTCACCACACCACTGACAATGTCGTCACCACACCACTGACAATGTCGTCACCACACCACTGACAATGTCGTCACCACACCACTGACAATGTGGTTACTAGGCTACAGCTCTCGGTCCCTTGCGGCCTCCCTCCCAGCAGTGGCGATGGTCCCAGCGTGCTACCTTCCCGCTGGCAGGCAGGCAGCCAGCCCGACCCCAACTCAGAACACCGCGGCTGGGTCTTCCATGGATGCCCACCCAAGGCTGGGCGCGCCAGGCTGCCCCCAACGCAAATGTGAAGAAGCGTTGACCGAACAACAGACGTTTAAACATCACCTGGTCCGACACTCGGGACGGCATTGCAACGACGCGTTCACAGGCACGGGAGCGACGAGACGGCGATGTCCCAGAGAGTGCCCAGCCGTCAACTTTAAAGGAGATTTTGTTCCTCGTGAACGCGGCTTCAAAACACCGGTCGATGGCTGTTTTATTGCTGCCCGTTGACTCTGTGTCAACTTAGGGCGGCAGAAACAACGGAATATTTTTTAATGTAAAGACTGGCGACAGAGGCAAGTTTACTGTACCCACAACACCACCGTCTCGCGGCGGTGCTGTTCCTGCAGCGGCACTCTGCCCAGCTCGACAGCCGTGAGAGAATTTGACCCACAATCTGAACGCAGACCGTGGCTTTATGCACGGTTCAGAGGACAACCAAGTCCATCATCTCTTAAGGGTCAATAAAAAAGTTGGAGTCTTTTCATGGTGGTGGTCCTAGGAATAATCTGGCCCCCCGTCATGGAAATGTATAATTTCCACCACTGGCTCAAAAACGCTACCTGGTAACACTTAGAGCAGGGAAATACAATTCAACCACCTGCGGGCTTCCCAAAAAGCAGTTCATATTTTATCGACCCCCCCCCAGAAGGGCGATGATGGTTGGGTCGGTTTAACCCCAGACCTTCCAAAGATTAGACAAATGCTCGGAGCACAGCGCCGCTTTGCTGTACAGATACAGAGCAAAGTGAAGTTTCACAGACAGCAGTGGCACCTCGCCGTGGGTGACCACAAACACCGCACTGCCGCGTGCAACACGCGCGCGGGGCATCGCGCGCCCCGCAAGTCGGGCACACGCACCGTGGCGGTCGCTGACGCCGAAACCCCCACGGTCACCAAACTTCGCGAACGCCAACCAAGCCAGGGGGTTGGTGTGTTAAAGAGTTTTTTTCATTCAAAAAAAACACTATCGGCTTGTGGTTTTGACAATGTGGAAGCAATATATTCCTTTTTTAAATTCCACTTTCGATTGAAACCAACGAGAGGAGAAGTCTTTTAGAGCATCTGTGTTTCTATACGCAATCTGTCGGCTTCATAACATTGCGGTGGGGCAAAAAAAGCTTTTTGTATGCGAATACAGATCCCAAAAGTTTCTCTGCGTTTTTTATGTTTTTGCGAGTTAATTTTTAAGTAAAGCCATGACCGGTTCGCACCTCACATTTATACACGTGCCAGATTTGTCCAAATAAACAGAAGCTTGGCGATGACTAGAAATGTTGTTTTTGCAATTTCTTTCCCACTAACTTTATCCCTACAGCCGGAAAGTAAAAATCCACGGGAGTAATTTGCGTTATGACTCATGGCGCCCTCTTACTGGTGTGCGTCAGAGTTGGGGGGGGGGGGAGAGAGAGGCCTTGTGAATCGACTCGGAATTAGTTCTGTCATGTCATCTTCTCAGGCAATTCCCCGATGTGAAGCGATGTTCTCTTGGCTGGAGGACATCTGGAAGAGATGTCTCCCCACGTCGTGCCAAGGCGACTCCAAAAAAACGACAGCTGGGAGTCACCGACGATAAATAAAACAAAAACCCATGCCGGCACGTACGTACGTGCGTCTGGTTTGTGTACTTACGTACGTAAATAAACAAGACGCAAGCTGGGTCCCGTATGCTTCTGTCACAAGCCCCACATCGATCCCCTACGAACAACTCAACAAGTGTGCCCGTCACAAATCACAATGTCGCTCCTACTACCATCCTCACTACCAACACCAATACGAGGAGTCTGTGCAGGAGCTCACAGAGCCTCACACAGGCATCAGCGCCCCCCCCCCCCATTCCTGAGCAGTGTTGCGTGCGCGCAACTAAGCGGCAGAGAGCGTCGCCGCTCTCCGGCACGCGCGACGTCGGTTTGGCACGGATCGAATCGGTACCAGAGAGGGGGGAGAGGGAACCCAAAAAAAATCAAACGATTCACGTTTTTCACTTTAAACCGACGCGCCTTCACCGTGTAGCCTCCTCCGCCAGAAAATAATGTTTACTAAAATACGTAAACTTTCATGGCGCCATTCAGAGTTATGCGCATGCATTAAAATACTCACGGGCTATAATAAAAGCAATGAAGTCGTTATTATTGTTGTTGCTATAATTATTTAGATTTTTTCTTTCAACAAATGATATTCCTCTCTTGCCAATGGCGCCCACGTCACGAAAAGATGGCGTTTCGATTGTGAACTCACGAGGGGAGCAGCGCCACTGTGGCCCCCAGAAGATGAGATCATAGAACTACTTCTGAAGTCACTTCAACAGGACTCGGATCCATTCACACTATGGCAGCACACGTATGTACACAGCATATGCCCTGCAAAGGAGATATATATATGGGAAAACTGAAAATCGTAGCCCCTCATAGCTGCCACGTGCCAAATTAAGTGACAACCTACACTGAATGTGACGAGGGTTTTTTTTTTGTGCAGTGATTGGTGACAAGGCTGAGACCACCGGACTGGCTGTACGCGTAGAGCCCGGTTTAAATCACACGCAAGTGGAGCCGGAATTCAAAGCCAGAACCACAGCAGTGTCAGCTCAGTGATCTGACATGGCCATCTTGAGCTCTCGGAGCCACTCCCAGATCTCTTCGCTATTACTATGTAACATTATTACAAGTCTTTTATGGGTAACTATCTACTTATTTATATTTTTATTGTTTTTATCATTTTTTTTTTATATTGTGCAAGCAAACTTTGCAGACAATTACATTTGTTTGTCAATGTATGTATCTTGTGTGATTCTGAATGCAATTAAATATACGGCCTACATTCAGAGAGGCCTTGAGGAAGATGCGTTGATGTCCGAACGTGCTGGGCAAGTCCTCCTGCTCCGTGCGATGGGTCTACCCCGCTGGTGCACTACGTATGGTCTGGGACGCCAGGCCAATGGATTCCTCGTCGTCGTGGGGTGGATTGGCTGGGCCCATCGCTACTGCAGTGATTAATGGCTGGTTATAGTAATGGGTCTAGCTGGTGCTTCACTGTGCAATGGCTGGGCGTTATCCCAATGGAGTGTGTATGGGCTGGGTATGGGTTCATCAGTGCTACATGCTGGGCTGCTCTGATGGGGTCTTGGCGGCGCTCCGTAGCGTTCCCTTCACCTTCACGAACTCCGGGGCATCCTTCTGGGCCTCCTCCTGCCTCTGCTGCTCCAACTCCAGCTGTGACAGAAAACACATTTAAACGTCATCATCACTCTCATCATCATAATAATTATTTTCAAACCGTTTTTGTCATTGCCATAATTGTTTATCATCAAAATTGCCGGTCAACACTCCAGTGGTCTTCATCGCTGTATCATCATCATCTTTGTTGCCTTTATCATAATGATACACCAACCTGACCACTGATGGCAGAGGTCATGTAAATGACAACCTATGAGGCGCCACATGCCTGTAAACCAGCACGGTGGAGGCAGGGTTGGTGGATCACACAGAGATCGCCGTGTGCTGTGACACTGCGCCGAGACGTGGCCAGAAGATGGCAGCGTGACACATTTCACGACCCACCTGTGCCCGCGAGTCTATCCGCGCGATGTCCCCTCATACCTGCGTGGCTTCTCCGGGTACTGTGATGTGCCGGCACCCACCCACCAAAAAAAAAACATTTAAAAATGGAATTTGTCAAACTTCCAACTGCAGGGCCCTCCTTAACAGGCTGTTGAGACTCTCCTATTTATTGATAAACAAAGCATTGTTAGGACTAATTGTAGGCAGCAGAGCAAAAGTAATTGTTGTACGTACTGTACTTTGCTGAGACGTCTAACCTCTCCCACCTCCACCACCCGGCACTGACCAGTGAGGTGAAGTATGGTCATAGAATCCCTCCGACCCGTGGGGAGGCCTCCATCAAAAGGGATGCACATTTTTGGGGGGGCTTAAATATTACACCGTGACACAGCACGAATGAAAACTCAACAGCATTCTCATTGGGGACAAATACTTCCAGTCGAGTTGTCAGCAGTGGAAATTCCGCATTCGTGTTGCGGGGCCGCCACTCTCTCTACAAAACAATCACTGTTGACTTCAAACAAAGTGAGACTCATTTTAGCGCCTGTAAACAAATTACAAGTTGAGTCCAACCCTGCTCAGGGTTTGAACTCGCACCCTCCTGTCACTTCGGTGCCCTGCTACAGCGCCACCCGGCCACGCACACAGTCATCGTCGGCAGCAGTCACGATCAATCCACTGCTGGATGAAGACCTCTCTAAGCGGTGCGCCGACAGTCGAGTCAGCGCCCGCACACCAGCGGCTCTCGTGGCTCCACCTCCAGGTGGATGCCCTCCCGGGACGACACGGTCCCTCCCTCGACTGCCACTCCATCCTCACTCTCGCCCACCGGCCATCGTCATCCCTCATTTCCTTCCCAAGCCGGCGGCTGGCTCTCGCAACACTCGACGTTGGGCCTGCCACTTGCAAACCGATCCTCCGCGTTGCGCTTTCTGCCTCTGTCCATTGCACGAATGCGCCTCTCACCGCCTCGTTCCGTTCTGTCCGTCAGCGTCCACGACTATGCCGGTACACGCAAGTCATTGCCTCCGTTCTCCAGCGAACACGTTTGTTCTCTCTACGGTAAATCACGTGGGTGCAGGAGTGTTTAGGATACACGCTCGCATGACGAGGGCATAGATTGAGCCGATTGGGTGGCGTGCCGAAGTGATGGTTATCGGCAACGTGCCGTGCCCTCGGGGCACCTCCATGCCCTCGGGGCACCTCCATGCCGCGCCGGCTGCACTCGATGATTTACTCCCACGGCTGTAAAAAAAAAAGGCTAAGGGTGAAGAGCGTGGGAGAATGTATATACAACTCAAAAAATCCACCCGTGCCACAAATAGCACATGGCCCATTACCTTAAATCAACACATGCTACTTATAACCACAACCCAGAGCTATTTATTATTATATATAATAAATGGTTTTTTCGAGTGGTTATCTTCGAGAAATTATTGGCTACCGCTTTGGGAATGTAAAAGTTCCACAACTGGCTCAGGGCTCCCAAGAGAGATAATCGCAGCCCCATGCTCCTTTAAACACAAGGGCTGGATCCAGGACCACCACCACCGTCGTCGTTGTTGACATCGTTCAACATTCACATCGCGCCTCCCGAATCGGTGATCTTGCCAGCTGGGGGCAATGGCGCTGCGTGAAGTCCCAAATTCGTACTGCCCATCTCATTTATTTTGAAAATGTCGTTTGCATTGTCCGTCTCGTTTGTGTTGCCACGTGTCCTAGTCGAGCCGTAAACAAACACACAAGCGATGCAACGCGCCCGCACCGCGCGGGCACGGCGCCCGCACCGCGGCGTGGCCGGTGCGACGCCGCGCGGTAGAGGCCAAAGTAAAGCCTGAATGGCAAGGCCGAAGCGAGGGCCGGCACATCGAAGCGGACGGCGCGGCGGGCGCCATGGACGACGCCCGCCCGCCGTCGATCCTCCGAGCAACAAAGACCCCGGAGAATGCGAGGGCTCGGTGAGAATGCCCGGGCGAGTGGATTCCCGGGAAGAAACGCAGCATCACCTGCTCAAGTTTCTGCTGTCGCTTCTGAAGCTCCTTCTCCAGGGGGTTGATTTTCGAGGCCTCTTCCTCCTTCCGCTGCCGCCCGGCTTGCTCCCATTTCCTCTTCTCCATCACCTTCTGCAGCTCCGGCTTGTTCAGTGGCAGGTTGCCCCTGTAACGTACAGACAACAAACGCCGACCCCTTCCTTAAGTTAGCCTCAGCCTCTTTGGTCAAACAGTGTTCGCGACCACGCATAGAGGCTGGCATGTCACATGCGGCGTGTCCTTGGCATAGCGTGGGCAGATATACCGTAGCCAGCATATAATGTGGTGCTTTAGGGAAAACCCTAATAATAGGAAAGAAAATGAAGAAAAAAACAATTCCCGAAACTAAAAAAGGGAACAGCGAGGGCAGCGATGCCGATATGGCCAGCTGTGTCTGCACACTGCACCGAAACGTCGTGTCATTGCAGCGCTAGTGCAGCAGAGCCCTCATTTAGACCAGTGCTGTGTGGTCACCCCTGGAGCACCGGACTATGCGTTCCAGAGCGGACTCGCGGATTTTTGGTGGTTTCTGTGGTCTTGTTTTCCTTTTAGGTTACATAACGCTTTATAGTTTCATCCCATTCCTTAGTTTTATACTGTATTGTGAAAAGTAATATGCATAACATTACAAGCTGTGAATGTGCTAAATGTGGTCTTCGTGGCTATAACGGTGTCTTTGTTGAGAACTGGGCTTGTACCAAGTTTATGGATTCAGCCTGGTCACGAATAACTGCACGAAATAAACCTTTGTGTTAAACTTTGTTGATCAATTGGTCCCTTACCGCTCTGAGCATTCAATAGTTTAATTTGTAATGCGACGATCTTTGCAGGGCACGTAAAGCGCTTGACCTTAACTCGTGTTTATGCTGTGCCCATTAGCATTTACCTCCTGAACTTATTGCCACACGCAAAAATAGAGCCGCGCCCATTACGTAACAATCCTGTCAGTGCAGTTTTTAAGTTAGCCACGGGGGACCCCGCCGATGGCAGCCGTCCCTGTGCGGAACAAGGTTGAACACAGTAGAGTACTGGCCTGCATGTAGACATTAGTCTGTGCCAGTAGGGGGGCGATGCTGCTGTATTTGTCTTTCCAAAATTCAGAAAATACCAGAGTCATTTTTCTAATTTTGGACCACGACGCCGACACACGAGGGCTCGCTCGTTACAAATTACGTCACGGGATCTTTAACGTCCACTGTGAAGCAGACAGGAATAACCAGGGCGGCCCGTCATGTTCGAGCTGTGAACCTCCACAACAACAAGCGGCGAGCGTGGTACCGCTAGGCCACGTGTCCCCCCCTACACTTCGGCAACTTAACAACCAACGAGGGCCACACTCCGGGACATTCTCCGACAGATGGCGATGCACCCCTGGGTGCCACGAGAGCTCCAAATGGAGATTTTGTGGCAACGCCGTTTCGATTCATGCGCGTACAATGGCGATAACGTTCGCCAGGAGCTACATGCCGACGGCGAGGTTTGCCGGGCACGAGCGGCCGAAACGGCTTCCACAAGAATTGATTCACAATTGGAACAAGTAAAAGTGTGTCGTAAAACCCTTCCCCTCACAACTTAACACGAGCGTCACGTGAATTGGCCGCGTCGGGTGGAGGAGGGTTCACGCCACACATCCTCACACGACCCAACCCAAAAGAAACAGAGTGCCAAACATAATGCCAGACGCGAGAGCCTTGCGCACAAGATCAAGCACGAGAATCGTTACCAAAGTCAAACGTTTTTCACGGAAGGTTTGTGAGGGAGGACTGCCAAGGCCCCTCTCTCTGGCATCGAGCGGCTGAGTTATGAGCCAATGGGGAATCAGATTATGGCGGTAACTTATCGGACAGGAAGCAGGCGTCGAGGCCGCACACTGCAAGAAGACAGCAGGAACTAGAGGCGATTTAGATGTGCTTCAGTCGCGAACGTTTGAAGGGCAGGGAAACAAAAGGGTGGAATTTTTACTCGAATGCAGAACATTACCCTGCAGCCAAGTGAACGGGCGTGAAGTGCGTGCATGTGAACACCGCACAGACACAACGGCGTATTCATTCATCGGGGGAATTTTAGCGTTGACTTTCCACAATGCACCGGCTAAATTTACAGCGATCTTTTATTCGTCCACCGTATGAACAGCTGCCAGGAAGACAAATCCCACAGTAGCCCATGCAGTGCGGTTGTCTCAGAGCACCTATAGGCACACCCTGCTATGTACAAGCACAATTAGGGTACAGTACAAGTTAATTAACACGGAACACGTGCGGTGCAGCTGTAATCTATCCACGTGGCGGGTCCCTGCCCAGATCCACACAAGGAACGGATCGCGGTCGAGGGGAACGTACGCCGAGGAGATGGAGCAATCAAATCCGTCATGCGCAGGTGCTGGGTGGATTGTTGCACCGCGGCTTCGGAAGGCCATCATCCAGCAGTGGATTGATCGTGGCTGCCGACGATGACAATTCAGAATGAGTAAAGATATGATCTGCCGTCGCCTGTCATGCTTTCTGCTCGAGCTCTATAAGCTCCTTTGCACATGCAGAAAGGTGCCGATGTCAAACGCTTGACTCGACTATTACATTTTTATTGGGGGGGGGGGGGGGGGGGGGGTGCCGAGCCTTTAGTAGGAGGGGGGAGGGACGTGGGAACGGCTCCCTCCAGCCTCCACGATCCTACGAGGCTGGCGGTAGGTCCCAGGGACCCCAGCGAGTCCCCCAGTGCAGACCGCTCCATCGCGCCCCGGGGCTGGCTGCAGGGCCCGTTCACTCAACGTTTTGTGGTTGCAGACGAGCTCGCGGTGGAGGTCTCGGTGGTCCCGCGACTCCTTCACGGGGTTCACGAGGCGGCGCGGCTTGATGAGCTCCGAGTCGTCGGTGGGGCATGGCGGCGGCGGCGGCGGCGGCGGCAGCTCCAGATCCTCTCCCGGGTGGTCGCAGCACCGGGGCCGCTGCCCGGACATCGCGCTCCTGCGGCACGGCGGACGGTGGCGTTAGCCGAGCTTGTGCATCGTCGCACACTCGCACAATTGCACAAAGGCCAACTATGACCGCTCAGCCGGTGTGCTCTCCATCAGAGCTCTGATAAAACAGCCTGGGATTAGAACTTGGATAGGAGGTTGCTGGGTTTTGGGCGATACGGCGACCGCGACAATTGAATCGATCTACGAGAGTTTTTTTTGGGTTGCGTAAATATGTGTCGTTAAACCCGCCACCACACGACACAACCAATTAGTAAGGTTTGTCACGTAAACAAAACATGACAATTAGTTACGAGTACAGCACGCCGGTGTGTTGGATAGCAAAGCCACAACATTTACAATCCGAGTGCGACGTTTCTCCCGTAATTACAACTTGCTTCATCAGGCGGACAGCCATGAAGAAGTTCTCTCTCACATACCACTCACTCATACCGTGTAGCGGTGGTTATGCACAGGCCTGATTAGGGTGACTATCGAGTCCTCAGAAAGTGGTACTTGTTTCATCAGTCCCTTATGGATGATGGGCCAAGTTGACCCACGATGGGAAATGTAACTCTTGACCTAGCAGAGTGCTCTTGCACGTTGCACAAAGAGACCCAACCAAACATCTGTCACCATTATGAATACTGTACTGAATACTACGAATCCAAAAAATGGTTTATTCTGGCTCTCCGAGCTTCTGGTATTAACACTGAACCCTAACTATGCTAACAATGCCGTGGTATAAACCTCGGATATTAACAACGAATCCTGTGAATAATGAGGAATGCCTTAGTTTGGGACCGAGTCTTGGGCATAAGTGCCTCATACATTCGGGTCTATGAACCATCGAAGTTGAGGTTAGGGTGCAGCCCTGCAAGTGCTTGCCAACGTCTCTGCTCGCAGAATGCCTCCACTAGAGCGCGAGATGGCCCCTCTAGGAGGTATTTCTTCCACTCCGACCTGAAGTCTTGGAAAGAGGTGGGAGCACCCACACTTTACCCCACTGCACATGACCTGCCGATCCACTGTGGTGTACCCACGTTTACTGCTGGGTGGACAGAGGTGGAGGAAGGATTTAAGAAAGTTGCCCCGTTGATTCAACGGGCGTGCGCTGCGAGATCGAGCCAGATGGCCTCAGGATTGCAAGTCCAGGAACATCCGAACAAAAGAATTCGATACAATTATAGCGATACGATAAATATCCTTAATCCAAGCCACTTGTATGAACAATGAACCCAAACCAGTTGGCTCGTGGCCACATCTCTGGCACGAAAGGTGTCCTGCTTCGTACTGTAAGTATTTTAATCTATGTGTGCTGTGTGCGTGTCGCTTTGTGAGCCTTTTTTTGGAAAGCATTGACTATAGCATAGAGCGAGGGAAACCTGCAGAGCAAATTTGTCAATCCACTGCTGGATGAAGACCTCCCCAAGGCGTGTGCATCGTAGGGTTTATCGATCATATCTCACCATGCTGGTCATTGTGCCTTGAATGTGGGAAGCAATGGATGTTCAGGATGACAATGGATTTTGGTACAACAATGCCCTCTCTTCTGCTCACAATATCGCTCCGCAGTCTATCACAGCAGTCATGATGCATGGCGATTGCCTGTCCAGGAGGGATGATGGCGAGGTGTCGAGTTGACCATGTGACCTGGATGTGAACCGACATTAACACACTGCATTCTCTGTCAAGGCCACATTTTCCCAGTGCCTTGGCGCTGCTAAAAAGAACCTGCTGTGGAGTGATGGTGTCTGCAGGAATGCCTCGAGTGGCTTCGGATGACTCGACTTTATTTCTCACCAAGAGTTACAGAAACCATTGAGATGTTGCCCAGCTGACCTTACGGACACGAGTTTTCTTTTAATGTTGAGAGAAAGGCAGCTGGTCAAAACATTGATTTCTGACATTCCTCTCAAAAGGGAGCAAACATAACAAGCACTTGTTTAAAGTTCTGTCAGTAAGCACACACACACACACACACGGAAAGGGTCAATGTTTAGGCCTACAGTCCCATAGGGGCCAAGTGCTGTTACCGAGCACCTGGTAAGGCCGGAAGAGCACACAAGGGGTCGGTGTGGGGCCATAACCACGCTTGCCCCGTTGCCTTTGTATTCCCGGTAATGACAAAGACCACACGAAGCGCTAAGTATTTTAGACCCGGTGAGCCTACGGCAGGTCCACACCAATTAGGAGACCCGGCTCCCACTGCCTTGCACGGGTCACGTGTTCACAGCCACAGAATCGTTTGTGGGTAAGCATTATCCCTAGTCACAATGAGCGAGCAGCTTCAGGGGCAAGACGAGAGTTCTTCTGCGTAGAGATTGCAGCCTTGTAACAACATTGATGGAGCAGGCGCCATCCTCTTTCAAAGAAACCAAGTAGGATAATAACACAATTTCAGCAAGGTCACTTGCTGCTTTCTCTGCGAGGCCACAGGATTCTGAATGACCGCATCACATCGAGGCAGCGCTGGCCCGGGCAACTGCCCTCACCGTGCCCCACGCTCCGACGCATCGGCACCGCTCCGTTAACCGGCACGGAACGGCGACCCGCGCCGACGCGGCGACCACAACCAGCCTAGCTCGACGAGCTCCCCAACAGCCGTGCCTCACGCGCTCACCGTTTAAAAAGGCAAGGGGCGTATCATGTTGGTGTGCTCTATTATGTTTAGTCGGGTAAAGAGCCCATAGAGGTTATGTGCACATCCTGTGCAATAGAGAAGCAAGACATTATTCGAATGTCTTTTTTTTAAACCGGTAAAGCCTCACCGAGTTTCCAGAACTTTACAGGAGGGTCTTACTTTAGAGATATTTGGCGAATACCTTGAAGAAGTGTTTGGCATACGGGAGGGAACTGGAGAACTTGGAGAAAACCTAGGCCCGGCACGGCCGTCTCCTCGCCACCTCACAGTTCCATGCCTACAACACCTGGCAGGCCTTTGTCGTCACCCCATCCAGGCACTCACCAGGCTCAACCATGGCATGGCTTTTGAGGTTTGCAGACAGAGTACACGTGTGGATATTTGATCTCGATTCTAAACCTTGTGTTCAGGGCGACATTCTGTAACATAACTATTGGGCCATGCTCATTTTCAGGTGGCAGCCCTCAGCCAGAGGTGGAAACTGCACACATTCATGTGTATCCTACAGCATGATATCAAGTCTTGACATTGAGTTAAGAGCTTTGGGACGTGGAGTGAATCTCAGAGATGTTTCCAGTAACAGTGGACAGTTGTTCATGAGGAGTTTCTTGTTTGAAGTTGTTCACCACATTATAACTGTGGAGTGCCCTTGAGTCTCCAGGTATGCATGAGGTATATGAACAGATATCAGGTTGTGGAAAAAAAACGTGTAAATAAGTCTTTGTGTGTGCATGTTGGGACAAGTTCTGTTAGCGAGCACCTATTAAGGCTGGCACAGCACTCGAGGGTGGGTAGCCAGCACTACGTCCAGCCATCTCAGTCTCCCCAATGTTGATGTTTAGGCCCCGCTCCAGGAACTAATCTAAGCCCAACTTGACTTGGGGGCAGGCCCAGGATTAGATCATAAATTGGTCGCCAATGTTGGCCGTGAGCGGTAATCGTACTTGGGTTGCCGGGTTCATAACACGGAGCGTTTGCCACCCCCCCCCCCTCATCTCTTCCCCCCTCCCACAAAGACACACACACGTTCACGCGCAAGTAATCCGCCCAGACTCCCAACTCTCTCTCTGCGACCCCCTCGTGTAGTTCCGCGCCAAGGCTCAGCGAAAGGCCTGCCTCGCTCCCTTCCCCTGGGCGTGAACCGTGACGCCGCAGCCACTCCGTGCGGACGCATCAGCTGCGCGAGCCAAGGCAGCTGGTGCCAGGCACGTCTGGTATTTGGCTGCGATCCCAGCGGCAGTGGCGGTGGGGGAGCAGCGGTGCCGCCACCGTCGGGTTAATTCGGGGGCTATTCCCCACGCTGGGCTCTTCTAATGGCCCGGCGCGCGCCGTGCACGCACACGCGGGCGCTCGCGGCAGCGCCGGCGCTCGTGGCCTCACGAGGGCTTCGTCTTTCATCTCTCACCCCTCCCTCTCATCCTTGACGTAGCTTTGAGCAGCGGGGGGTCTCATCCCCGGCGGCACGCGCGCGCGCGCACGGGAGCGGCAGTGGCGCGGCGCTCAGATGCCCGGGGCTTGGAATCGGCTCCTGGCTGTAAATTCTCAGCACCGGTGCTAAGCCATGCAGGGTCTCTAACTGGCCCAGATCTCTCCCACTCCGGGAGCCGTGCGTGTGCACGCACAGCCCAATTTATCGATCCGCCGCTGGCCGAGGGCGCCAGTGCGCCCCGTGGGCGGCGAGGAATATTTGACCATATTTCACCACGCCGGTCACCGAGGGTTGGTGACGGTGCAGGGGAGAACGGAACGACAACGGCCGTTTCTGCACCGCGCTCAACCACGCACGCCACCAATTACGCCGGTCACAGGTCGTGACGGGCACCGACTGCGGCACTCGCCAGGCTCAACGCGCTCGGGGTCATTTGGTCACAAGTGGAGTGTGAACCCGAGCACGGAGGGGGAAGCCAAAGGTGGATGGGCACACACGGTGCTGGCCCCACCTCTCAAGGAACAGGTCCTCACGCACAGCACTTCCCGCAAAAGGCAATTCAGGGTGAGGAATGATTATTTATTTAAATACCCAAAGTGTCTTCCTCATTAGGCTCGTGAGGAGTGGTGGTTAACGCCATTAGCAGCCATGCGCCACATCGCTATGATGAGGAACAATCCATCCATAGGGTATTAAGCATCCGTCTTGCATTGGGTTGTATCCATCCACATTGTAGTGTATTGCATTTTAAATGCCATTGGCCAAGCCTGTACAACGACAGGCTTGGCCAATGGCTTTATGGGAAGCAACCTGTCTGTCCTGTGGCAATGCATCGGTAGATTTACCTCGGGAGATGAGTGGGCTGCGAAGCCCTGTACATCGCAAGAGAACTTCTGTCCGCTTGGCCTGTGGGTGCAGACCTGCAGGCTAGCCATTA